GTTTGCAGATGACATGATACTCTACATAGAAGACCCCCTAAACTCCATTGAAAGACTCTTAGATACAATAAATAAATTCAGTAATGTGGCTGGATACAAAATCAATACTCAGAAATCAATAGCATTCCTATACACGAACAACAAAATCACAGAGAGGAAAATAAGAGAAACGGGACTATTCACATTAGCAAGCAAAAAAATGAAATATTTAGGAATTACTCTTACGAAAGAAGTGAAAGACTTATACAGTGAAAATTATAATACACTGAAAAAGGAAATTGAGGATGATCTCAGAAAATGGAAAGACATCCCTTGCTCATACATTGTGAAGATGGCCATTCTCCCAAAACTGTTATACAGATTCAATGCAATCCCAATAAAAATACCATCAACATACCTTATAGATCTAGAGAAATCACTCCTAAATTTCATCTGGAACCAGAAGAGACCTAGAATCACAAAGGCAATTCTAAGCAGCAAAGACAAAGTAGGAGGCCTCACAATCCCTGACTTGAAGTTATACTACAAAGCAACAGTAGTAAAATCAACATGGTATTAGAATCAAAACAGAGCCGAAGATCAATGGAATAGATTAGAAGATACAACCACAACTACAAACACACTCAACCACCTTATCTTTGATAAAGGAGCCAAGCAGGTTCATTGGAAGAACGACAGTCTCTTTAATAAATGGTGCTGGAAAAACTGGCTCTCCATTTGCCGAAAACTAAAGCTAGACCCATGTCTATCACCATGTACTAAATTAAAATCTAAATGGGTCAAAGATCTGAATATTAAAACAGAAACACTAAGTCTATTGGAAGACAAATTGGGTAGAAACCTTGGAGACATAGGAGTAGGTAGAGAATTCATGAACAGGACTCAAACCACACAGGAAATACTTCCCAGAATCAATAACTGGGACCACTTCTTATTAAAAAGTTTCTGCATGTCAAAAGAAATCTCCAGCATAGTGAAAAGAAAACCCACAAACTGGGAAAAGATTTTAGTGAACTCTCTCTCACTAAAGGGACTCTTATCTAAAACATATAAAGAATTTTAAAAAAACTCAGACCTCCAAAATTCAAAGATCCAATCCAAAAATGGGCATCTGAGATGAATACGCAATTCTCAGATGAAGAAATGCAAATGGCAAATAAATACATGAAAACATGCTCATCATCATTGGTCATTAGAGAAATGCAAATTAAAACCACACTGAGATACCATCTCACTCCTGAAAGAATGGCCAGGATCAAGAAAACCAACAACAACAAATGCTGGAGAGGCTGTAGGGAAAAAGGAACTCTCCTGCACTGTTGGTGGGAGTGTAGACTGGTACAGCCTTTGTGGAGCTCTGTCTGGAGATTTCTCAAAAAGTTGGGATTGGAAACCCCATTTATTCCAGCTATTCCACTTCTAGGCATATTCCCAGAAGAACTGAAAGCATCATACCACAGTGATATATGTGCACCTATGTTTATAGCAACACAATTTGTAATCGCCAGATCTTGGAAACAACCCAGGTGTCCATCAACTGAGGAATGGATAAAAAAGTTGTGGTATTTCTATACAATAGAGTATTATTCAGCTATAAAGAAGGATCACATTGAGATATTTATCAATAAATGGGCGCAGCTTGAGACCATACTCATAAGTGAAATAAATCAATCTCACATGTGTGAATACTGAATAGTTTCCCTAATGTAAGTAATGATTCAAATATATAAAAATATGTGGTAATCATGATTCCCCATTATGTGGCCTTGAAGCCTTATAAGGTTTTCACTTATTAATTAGAAAGGCTTTATTCTGGGCTTCTTGATATGGAAATATTTGAAGCTATAGTATATGAAGTTTTATCCAAATATTTCAAGGAAAAAGACAGACACTATGGTAACTACTATTAAGTCGGGTTATTTGGTGGTGAAGCACTAGGTTGCTGACACAGTCATGCTTTGACCTGTATTGTTATATTGTTATGTCCTGTTTTATCTCAATCTCTCCCTTATTCTTTAAAAAAATTATTTAGTTATTTCTTATGTTTGTTTTAATTAAGGGGAAAAATTTTAAAAATTAGGATATATAATAGTATCTCTTTTTGATTTCCTATTAACTTGGTTTGAAGTCCTGTAATACTCCCACGATCTTGTTTTGACTGATTAGACTCTGTTCCATTCTGTATGATAGTATCAAGTTTGAGGTTATAGGCAACTACTTTGAAGGCAATAAGATTCACTAAGATGCCCATTCTGGTTTGACTATTGTCTCCTTTGGAAGTCCTGTAATGTTTACAATGCCTAAGTTTTATTGGTCTTGTTCTCTACTGTTTTGTCCAACTTTATAATATCTAATGAGATAGACAATTCTTTTTAAGGAAACAAGAGACATTGTTGATAACCATTGTTGATAACCTTGTACTCTTCTACATCATGTGCTATGTCTATCCTTGGTTTTGACTGACAGCTTTGTTTTGCCATATTTGACTTTATTCTCTCCCCCCCCAAAAAGTAATAAGAACTAAGGAGTAATAAAATCCAAAATGTGTAAATTTTGTTGTAAAAAAGAGATGGGAAAAAAAAAGAGCTCTAACGGATATAACAGCAAGTGTGTTTAGGGGTGTTAAATAGCTGACTATATTAATGTTTTTGGATCATTGAACACAGCTGTTTGCAGTCTCTCTGTTTGAATGTCCACTTTGTATTCTTTGATACTGTGATTTGAGGAACTATTTCCAAGATGATAATATGTAATCTATTAACAGGTGATTGCTTACTGTTATGTTTTTTTTTTGTAGTTCTGTATTACGTGTACCCTTATACCGCTTTGTTTTGTTTTGTGTTTTTCTCTTTTTCCTCTTAAAATTAAAAAAAAAAGAAATGGTAAGAGTACAGAAGATACAAAATACTCAGTAAATACAGTGAAAATATAAGAATTTGCTTAAAGGGGAAAAACTATCTCAGGGAAAATGAGGAAAAAGAAGAAGGAAGGGAAAAGAAAAAATATCTAAAATTATAAAAAATACACTTAGGATAGCTAAGATTACTATGCTACAGATTCTATAAGTTCTTGGAACAAAAAGTTAACATTCATAGGGTTGGAACAATTGTGCATGTTAGTGTATGCTGATCTGAGGAACTCTTGAAGATCATTATGTAAAATAACAACCCTAGTTATGCTCCTACCACCTTGTTTTGAAGGCCTATATAATTGTCAGTGTTTTGGGCTCTTTACTATTGTTATTTGTCTTTTTTGTTTTGTGTTTTCTAGGATTTTGTTTTGTTTTGTTTTTCCCTCTAATGCAGAAAGGATAGATATACATGTAGAAACTCATTCATGCATAGAACTTCTCCTAAACAGTTTATGAGAATCAATTATATAATGTGTGATGAGGTGAACAGCTACTTTGAAGAAAAAGAGACACTGTGGTACCCAGTGCTGATTCTGTAGTGTCATACTGTGAAATCCAGCAGCGCTATTATTCTTTGTTCAGAGTGATTTTAGTCTGTTTTGTATTGTTTAATTTCAACATTCATTAAGGTATGGACAGCTATTTTGAAGAGAACAAGAGACATAGCAGCCATTGTTGATTTCCCTATTGTCTGGTTTTATAATAAAGACTTATAATAAAGACTTCATCATCCTGTTCTGATCAGTTTAGTACTATTTTGTTTTGTATGAATTTATTGTGTGTGAAGATATGGATAACTATTTGGAAGAGTTGGAGGCCAGCCTGAACTACATAACAAGACTCTGTCTCAAGAAAGAAAAAAAAAATAAAATAAAAAGAAATCTAGCAAAGTACTTAAAAATAGGTTGTTTTAAGGAGGCTAAGGTAGGTGGATCACTTGAGCCCAGGAGTTTGAGACCAACCTGAAAAGCACAGTGATACCTTATCCCATCTGAGGAGAAAGGAAAAAAACAAAATTATTTCCTTTTTCTTTTATTTTTAGAGGAGGGTCTTACTATGAAGCCCAGACTGACCTTGAACTCATAATCCCCCTGCCCCAACATCCTAAATGTTGAGATTATCGGTATGCATCACCATGCCCAGATTTATTAGCTTTCTCAGTACTCTACTTTATGTGTTTTAATGTAAAACAGCTAATTTTATGCCATTCAGCAGCCAGACCAAAAGATTATTGTTGTTCCAATGATTGAGGGAGAAGGAAGTACTAGAGATTGAGCCCAGGGCCTTTGCATTGAGCTACATCGTCAGCCCTTCACCTTTTTCTTTAACTTTGGGTCAGGTTCTCACAGAGTTGTTAAATTGCCCAGGCTGGGCTCAAACTTACAGTCCTCCTGTTTCAGCCTCTCAGAGTTCTGGGATCACAGGCAGAGTTTTTTTGTACCTTAATCAAACTAAGCTTGGCACAGTAGCACAAGCCTAAATACCTAGGTACTCTAGCAGCTGAAGTTCACTTAAGCCCTGGAGTTCAAGGCTAATCTAAGCAACAAAATGAGAGACCATGTCAAAAAAAATTAAGTGTTTAATATGAAAACAATAATAATAAAAAACTAGGCACAGTGACATATACTTGTGATCCCAGTTACCGGGCAAGCTAAGGCAGAATGAAGGGTCACTTAAACCCAGAAGTTTGAGATCAGCCTAGGCAAATAAATAAGAGTCTGTCTGGGGAAGAAAAAAAAAGAGGAAAGAGACAGAGAGAAAAGAAGGATAGAAAAATGTAAACTGGAGGATGGGGTTTAACTCAGTGGTAAATCATATGCTTAGCATACGCAGCACCTGGGTTCAATCCATAACAACCCCCTTCTCCCCAAAAAAGTAAATATGAAATATGTTCTTCAGCAGAGGGAATGGCTTTCACTAACAACATCCTAGCTATTCTGCTGGACAGGTGAAAAACTAACTATACAACCATTCTCAAAAACTGAAAATAGCTCTTTTTCTATGTTGTCTTTCTAGCTGAACACACACACACTGGCTAATGGTTTTGCACATATTTAATGGCATCTCTGTCCCTTCCTTCCCTACCTAGAAATGGCTGGAGCTTTTGTGGCAGTGTTTTTACTAGCAATGTTCTATGAAGGACTCAAGATAGCCCGAGAAGGTCTCCTGCGTAAATCACAAGTCAGCATTCGCTACAATTCCATGCCTGTCCCAGGACCAAATGGAACCATCCTCATGGAAACACACAAAACTGTTGGGTAAGAAGATTCAACAGGTTTACATGGAAATTCTGGAGAGCTGGCTTAGTTAAGCAGCAAAGCAGCTATTTGTAGTAGCCTTGTCTTGAATGAAGTAGACGCAGGTGGTGAATCGCTGCAAGTTCAAGGCCAGTATGCACTAAGTGAGTTCAAGGCCAGCCTGAACTACACAGCTAGAACTTGTCTCAAAAAACAAAAAAACAAGCCGGGCATGGTAGCTCATGCCTGTAATCCCAGCACTCGGAAGGCTGAGGAAGGAGGAACGTTGCGAGTTCAGGACCATCCTGGGCTACAAAGTGAGCTCAAGGCCAGTCTGAACTGTATAGTGAGACCTTGTCTCAAAAAGACAAAAACAAAAAACAAAAAAACTCATTTGAGGCTTTAGGAAGCTCATCAGTACAATGGAAATAAATAATATTGTTTGCCTAAAAGCAGGATGTTGGTTGATGGGATTTTATAAAACTCAATATAGCTTGAAGACCTAATATAATTGAAACTTCCCTAAGATGACACAGAGAATGAGTAGTAAAACCTCCTGATCTCTAATTCATTAATTTCTAGTATACCATCCAGCTCTCAATTTTAATTCTATTTATTTGTCGACTGAAATTTGCAAAGGTAGATAGCTCCAAAATCTTCAAATTAATACATATGGAAAGGTTTTGGGCTTCCCTTTCAGGGTCTAAAGTGGGGATAAATCAAGATTATTTCTCCTTTTACCCTCTTGTCAAGAATTGTGCCTCCTACCAACAACACATAACCATATCTGTACAGTGACAGTCCTATGGTATTTCATTTCAGGAACCAATAAAAACACACATGTATTATCCATGAGTTGGCAACTGGCTGTCAGGCAGTCCAGTTGAGGCTGACCTCGTGGCCATACCTGCTGCCTCTTTCTTCTGATCTGCAGAGCTCCTTTGAGTCTGACTGTTGTGTCCTTATTTATTCCCCAGGCAGCAAATGCTGAGTTTTCCTCACCTTCTGCAGACAGTGCTGCACATCATCCAGGTGGTCATCAGCTACTTTCTCATGCTTATCTTCATGACCTACAACGGGTACCTCTGCATTGCAGTAGCAGCAGGGGCTGGAACAGGATACTTTCTCTTCAGTTGGAAGAAGGCAGTGGTAGTGGACATCACAGAGCATTGCCATTAATGTCAGTCTGTGGCGTGGCCTTATTGATTGAAGTGGGAAGCAGTTCAGGACTGGAAGACGTAATTCCTGCTCCAATCATCCCTCCGTGTTCTTGTCTCTTTACACACACACATACACACACCCACACACCTGCTGAATAGAGGTCTAGTTTACAGTTTCTTCTCCAAGGAAAATCATTTTTTTCTAATAAGCTGAGATTCCCATTACCCTTGAAGAGAAACTACCCATGAGATGTCTTTTCCTTCATCATCCTAAATTTTTGTCTAATCTAGGTAGCTTTCTAGTCAATGACTTGATTGCTTCCTTTTTTTTAGTCTTCTGGATTTTTTGTTTTTAACAGATGATATGTGAATTTGGTGTCCCTCCCCAACCCTGAGTCAGTGATGGAAAGAGATTAACTTGAGCCAGTATTGATGGAAGCTGAAGGATATTCTTGCCCACCTAACTCCCAGACTCAAACTTCACATTAAAATTAAGCTTCAGTCTTTAGACTCCAAAACGGGGAAATACATTGTGCCTTTTTTAGCTGCAATGTGTTGCACCAAAATCTTGGTAGTATGCAGAAGAGTGATTTTGAAACTAAATACAGGCCCAGAACCTGTAGAGTGTGTATTCTTGAGTTGCTAACTCATTAGCTTGGGTTCTCACTTAACATTTTGATTAGAATGAGCTTATTAATCAAATAATGACAATCAATTTGAGAAAATAGACTAGACATTTTTAAATAAAACCATTGGCATTTTGCTTTCACTTGATATCTTTGTTTGTCCCAGCTGCACAAAGCAAGAGTTTGATTTTTATTCCTCATTTTGTTTTCATGCACCCACCTCCAAACCAGTGGGGGTTTTTGGTTTTTTGTGGGTTTTTTTTTTTTTTTGGTCTCTTGAAACAGGCAGGCTTTGGGCTCACTTTGTAGCCCAGGATGGTCTCGAACTTGCAGCAATCCTCCGGCCTCACCCTCCCGAGTGCTGAGATTAGGAAAGTGCACCACCACCAAACCTGGCTCAAACCAGTAGTTTTCAAACTTGCGCTTACATTAGGATTATCTGGAGAGCTAGGGATGTAACTTAGCAGCACAGTGCCTGCCTCAAAGTGATGAGTTCGATTCCTGGTACCAAAAAATAAATCATCTGGAGAGATTGTTAAAACACCAGTTATGGGCCCCAAATATAACATATCTAAGTTCCCAGGTGATGCCCTGCTGCTGAACTAGAATACCACATTTTAAGAATCTCTGTTTTACACTAGAAAACTGTGAGGTGGGAAGGCTACCTGTATTGGGCATGAGAATTTGAATTGCTGGTTGATAGGTGGTATGTCTGGGCATACCTCACATCGTAAATGTTGTCAATACTTAATCATTCCACAAATATTTATTCAGCGCCAACTGTGTGTATGTGTACTCACATGTGTGAAGGACTGTAAAGTACTTACATCAGCACATATGAAGTCAGTCCTTTTTTTAAAAGATCTATGATTCCTTGGAAACAGTTTGAAGGCTGAGAGAGACCTTTGCTGTGCAGTAAAAATGAGCCACTCATGGGGCCAGAAGGGCAAACAGAAGTCCACCTTTCTCTTTATAGAGACATAGAGTGTGGTCTGCTGATGCCCAGATTTTCCTCAGTCCCCAACATTCTTGTCTATACTAGGTACATCATCCTCATGCTTCGCGTGACCACCTCTATTATTATTATACTTGGGGGCTTTATTAGGTCACAAGTGGCCAAAACCTCTTTTCTCAATGAAGAATTACATTGGATTTTTATTCTGTTCAGTTGTTAATCTATGCTGTAGTCTTGTTTCCAAACTACCTCTTGAAAGTGATTCTTCTTGTACTGGTCTGTTCATTCTTGCCCTCCGTGGTGCTAGATCTGGTTGTGCCTCAGGGCAGAAGAGAGGAAACACAGTTATCCTGTTGTCCTGTGTTGTGGTTTTGAAATTTTTACTTTCTCTGTGGGTACCAGTTAAAATTGGAGCGCAAAGAATGTGTACTTCCACATCTGTGAACCAAGAGAGGGTTATAAGCCTCCTGGGTGGAGATTAAAATGCAAGAATCAACACTTAGACCTCTGTACTTCTCTCACATTTCATCCCCTTGTAGTGCTAATACTTAGCATGAGCAAAGTGAATCACAGGCATTTAACACCCTTAATGTAGATATAAATAGCCTTCATTAAACAGCTTTGTTCCTTAAAAGTCAAGGAATAATACCATGAGGTGAACATAAGAATCAATGTTTATTGGTGACTTTGGTGCTCTTTAGAAATCTAGGCATGAGCTGCTATAAAATACCTTCAGAGAACAGATATCAGTGGGATAAGAAAAATCTAGGCCAGTTGAGATAAAGTGCTACAAATTTGAAACTCAGAGAGAAATCTCAGTTCCCAGACAACTCTTAAGGCGTTTGGGGTAGAGATAATCTGAAACACACGAATTTTACAGATCCTTAGACAAGATTGCCAAAGGCTGAAGCTAGTGAAGGACAAAACAGTTAAAGCTTAAATTCCCATCTTTCTTGAGCTCATGGATTCTGATGATACAGTGATCTCATTGACTTTCACTTCTGTATCCCTGTTCACTTGGAATTTAATGCCTGAACTCTCTGGCTTTTTTTTTTTTTTTTTTTTTTTTTTTTTTTTGGTATTTTATATCTAAACAGGTTTTTTCTTCCCTTTTTACACCTGCTATAAGAGTGTGTCTCCATTTCTTTGCCATCTTTGCTGACCTCCCTATCTCTCAGTCTTTGCTATGCCATGGATATAACTACCAACCATAAAGGTATTTATAAACCTGGTAGATCCCTTAAGTATGTGTCTGGAAGCAAATGCCCCACTGGAATTTCTATACAGCTCGGTAAAAGGCTACCTAGTACTGATGCCAGCATTATAAATCTGAGGTGCTTCTCTAGTCTGTGATGAAGGAATACTTAACACCCCCATTGGCCACAAGTGGTATCCTGGGTCCACCACAGGATTGAAAATTAGTTTCTTTCAGTACTTCTATGGTAGGATTGTAGAGAATGCCCTTTCAGATTGTATGTACTGGGATTGGGTTCCAGTCACAAAGGAATGAGGCAGGTGGTGCACACTCATGTCCTTTCATTTTGATCCTGCCCTTTTGAGCTGCTTCTACAGAAGATACATTTAAAGATACAAAATCTACATTTCAAATAATGCCTTAATCACTGGGTCTACAATTCATGTTGACTGTTTTAGATTGTAAGCTCCTGAGAGCAGTATTGCTAAATTAGAAATGTTTTAACAGTGTCATGTGCAAAAGAACAAAATAAATATTTTGATTTTGTGATTCTAGTATGTCTTTCCATTCAAGATGGCATCAAAAGCTGGTCTCTTCAGTCAGCATACGTGCTGGCCATTAGCATCAGTTTTAAGATGTCAGGGCCTGTTAGGGTGGCACAATCCCATTGTCATCTCACTCTACTTAAGATAACGATTTAGTATACACCAGAAGATCTACGTTACCTTCTGCATGGGACACAGGCTCTTCACGAAGTTGTGTATGTCCATATACCAAGTATTCCTGAATTTAAAAGCTAGTCATCATAATCCCTTTCCTGTGTTTATACCATCAAGAGGAAGCTCTGAACTGGGCCCAGAAGTTCACTGCAAAACTTGTGATGAGCCCTGCCTCTCCCTGTTACTCCAGTAATGCCAGAATGCTGGTGGTGTTTGCTGTCCTGCTGTCCCCTCCATGTGCATCTTGCCATTGCTAGTTTTGTCCTTAGTATAACGTGAAGAGCAAGGATTTTGGAGTCAGTAGGTTTGACTCTGAACTGTACCACTCCAGCAATGTGACTTTAGGAAATGTTATCTAACCTTAAGCTTTCATTTTCTCACTTGTAAAACGGCAATAATAGTGCTTATTTCAATTAGCAATTTGGGTAAGGCACCCCAGCCATGTGTTTATTATATAATTATATTCTTCCTCCAGTGCTCAGGAAAATAAAAGATAAACACTTCTAGATAAGGTTAGTATCTCTACAAGCTTCTAACCAACTTCCTGAGTTTGGCTAATCCAGAAATGAACAGATAGATTCTAAGAAATAGAGTTGATGCATGTGATTTCAATTGTACCAAGAGATTAACAGCCGCAGTAAGACCTTACCTAACTGATCTGGCAATAGTCTCATTCTGCTAATAAAACAGCATGAAAATTTTTCGAAATCTAAATACAGTAGCCTCTATCTGATATCGCCACTTCCTTAGACTCCGCAAAGGAAGACCAAAAAGGCAGTGCAACAGTGAAGTTCACAAGCATGGGTTCAGAAAGCAATCTGTGTGCAAATCTCAGCTCTACCACTTAACTGCTGAACTTAATTTTTTTTAAAATCAGAATTAAGTATCCTCATAGGAGTTATCTGCATAGAGCATGCTACGTATCTTACAGTCCTAGAGCTTGTTATCAGTAAGAACAGAGAAGATACTGAGAAGGTACATTGTATTCGTGCTTCTGTACCAGTTCTTGTCCTTGAATTTAATGGATGATTCAAGATTATCCTGAGTTGTGCTAAAATGTGTTCATGCTGGAAAAATGACTACACAAATTGAGATAAGGCTGCGTGTGGTGGCACATTCCTGTAATCCCAGCACCTGGGAGGCTGAGACTGGATGATTGCTGCAAGTTTGAGATCAGCCTGGGCTACAAAGTGAGTTCAAGGCCAGCCTGAACTGCATAGTGAAACTGTCTCAAAAAGAAACAAACAAACAAAAAAAAACTTAGGAAGAAAACTAGAAAAACAGTAACATTGTCAGGAGAGTTCCTTAAGTTTCGACTAATTTTCTGTTCTATGTTATACTCAAACCGGTTACAGAGTCATTCAGGAAAACCTATCCAGCACTTACAATTTGCTTAGATTAATACAAATCAATAGGATCTAATGGCCATAAGGACAGAGATCTTTGCTGATTACAATTGGAAGCCACTCAAATACTTGAACAAATGAGTTAAATGACATTGACAAAGACCAACCAGAAATGTTCTGTGCTTAGAGTCTTTTAGCATGACGTTACTTTTATCAATGTTATCTTTCAAGGCCCAGGACTTAGCAGTGCTACTCTGCTTCATTAAAGATGTCTCATATTTTCCAAAAATATATTTATTTTTAAAAACAAAAATCAGATGTTTCACAGAATAAATTTTTCCAGAGACAAACCAGAGTTCAGATTCCAGCTTAGTGTGAAAGGTGAACATCAGTAATTTCATGCAGAATTTATCTTTCTCTGCAGGAAGTAAAAGAATCTGCTTCACTGCATGTACTCAGTTCTCTAAATCTGGTTTGTATTTCTGCCATCATTTTATTCCATTCCAGGACTCTCTCATGCAAGGGAATTCATCTTTAAAACTCAAAACTTCCAAATTGAGATGAGCGATTGTTTGGCTTCGGTTGCGGTTTATAACCAATCCGATCATTAATCATCTGTTCCCGGCTTTTGGGGTCAGTGCCAAGCCCAATGGCTCCTTCTCCATCATTGCCTCCTACAACATCCACATCTTCCTTCTGTTTCTTGCGGGTCTGAAAGTACAAAAGTTTTTTTCAGGATTTAAGGCAATATTCTTTCTTTTTTTTTTGTATTTTTCCTTTTTATCAGTACCGGGAATTGAACCCACGACTGCCTGTTTGCAAGGCAGGCGCTTATGCCACTGAGCTAAATCCCCAGCCCCGGCAATATTCTTTCAATTGCAAATGTTTATTTGGTACCTACTCTGCACTGGGCATGGAGTAAAGGAAACAGTTAGGGTCTAATGAACAATAAACTGAATATCCTAGATTTTGGATATTTAAGTATAAAAGGGATACAGACATACAATGATAAAGATATCTCTGCTCCAAGATATCATAGTGCGGTTGGGAAACAGGCAAATAAACTGTTTAGCAGTGGATGATCAGCGATAGGACAGAGGAAAGCCCACATTGTCAAACACAAGTAAAAAGTTGGAGGTACAGTAGAAGAGGTTTGAATCAAGAAGCTGCCAAAACTTCTAATGTAACTGTCATGGCTTCTACCACAGCTACCATATCCTCTATAATATCCTAGTTTCAGTAGCCTGGCCCACTTCCTTAGCCCCCAGTACTACTTGAACTACAATCACCTAAATCTGTTAACAGCCACCATTGCTTCCCCTTCCACCAGTTGCCACCAAAGTCAAAATTACTTCCACTACCTCCAAAGTTTCCTCCACAGCCTCTCTGTGATCCACTTGGCAACATTTCTTGTTTAAAAAGAGAATCAACAACTGGGATCTCATCTCACTAAAAAGTTTTTGCACTTCAAATGAAATCATCAACAAAGTGAAACAAAAACCCACAGAATGGTACAGACAAAGGACTTACATCTTTTTTTTTTTTTTTTTGTCTTTTTCATTTTTATCGGTACCAGGGATCAAACTCACGATTGCCTGCTTGCAAGGCAGGCGCTTATGCCACTGAGCTAAATCCCCAGCCCCCAGGACTTATATCTAGAACATACAAAGAACTGAAAAACATCAAGCCCCCCAAATTCAAAGACCCTCTCCAAAAATGGGCATCTGAGATGAACACACAGTTCTCAGATGAAGATACACAAATGGCAAATAAATATATGAAGAAATGTTCACCATCACTGGTCATTTAAGAAATGCAAATTAAAACAGCATTGAGATTTCATTTCACTCCAGGAAGAATGGCTGCCATCAAGAAATCAACCGATAACAAATATTGATAAGGCTACGGAGAAAAAGAAACACTGCTCCACTGTTGGTGGGAGTGTAGACTGGTGCAGCCACTGTGGAAATCAGTATGGAGATTCCTCACAAAACTAGGATTGGAAGTTCCATTCAATCCAGCTATTACCCTCCTGGGTATTTTCCAAGAAAAATTGAAAAGGTCATGTTTCAGCAATATATATGCACCCATGTTTAGAGCAGCGTAATTTGCAATAGTTAAATATTGGAAACAACCAGAATGCCCATCAACTGAAGAATAGATGAAGCAGATATTTTTATACAATGGAATGGTATTTTTATACAATGGAATATTACTCGGCTATAAAAAAGCATGGTCTTGAGGCCTTTATAGGTAAATGGAGGCAACTTCAGACTATCCTCGTGAAATAAATCAGACTCACATTTGCAAATATCATATTGTCTGTCTAGTATAAAAATAAAAAGCTGAAAGAGTAGTAAGATCCAAAATGTATAATAGATATTGTGATAATGAAAGGCAAAGACAGTGCTCTAAAGGATTTAACTATGTTTAAGTGTGCAAGATAAATAACCATACTGCTGTTTTTGTTATTTGATCAAATAGAATAGTTTTTACTGTCATTGTTTGATCACTTTTTATGCTTTGATTTTGTGACTTGAACAACTACTTCTAAGATAACTATATATAATTTATCAACTAGTGATTTGTGTTATTTTTTGAAATTCTATATTATTTCTACCCTTGTTTTGCTTTTTTTCCTCTAAATAAAGTCTTTTGTACTTTACACTTATGCCCATCAACAGTGTGATTTCTGAATTTTTTGAGATAGGATCTTCCTATGAGGCCCAGGTTGTCCCTGAACTTGTGCAGTCTCCAGTGCCTCTTCTCCTGCCTCAGCCTCCTGAGTGCTAGGATAATGGGTGTGTATCACAACCCCCATTTCTGCTTCAGCCTTGACATACTTCTCAAAGTAGCCTCTCAAATTATTTTCTGTATCATCTTTAATGCTGCCAACAAAAATCTTCTTCACTGTTAGATGTGTATCTGGCTTACAGAGTCCTCTCTAGAAATAGCTCTTCAGTTCTACTCCATGCCCATCAAGTTTATGTACTCAAGTTCTTGCATCAACACAATCTGTGAGTGTGCCAGCTTTCCCAGTGTTCTCTTATACTATCCTCTGCACTTTCAAAGTTTAGACAAGCAAATAAATCTTCTCAACTGCCCTGGCTCCTTTCAACTGTGGCTCTTTATGGCAGGCTGCAGTCAGGCTAGGGGTGACCAGGCAGTGCTTTACTGCCACTTGGTGATCACACTCATGCTGAGCTACATCTATCTTACATTAGACAGAGAAGAGGAGGCCAGGCTTCATTTTATCTTTGTATAACCATTTGGCTCTTCAATCACAAGTGACTACTCAATTCACAAAGTATATCTCAGCTTATTTTCAAAAGGAGAGACTAACAATGATCCCATAACAACTACGACCTGACTGTAATTACTGGATGATAACAGCTTTCTCTAAAAGTGAGTAAAAGTTTGAGCTGGAGTTCCTTACCAGAGTAGATCAGCTGCTCTAATCACTGGAATGACTGCCATTCTGTACCACTCACAGTGAACTGTGAGCATCTAAAGGACAACATCAAAGTATTACAGTGAGTCAGAGCCAGGTCTGGTGGTTCACAACTACAGTCCCAGTGCTCCGTGAGGTTGCAGCAGGAAGACAGCAAGTTCAAGAGGCCTAACTGGGAAACTTGGTGCAAGTTTTGTTTTAAAAAAATAAATAAAAGGGCTGGGGATGTAACTCAGAGCAGGCACCCTAGCTTCACTCTACAGTATCTTTTTAAAAAATTATTTTTTAAAGCCAAGTATTACAATAAATCCAGTGAAGTACAGGTCATGCTTCCAATGAGAATGGACAGTAATGGGACCTGCACGTACTTATCATGCCTGCTCTTAGGACTGTCAGCCTCAGAATTATACCCTTTCTCAATTCTATCAGTTGTGTAGCTGCCTCCACAGTAAAAGGGCACAATCTCCTCTTCCTCAAAGGCCAGACTTCCTTAAAGATGTTCTATATTTTGATCTGGGTGCGGGTGGTTTGCATTCTGTTCCACTCTTTGAGAAGGTGGATCCACCCTCTTCCTAGTTTGCTGAATGTCTCTTGTAGGTACAGAGTCTATTTCAAAAATGTTGTTGCTTTGCTAGAATCCTCTCTAGTATACCTTTTACTTCTTTTTAAATTTTCTAAAGGCTAGTAATGGAAGTATGTTGGTTTCCCATATCCATACTTTTGTTGTGTTCAGTCATACAAGCACAGTGTCTCCCACGCCATCTTGGCCCACTACCTCCACTGCAGTCACTGCGATAACTGGTCTCTGTGTTTAGCAGAGCAAGCTGACTCTGCAATGTTCAGTCTGCTGGCATTTTTATAAGATGCATTACATCTGAAGCTTCACTATACCTAAAATATATGCTTAGTAAGGTACTATCGATATAAGCTCTTAAAATGTGACTGCTGGGATAAAAATGGGTGGAGAATGTAAGCTTATCAGTCTTAATACAAAGCAAGCTAACCATTTTTTGAATACATGCAAGATATAATGTCCCCTGCCATATACTACAAATATGTATTAGGATAACAAATGAAAATAGATGTGTATTGAGCCCTCCTTTGGGAAGAAATTGCAGAGATCGATAAACTAATCCTTTTTGTTTATTTTTTGAGACAGGGTCTCCCTTGCCTTGAACTCACTATGTAGCTCAGGCTGGCCTCGAACTCACACAAATCTTCCAACCTCAGCCTCTCATGTGCTAGCAGTACACATGTGTACCACCATGCCCAGGAGAGACACCACTTTTGCTTGAAGGAGCTTATGGCCCAGTGGAGGAAAAGAGAAAAAAATAGAAAATTACAATAGACAGTGATAGTACCTATGATGGGGGAAGAGGCTAGGTCTGCAAGATGCTGAGTCAACAGATGAAAATGGCATTCAGGCAACGAGAACACTATGTGCATAGGAACTGAGATTTAATTTGAAGATAATCTGGCAATTAAAGATAAAGCAGAGATGAGCACCCCTGGTCACATTTCTTATGTGCCACGATGAGAATCTTGGACTTTTTCCGAAAGGCTTGGAAGAATTTATGTCTTACAAGCGACATTTAATACAATGTAGCAAGGCCACATTTAAAAGTACATATTGATAGCCCACTGTGATGGTGCACATTTGTAATCCCACTGCTTGGCAGGCTGAGGCAGGAGGACTGCAGCAATTCTGAAACCAACCGGGGTTACATAGTTAGTTCAATCCCAGCGTAGACTACATAGTGAAACCTCCCCTTCAAAAAACAAAAATGTAAATTCTAAAAAATAGTATGAAGCTGGAATGGTGGCATACAACTATAAGCCCAGCACTTGGGAGGCGAAGCAGGATTGCTGTGAGTTTAATGCCAGCTGGGCTACATAGCGAGATTCTGTCTCTAAAAAATAAATAAATAAAGGCAGGAGGATCACTGTGAGTTTGAGGTCAGCCAGGGATACATAGTTCAAGGCCAACCTGAACTACACAGTGAGTCCCTGTCTCAAAACACTAAAAAAAAAGAAAAAATGCTATGAAAAACATGCGATGCTTTGTGAGAACCTAATGAGATCAATGTCACTGGGACAGGAAGGATACACCCAATTAATTGGATGGGTTCAAAACAGCTTCTCAGAGTAGGGAGGCAACACTGAAAGTAGGAATGAAGAAAGAAGATACACTCAAGGCAGAGGAAACTGGTACGTGCAGAAATGATCAATGTCTCATCATATTCAAAAAGAAAAAGCCAGAAGTAGTGGGGCACACCTACAACCCCAGCACTCTGGGCAGCCAAGGCAGGAGCATGAAGCTTGGGCCCTGGCTGGGCCACTTCCCAGACCATGTCTCAAAACTGAAAAATACAAAAGGAGTGTGGATGTAGTTCAATGTGAAGGCCTGGGTCTGAAAAAAACAAACACTGGAAAGAGAAGGAAAACACCACCAGGTACAGAAAGCAAGGTGGAGGTGGCATGAGGTGAACTAGAGAGGGGTTCAAACACATAGAGGCTTGGAAGCCACGGGAAGTAATTCAGATCATAGTCCAAGTACAGAAAGCCACTGAGGAGTTTTAAACGACAAAATAGAATGTTCTCCAAAAAATTTTAAAGAACATTCTAGGTATCCACCTGATGGACAACGAATTGTTAAAAGAAAAATGGTATAGAAAGACCATTTAGTGTGCTACTACAGTTGCACAGGGAGTGATACCTGGGTAGATTCTAGTTGCCCAGAATCACAGGGTTTATAGACAGACTGAACATGGAGGGTGAGAGAAAGGATGGACTCAAAATAACTGTGTTTCAGGTGTGAGCAGCTGAATGGACACTGACACAGAGGACTGATTTGAGGGACAAATCAAGAGTTTTTAGCTAGGCATGGTGACACACCTGTAATCTAGCGTGGGTTCAAAATCAGCCTGAACAACACTGTAAGATCTTGCCTCAAAAAAGATTTTTTTTTTTTGGTGGGGGGCACAACATTGTGACTATTAATTTTTTTAATTTTTAATTTTAAAGACAATAAAACCAAGCAAAATAAAACATAATAATGTCAATCAAAGCAAAACAGTATAAATGATACAGAATTTCAAAACAAGATAATAGGAAATCAGCAGTGGCTACCATGCCTCTTGTTGTCCTCAAAATAGCTGCCCATACCATCAGACTTAGTAAAATCAAACAAATCAGAACAGAATAAAACCAGTAAAAACAAAACAATGAATGCAATATAGGACTTCAAAAAAGATAATAATAAACTCAAAATGTCGGGATTTTTTTTTAACCTGTAAGAATAGGAGACTTTTTTTTAACCTGTAAGAATAGGTGCCCTCCCTCAGTCTATCAGAACAGTAATTTCTAGAACAGTGTTCTAGGAACAGTAATTCCTAGGACAGTGATGATGAACCTTTTAGAACTTTCAATGAAACAAAAAACAACCTACTGAGCCACGCATGCCATAGGTGCACCCGCACTGTTCTAGAACCCATAAATGCTGCCTTTAATAGGCAGTAAAATTTTCTGCAGAAGTAGTTAAATTAAGGATCTTGAGCTGTGGAGATTCTTCTGGATTATCCAAGTAATCCCTAAAACTACTCACACATATAAAAGAGGGATAGGGAAATTTCACACACAGAAGAGAAATAGGTAGCGTGACCAGAAAGAAGACTGCTGTGAGGTGACCACAAGCAAGGAAACTTCAGCAGCTATCAGAAGCTAAAGAGCCAAATCAGGGATTCTCCTTAGATCCTCTAAAAGAAGCACAGCCCCTGACACCTTTATCTCAATCCTGATGATACTAAGATTTGTAGCCTATAGAACTATGAAAAAATTAGTTTCTGTTGTTGTAAGCCACCATCATGCAGTACTTTGCTATGGCAAGAAACTAATACATTAAATATGAGATGCTTGTTAACATCAGAGATTTCCAATAAACTGTTGGTATAAGAGTCTAAAGTCTAAGGTTCAGAACCCTCTAGACTTATCAGGTCCTAATTCCAAGAACCTATAAACATGGGGTTAAATAGGTCCTAAGGGTTTGAAAGTTGTACTTTTACCTCTAGGTCCTTTCGAATGTTCTCGAACTCTTCAATGTCATCAAGTTTCAGCTCCAGGCGTGTTGGTTTTCTTCGCAGCATACTGAGGTCAACACTAACAGTGAGACCCAGTAAACTACTAGCTGTTAAAGGTGGCAGAGAAGAAGAAAAACTATAGGTGGTAAGTTGCAGCTACACATATGAGATCAATTTGTAAGTGTGTACACTAAAGCAGTATTTAAAAATTCATTTATATTCACTCAGACAACTAAAGTCTTTAGGTGCCTGATTATTACATTTTCATTATAGGATATGGAGATCTACAACACCTACGTTTAAAAAAATCTTTCTAAAAGAACTTAAAAACAGCAAAGTGCTTGTGAAACAATTCCAGGCAACAATCACTTTAATTTCACGTTATAGTCATAATCACAAAAATATTCTAGCTAAAACTAAAGGTAGGCAGGTGCAGTGCATGCCTATAATTCCAGCTAGGCAGGAGGATTGCTTGAGCTAGTTCAAGGTCAGCCTGAGCAACAGCAAGATACTGCCTCAAAAAAAAAAAAAAAAGAAAAAGAAAAAGAAATAAAAAAAGAAAAGTAAAAAAGAATCATGCTATTATATCTTAGTTCGGATAGTAACAGGGTGAATGGAAAAATCATTAAATTTAATCTGCTCCACAGGGAACTCATCAGAGATTGTGATCACTCTGGAGCCAAAATGAGTTTTTGCTAACTATCATGAAAATTGTGAACTCACCAATTTACAAGATTATCCTCAGGATCTAACTCAATCCTAAATGAGTTAGTCATTGATTAAACAAACTCTTCCTGTGCTCCAACTACAGAGTTAAAAGGCAGTCTCAATCTGTAGGGAAATAGACAAGTAAAGAGAAAACTGCAACGCAGTGTATTACACTGTGTTACTGATACAAGTAATACAGTGGCACCACACAGATCCCAGTCCAGTCTGGTCTGCACATGGGTGCACAGGGATGTCGGGCAAGGCTTTGTGTGGAAAAATTATCTCCATTTTATAAAGAAGTTGAAATGAGCTGTTCAGTTTAACGATGCTGGCTTCCTATAAAAATTACATATAGGTCAACATGGTGAAGATTAAAGGCTGATGATGTAAATGAAAATTCTATTAAGTAGGTACAGATATAAACGATATAGATATAGATTATCCAGATTAACCAGGGATTATGAAGTCTATAAAAGAAGAAACATTTCCTTCTCCCCTGAGGATTGGGACAAATATACATGACAGCAACACAAAACACTGACACTTGACATTTTAAATTGCTTTGTATTAAATCACATACTATCTTGAAAACAAAGTTCCAAAGAGGGTAAGGCAGCATACTTAGAAAAAAATCGAAAAAGAAAAAGAAAATAAAAAACCAGCAGACAGCCTTTTCTGCCAACTGTGAAAATCTCACCAACTCGCCTCTACAAGGCAGTATAGAATAACAGCTAAACACGCCAGTTCTGCGACGATAGCATTGATTTGAACCCTCTCCGCTACTGATCTTAAGCGATTAGCTCTACCTTAGTTTCTGAGCTAGGGATGATTTAGTCGTAGAATTTTTGCCTTGCATGCATAAGGCGCTAGGTTCGATCCCCTGCACTACAAAAACAAAACGAAGACCTTAGTTTCTCTGTCTTTACTGTGTGGCGTGACTTGAACGCTGTGATGCACTGTAATCTCCTGAAACACAGTTCACACTTAAGCACTCAAAAAATAAATAGGGGAGGGCTGCCTGGAGTATTGGGTTGGGGAGAAGTCTGTTGTCCAGATCAGCAAACAAATATTCTTGGAATCTTCACTCCCACCGGGCCATATTGGGGAGAAAAAAGAAACCACCTGATCTTTATCTTTGACGTCCCAGCAAGCAGCAGTGCACAGTCGTTTGCATGCAGTTTACCTGGTGCCTTCCTATCCATCACCCCATTCTATATCCAATTTAAAGAAAGGATTGAAGACAACGAAGTCAAGCCGAAGCGCCCCCTCGACATCTTTATTTCACTTAGACGCTCTATTTTACTCAGGAGGTCTCTTAGAGTTTAAGCTCTCGCTATGGCCCAAATCCATCTCAAATCCACCCAGCTCGCTGGAACCCCTGGAGGACTTCCAGACCTTAGAGAACAGCTTTCTTCCTACAGCTCCAGGGCAGCACTCTTGGGTCCAGGACAAGGATTCCCATGGCAACACAGCCCTCTTCCCTCGGACAACTGAAAGCTCCGGTAGGCCTGACGACCCTCGGTTTGCTTTTCAGTTCACTTCCCAGCCATGAGAATCGCATACCTACCTCTTTTGAAGCTTCAGTCCCTCCCGGAACCTCGGCCCCCACTACAAATCGATTGCTCGGCCAAATGAACTACATTTCCCAGACTGCCCTGCGACGCTCTTCCCGTAGAACCCGGGTCTTCAGTGTCCTTTCCTAGAAGGCTCTTCGGATCACGCCCCTCGACGAGAACAGAAACTACTATAGTACTACGACTCCCATCATACCTCGCGCCTCCCAGGCTTCCGTGTGGATCCTCAATTCACTTCCGGCTGGTTACGAAATTCCGCTTTGCTGGGCGCGCTGTGGACTGTCTGAAACTTAGAAGGAGGCTTTCTCAGAGGTTTCCCGGCTCCGGAGCCCGGCATGGCTTCTTCGCGAGCCTCTTCCACGGTACAGAGCTCGGGATCTCAGCTCATTCTGGCGGGGAGCGCAGAGAGGGTGGGGTGCCTCCAGGAATGGGCCGTTAGGGAGCAGACTAAGGGAATAGGGGGGCCGGGATTAAGACTGCGGGACTTTGATGTCCTAGAGAATGAAAGAGTTTTTCTGATCTCTAAGCGCGTTCTTGTGTTATTGTTGTGTGCATCTCTCCCATCGTGGCCCGAACGATGAGCACTTCTTACGACTGGCCCAAAAACGGTGCTCAGAAAAGAGAAGTGTCTTGCCCAGAGTTGCTATCCTTGGAATTTTAATGCGGCCTCCTAACTCTAAATTTACTGACGCACATGTGAAATGTTTGAAACGTATGGAGCAGTAACGCTGTGACTTGTTCCCGTTTTAACACTACGCTGGTTACTTCAGTCATCCTTGATGTTTCTCAAGTGATGAGCAGCAAACTCAAGTATCATAAAATCGATTGCACTTCCAGAAGAATGAAATAAACATAGTTCCAAAACAAACCTTTAATAGACAGTAACCAAGATAACTTTACTAGTTTCATGAACATCTTATTTGCCAAGTTTAAATGAGAGACTGAAACACCCGCTGTCTCACCCTGCAAAACAGTGAAGAACAACTTTACCTGAATAAAAGGTCCAGTGAATTTATTTGCTAATGTGTATAGCTGTACTTTTGGTTTGTGAAGGAGTTAGGAATTAACCTCAGAATGATCTTCATCCTTTGGAGAAGTCTGGTAGATTTCCAAAATTAAGCCCTAGATTAATCAAGGTCTTTGATTTAACAGGCAACCAAAACTAAAGCACCCGATGACTTAGTCGCTCCTGTTGTGAAGAAACCACACATCTATTATGGAAGTTTGGAAGAGAAGGAAAGGGAACGCCTTGCCAAGGGAGAGTCTGGAATTTTGGGAAAAGAAGGACTTAAAGCAGGCATTGAAGCAGGAAATATTAATATAACTTCTGGTAAGCTGCAAATTACAAGTCCATTATTAGCTTTGGTACTCTCCGTTTTCTGTAATGAACACCTTCCCAAACTTGGGTATTGCCAGTTCTTTAATGTCAAAAACTTCAGTTGTTCAACTTGCTGCAATAGGTTTATATTTTGCTTACCCCTCTTAGCATCATCCAGAGAGTGTTTTTCTTACAAGATTTTACAGTTTTTCTTTCATGAATTGTTAGTAATCGAATTTATTCAGTGCATATTTGGATTCAAATTGATTACACATGTCTTCTAGAGGAATAACACAGTTCTAGTATTGGCTTGCAGCTAGAATTGTTTTTCATTTATTTTGCAAAATAAAATAATCTCATAAAGATAAGTTTTATTTTAAAAGATCAAGCAGTAGAAAGTCTTGCATTATTAACTGGGCATATATCTGAATTTTAACATAATTATAAAAATATAAAATTTTCTTTCTGTAAATGAAGCCATGTGATATATAAAAAGATAGATAGATAGTTTTGTTTTTCGTTTTTTGTTTTTAGTACCAGGGCTTCAACTCATGACCTTGTATTTGCCACACAGGCACTTATGCTGCTGAGCTAAATCCCTGGCCCCAATGTATATACTGTTTTGTTCTGCATTTTTCACTGTACATACTGTTGAGAATTGTTGAGGATATCTTACCATGTTAGTGACAAAAGAGTTTCACTTTTGTTTTGTTTTTGAGCCAGAGTCTAGCTATGTACCTGCCTTGAATTCACTACATAGCCTAGGATGGCCTTGAACTCAAGGCAGTTTTGCCTCTGCCTCTAGAGTGCAGGGATTAGAGGCATACACCACCACACCTAGCTTAGAAATTATTTCTTTTCCTCATTGGAAGATCTAGTAATTGGCTGATTTTGCCTGTTCTTTTTTTTTTTTTTATAGGAGAGGTATTTGAAATTGAAGAACACATCAGTGAGCGACAGGCAGAAGTATTGGCTGAGTTTGAAAGAAGGAAGCGAGCTCGACAAATCAACGTTTCCACAGATGACTCAGAAGTCAAGGCTTGCCTCAGAGCCTTGGGGGAACCCATCACACTTTTTGGAGAGGGCCCTGCTGAAAGAAGAGAAAGGTGCCTTTCTGAACTATGTTCTCTTCTTTATTAATCACTGGGTTCTAGTTCCAAGTACAATTGATCTTTTACCTGAAACTTTAATATCAGTGTTAGCAAAATTTTGGGTTGTGTTTCTATAGGTTAGCCCTGGATCACAGTCTTAGGCCAATTTCCTTTTTTCTTTTTTCTTCTCTTTGGGGGTGTAGGGGTGGACAGAGTTTTGCTACACAGTACAGGCTGGTCTCAAATTCACAGTCATCCTACTCCTTCAGCCTCCCGAGTGCTAGGATTGCAGGTGTATACCACCACACCTGGCTGTTCTTAGACCAATTTTACTGCATTGCTAATTTCTTTTTACAATCTGTGAAGAGGGTGGGTGCAAACATAGTTTCTTCCCACTACAGTATGAAATTTGAGTTGGGTAAACATGGTTAAGCTTTGAAAACTTTGATATCAAATGCATTCCATATCAGTGACATAAAACATAAAATTTTTCTGGATATAATTGAAGGGTTTTTTTCTTGGATAATACTCCTCTTATGATTTTAAGGTTCTGAAGTGTTAATGAAGAGTTAGTAATATGCAGTTATGAGGCTACCATCTTGACCATCCTGATGGGACCCTGTCTCTCCATCAGCCTTCTTGGAAAGCTGGTTTACGTTTGCACCCATAATGTCCTCACTCCTCATTTATTCTTCAACCCATTGCAAACTGATTAACCCTTCTCACCTGGAAATTGTGCTTTATAAAAGTCACCATCTTTACTAAAAAGACTTCCTCCTTCAAGCATTCCCTTCCCTTCACTCAGAGAAGGCCAAATCCTGCTCCTCTGATTTTGTTCTTGTTTCTTCAGCTCATTCTCCTCACTTTTTAAGCCTCTTTTTCACCCTACCTCCCCACCCCAGTACTGAGTATTGAACCTAGAGTCTTCTACCACTGAGCTACACCCTCTAATTTTACTTTTATTTAAATTTTGAGATGTGAGCTCACTAAGTTGCTCAGACTGGCCTTGAACTTGCAAGCTTCTCACCTCAGTCTTCTAATAGCTGGGATTCGGGCATGTACTACTTTGTTTGGCTTCTCACCTAGCATTTGTAGGCTGCAGTTCTTTGCCCTATGCGATTCTCTAGGCCGGTGATGGCAAGCCTGTTAGAGCTTTCAATGGTAATAGCCAGATATAGCACGTATGCCATAGGTTCACCACACTGCTCTAGGCAGATCTACATCTGTGGCATCGTTTACTATGTATATTGTGCAGACTCCCCAATAGCCCAGATCTGTCTTTGCTCTGTCTTCATTGCTTTCACATCTAGGCTGTTGTGCTAGCTGCAACTGTGTTAACTGCTTAAAATCCTATGGTGTCTGGACCTACAAATACTGCTCAGTGGTAGAGCACTTGTATAGCATGTGCAAGACCCTGCGCTTGATCACAGTACCACAAACAAATAAAACAAATCCTACAGAGTTTTTCCATTACACTTAAGGTAAAAAAAAAAAACTCCTAGTTAGCTTCAGTGTACTCTGCAGTCAATGTTATGGAAAACGGACCAAACACAGGAAGACATAACCCCAAGGAGGTTTAGGAGGCATTTAATTACACTAGTGGGCTTGACTGGAAATTCCCCCAAAGAGCCCCATTGTGGTAGGGTTCTAGGTTTTATAGTGAGAGTAAGTAAGGAGGTACAAAAGTAGATTTCGTGCATTATAATTGCAGGGTTAGGAGACATTTTGGGCTGCTAAGGGAGTGTAAACATTTCAGGTTACACGGCCTGGCCATCAGTTATACAAAGCATGGGTTTTGCAAGGGAAGAAGTGTCCTGTTACATTTTAAGTTACACTTCAAGGCCATCAGTTAAACAGAGACATTAAAGGCGGGGGTTACACAAAGGAAGATCCATTTTGTTACCAGGCCTGTCTGGATATGTCCTGGTTTTGAAGGGCATTCTTGGAATTTTAAAATTATTTAAAATTTTAATTTCCCTTTCTATCTTACTTCTACCACTCTCCCCAGTTTAACTGGAGTCAAGGTTACCTTACATTCTTTTACTGTCTTTCCATTAATTGTCTTTTTGTTCTTCTCTTGCCTTTTACAACCTTTTAATTCTTTTGGTTCAGCATAATGCCACCTATTCTAAGTCTCAACACTACCTGGCCCATTGCAAAGTATGTTCTTTTGTTTTCTATCAAAGAATGTTATTTTTACTAGCTTGTTACTGTTTATTGTCTTCTCCGCCAGCAAAGCCTATCTTATTTCATTATTATACCCCTTTTATGAATGCCTTGAATCCCTGCCGCCTCCATCTTAGTTCAAGTCCACCAGTATGATGCAGAAAAATTCTACAACTGTGTTCCATCTCAGTTTCCAGCTTTTATTCTTCCCTCTTCAGTCTCCTCTTTCTGCCGTTCTAGAGACCTTTCTCAAGTGTAGCCCTCCTTGCAGACCGTTAGCGGCTCTGGTGACCTGGCCCCTACTAACTCTCCAGCCTTATGCTGCACCAGTCCTTTTTTACGCTCCGGCTATCCTGAACTGTATGTGATCCCAAGCTCAACAAACCTCCAGGCCTTTACATTTGTTTGTCCCTCTCCCTCTACTGTCCTTTCCCATTTTTCACCCCTTGACCTGACAAAGGACTCAGGTTAACACCTTTTCTGTGAAGCCCTCCCTGATTCTCTACACCTAAGTTTGGATCCCCTTTGCAGTTCCTTTTAGCACTAGGTTTACTGATGTCATGGTATTTAATATAACATCCCTGTTACTTTCTTGCTGCAAGAACTGTGCTACTTGAAACTTGTGTGGCTATTTTTCCCATCCAAGTACTAACCAGGCCCAACCCTGCTTAGCTTCCAAGATCAGACGAGATCGGGTGGGTTCAGGGTGGTATGGCCATAGACTTGTGTGGCTATTTTTTAGTCATTGTTGTATACTTTATATCTGAGTAAGTACCCACCACATTGTGTCATTCAGTGAAATATGGCCATCTTCACAGACCAGGTAGTTGCAGTACACAGGCTGGTTAACTGAGTGGAATGCAGTAACTACTTGCAGTTGGATTTAGAGAATCTTGAAATAAAGATTTGAATGATATCACACTAAAGCTGGAACATGGTAGCACACGCTTGTAACTGCACTATTTTAAGACTTTTTTTTTCTTGAGACACATCTTGCTATGGAGTTCAGGCTGGCCTTGAACTTACTTTATAGCCATACTTTATAGCCTAGGCTGGTCTTGAACTCAGTGGTTTTCCAGCCTTAGTCTCCCAAGTACCATGATAACAGGCGCACACCACTGTGCCCTCCCACTTTGGGATGCTAAGCAGAAAAATCACAAGTTTAAGCTCAACATGTGCAACTTAGTGACTTAGCAAGACCCTAATCTCAAAATTTAAAAAAAAAAAAGGTGACAAAGGTCAGTTGGGTGAAAGTTTAGACAAACCCTTTTGACACAGAAAGACAGTTGTTGCTAAAGATTTGATTGCATTTGTTTGACCCACTCCCTCTACTGCAAATAATAAATAGTGTTTCCCCCTTCCCTGTGGTTCTCCTGTCCACTGTTTCAGTTATCCATGGTCACCCACAATCCAGAACTATTAGTGGAAAATTACAGAAATGAACAACTTGTAAGTTTTTACGATTGTTCACCATTCTTAGTAACATACCTTACACCATCTTGTTCCATGCACCCAGGAAGAAAACCATCTTATCTCTCATATCCATGCTATAGGATGATCTACGCACTGGTATGTGCAGGACAGTAAAACACTGTGAGGGGACAGAAGGGAGAGGCCACATTCATATAGCTTTTATTTGAGGATATTGTTGTGGTTCATCTATTTTATTAATGCTGATTCTGTATGATGTCTAATTTATGAATTAAACTTTATCATAGATACGTATAAATAGAAAAAAATACGTAGTATATGTAGAGTTTCATGATTCACCAGATCTTCAAACATATCCCACTGTGGATAGAGGTTGGGAAGACTAATGCATCTTAACATCAACTGTGTTTGTATTCTGATTTTTTTTTGTTGTTGTTGTTGTTACAGGTTAAGAAATATTCTCTCAGTGGTTGGCACTGATGCCTTAAAAAAGACAAAAAAAGATGATGAGAAATCTAAGAAGTCCAAAGAAGAGGTAAAATATGTTTTTGGCTTCCCAGCATAAACAGGAAAGAAATAAGGCACTGCTCTTGTTTTCTGTTTTCAGTATTTTCTTGGACGAGGAGGAAAATGTTTTTCTGCTATTCAGGAATACTGTTGACAATGGTTTGTCATTCTTGTGTGGATATAAGTGGGGCTGAGTTTTCAGGAAAAAAGTCCTAATACTCTTGCAGTAACTCATGAAGCCATCTAATAAGATATCATAAAAAAAAAAAATGGTAGAAAGTACATATGCCTGGGCTTCATCCTATTGCTGAACTAATTCACCTTCTTTGTAGGAAGTGACACTATAAGGTAAAGCGTGGGAGGCACAGATATACTTCAGACTTAACCTTTCTGCTCTTGATTTGCCTTCTAGTATCAGCAAACCTGGTACCATGAAGGACCAAACAGCCTGAAGGTGGCTAGACTGTGGATTGCTAATTATTCACTGCCCAGGTAAGCAGAGTAGCTAGCAGAAAAAAGAAACTTACTCTTTTGTGCACTGAGGATTGGCTTTATTATATTGGTGGCTATGCGAAATTTAAGTTATAGTTGTATGCAGACCCTCATTGGCCATCCCTTTGCTCGTTTCACAGGGCAATGAAACGCTTGGAAGAGGCCCGTCTCCATAAAGAGATTCCTGAGACAACTAGAACATCCCAGATGCAAGAGCTGCACAAATCCCTCCGGGTAAGATGTTCTCAGTGATTGTCCTATATCTTACTAGATTTTCTGCTTTGGTCCATGTTGAGTAAAAATAAAGGCAGCTACAGTCGTTTCTCCCCTGGAGCTGTTGGGTTGAGTGGCCCCATCAGGTAAGGCAGCAGCAGCCCACCACGCTTCATATTCAGCATAGGCCAATGTTTCTGCTCTTGGCTTCTTCCTTTTTTATGTCACACATGTGTTTTATATCTCTCCAGGGTTTTCTGTTTATATGTAGCTGCACAGAAACTAGTGAAAAAAATGGAAAACAGCTAAATTTACGATAAGCTATGATTCCACTCATGGCTTAACATTAATGTCTCTTAACAAAAATGGAAGAGTCTTGGAGTGAGTTAAAACTGAAAGGTAGATAGGTTGGTTGGTTGGTTGGTTGGTTGGTTGGTTGGTGGAAAAGCCAAGAAACTCTCTAACTGCCCTATTGATGATTACCATTTGTCTTTTTTTTTTTTTTTTTTTTTTTAAGTCTTTGAATAATTTCTGCAGCCAAATTGGGGACGATCGGCCTATCTCCTACTGTCACTTTAGTCCCAATTCCAAAATGCTGGCCACAGCTTGTTGGTAAGTTCTGTTTTACAGTGACATTTTACCAAATGGGGGACAGGCTCAGAGAAAAAAAAAACTAATCTGCCTTAACTGTTTCTTCTTCCAAACTACAAATGCTAGGGCTCTACCTGCTGTGTAGTAAGACATAGGCTTTGTTTAAAGTTCTTATTGTTGAGCAGAGGCCTCAGAGATCCATGGCATATAACAGTCTGTCATTCTCAACACTGGCGCTTTGGAGATAGCGAGTTTATAGATCAAATTCTGTGGTCTAGCTAAGATACATAATCCCTTTAAGCTCAGTGTTCTTCTCTGTAAAGTGGGGTGAGGTAGTATTTCTAAAACATTTCACCTTGATGGTGCCTAGTACTCAGTAAGAACTCAGAAAATGTTCAGTAATGGTTTTATCTTTGTTTCCTTTTTATCGCCACATATGCTGAAAACTCTTAGGATGTCATAATTTTGTTTTATTTTGGTTTTGCTTCTTTGAGGAAAACGTGACTGTCTCATAAGAGAGGAAACTTACATTGAATGCATAGGAACTACTTACATTGAATGTAGAAACTGAGATAAAAACTATGTAACCAGGGAGAAATTGATTGAAGAAAAAGCCAACGATCTGTACAGATCACTCTGCCTCTCCCAGCCTCAGTTACCTTAGTTGTAGACTAGAAATGGTAATTCTTGCCTTATCTGCCTCATTGGTCTTTTACAAAGATCTTTTGAGATCATATATTTATACTGTATAAAAGAAATTCTTTAGGAAATTTCCAGAACAAAAGGGTTTTGTAGATGATAAAATATGATTCAGATTTAAGGTAGCATCTTTTTAAATAGGTAATTTGTCCTGTCTTCCCCCACAGTTTGATCCAAAAGTTAAGAATAGCAACTTGTGCACATTGTAGTTCAGCAGAGCCTCTGCTTGCCTAAGAACTGATTGTAGAGCTTTCTTCACATTATCAGCCTTTTCTTTTTTCTGTCTGCCACTATAAAGTGTATGGGGGTGAGAAGAGATTGTCCTTTATTAATGTTACCAAGATACCTTTTCCTTCCCAGACCAACCCTGGCTGAGATGCTTTCCTTTGTATTTGATAGGAGTGGGCTTTGCAAGCTCTGGTCTGTTCCAGATTGTAACCTCCTTCACACTCTTCGAGGTAAGTTAGAGTCTTATTCAGGATAACTTAGAACCTTATTTAGATCACAGTGTTTTTCCCAGCATAAATTCTGTTAAGCAGTAAAAGTGGGGCACGCAGACCCCATGCTGCATTGACTTTTTTAAAAAATCAGTGGATTAATTAATTTCTTCCTCCCTGTTTCCTTCCCTCTCTGTCTTATTTCTTTCATTTTTTCTTTTCTTTCTTTTTCGTTGTGCGGTTACGCATGATTAAACTCATGATCCCCTCCTCATCTCCTGAGTAGCAGAGCTAAAGGCATGCATCATCAGTTGATGCTTGATTTGATTTAACATAGTTTGGTTTTCTTAAGCCACAAGACTAGACTGTAGTGACTTTGTTAAGCTTTTATGTCCAGCCACAGTCTTGACATTTTCAGATATCTAAACCAAAAACCGTGGGTTTTTTGTTTTACTTTTTAAATACTCATTTTAAGTAATTCTTTTTTAGTAGTTGAATAGTCACTTTAATATTCTCTGTATCCATATTTGTTCCCTAATGTAAACTTATTTGTATTACAGTACTCATCATAGTCTATATTTTGCATGTAAACTATAAAAAGGCAAGAAGTCACTAACTTCTACCTCTTGATACTTCTTTAGGTCATAATACAAATGTAGGAGCAATTGTATTTCATCCCAAGTCCACTGTGTCATTGGATCAGAAAGATGTCAACCTGGCCTCTTGTGCTGCTGATGGGTCTGTGAAGCTCTGGAGTCTTGACAGGTATTGCTATTCTAAGTCTAAACTGCCGACCCTAACTTAGGTCCGTGAGTGGTGGCCCTCAGGACCTCGGGGTAAGGGTCTCGCCCTAATCCCAGAGACAGTGCAGGCAGCAACATAATATGCCATGAAAACAGAATGGAGATTTCTTTCTTAGAGCTTTTCTCAGCATAGGAGACATGCCAAGTTTTTCTTATAGTTAACTCTAGGCCTCAGTTTTTTGTTAATAGCACTGTAATTGTAACTGGCTCTTGTTATTCTGGAAAGATCTAACCTACTTCCTACACAGTACAGTGACATTGGAAAAATATTGGCAGTCTATTGGCTCTTAGCACGCGTCATAGGGGAGAGGTAGTATTCTGCCTGTTAGTATTGCCAAGGAACACTCCTGCTCCCGACGTCATCCTCCTATGGTGTATTTTCCAGCTGCACAGTTTTTTTTAACGTGGTTATGTTTGCTAGTCCCCCAAGATTTTGGAAGCACCTTATTGGCTAAAATATGAATTCAGTTGCTTAGTTTTTTCTCTTTGGGAAAACACAGGAAGGTTTTTATTCTGAGTTTTTTTAAAGAGCTAATTAGCATCTCCACTCCTTGCCAGACTGGGCCTTACCAATGAGCCCAACAACTTTTAATTGGTTTTGGTAATACTTAACAGTGTTTATTCCCCTAGGGTGCTGGTTAGTTCTATGTATGCACATTGATAAAAGTTCCCTTTTTAATTGCCCTCTTTAGAGTTCATGTTTATTTCCCTGCACTAGTGTTTCAGATCTTTCTATGACTGCTGGGTAGCTGAATATAATGACCAGCAGAAAGGGCAAAGCCTCTGTCTCCTTAGGAGTTCCTTTTTCCATTTACATCCTTGAATTGTCCTAAGATTAGAGAAAGATTTATGTGTAACCCACTTACACCAAAACTTTAATTTCTGTATCCTGTCTTTACCAAAATACATTTCTTTCCTAAAATCTTATCACTGTTTTGATGCAGAGTATCCTTCTCAGGCCAAAGTACTTTATTTTTCTTTAATCCTAAATGGTATAGCCTTAAGAATTTATTATCACAGTGAGTTAAAGAAGGTGGTCAGCTTGCTCTGTGGGTACCTGAAATTATCCCAAATGTTATGTTCTGGTTTGGCTTGGCTTGGCTTGGCTTTGCCTGGCTTGGCTTGGTTTGCTTTTGAGACAGGGTCTCTCTAGGTAGCTCAGGCTGGTCCTGAATTAACCATGTAGTCCAGTCTGGTCTTGATTGCCTGGTGATCCTCCTGCCTCAGGCTTTAGTGTAGTGGGACTGTGGTGTGCACCACCATGCTCAGCCACTATCCCAAATCTTTTAAACCTTGTAAGTGTCCTAAATTATTGTACCCCTAAAGTGGAAGATTTTATTTTGTCTTTGCTGTTGTTGGCGTTGAATCCAAGCCATGTTGACAAGTGCTGCAACTGCAAGTGCTGCACATCCCCACCCAGCTCTAATGTTTTAACAATAAATTAGTAGGTGTGGTTACACTTCAGTCTCCCCACTTACTGGGAGTGGCCTAGTAAATAAATTCAATGAATATGTACAAGTCTTACAACAAAGGTGTCCACTTACATACGTTTGGTTCCTTTTCAGTGATGAACCAGTGGCAGATATTGAAGGCCATACCGTGCGTGTAGCCCGAGTAATGTGGCATCCATCAGGACGTTTCCTGGGCACCACCTGGTAATCCCCTACTTACTGTCTTATCCATACAGGCCTGTGGCATTTCATTAACCTCTTTAGTTATCTGCCAGGTAAATTTTTAGAGCAGAGTTCTTCAGGTAGGACTTTCTTAGGCTGTATCAGCAGAATGTGTATGATACAGGAAAGGCTAAGTGATTTGCTTTTTAAATTGCTGCAAGTGATTTAGAGATGTAATTTTCCCCTTATATATAGTTTTAAGTCTGTGCTAATGAATCAGTTTGCCTTTCTGGTTCTGTAAATTTAGTGAGAATAGAATCTGTTAAAGAACTTTTCCTTTGGGGTATAATTAACATACAGTGGAATAGACATTTTTAAATTTACGGTTTAGTCTTCTCAAATGCAAACCACCTGTGTGATCACAACCCTGTCAACATATGACAACAGAGAACATTTCTCTGTCACCCAGGGAAGTTCTGTCATGACTCCTCTTAGTCTGTTCTCTCTTACAAAGAAACTACTGCTCTGATTTCTGTCAGTATAAATTCTGTCTATTCATAGTGTATGAACTCATTTGTGCCTGTTGGGTTTTTTTTTTGTTGTTGTTGTTGTTGTTTTTACCTAGTGGAACACTTTTAAGTTCATTCCTGTTGTGTGTATCAGTAGTTCCCGTTTATTACTAAGGAACAGTTTATTGTGTGTATGCCACATCTTACCCATTGTTGTATTGATGGATCCTTGGGCTTCTTTCTACTGTTTGGTGAGTCAGACTAAAGCTGTTATATTCTTGTGCAAGGCTTTTCATGAGCATATGCTTTTCTTTCTTTTGAGTAAATATCTTAAATCCAATTGCTAGATCATAGGATAGGTGCACACTTAACTCTTTTTAAACCTCCAAGCAATTTTTCAAAGTGGTTCTACAAAGTTCTGGATGTTTTAGTTCCTTCTCAACATTAGGTCTCATTAGTCTTAACATTTTACTCAGTGTAAAATCAAGAGTGTAGTGATATCTTTTTGTTGTTACTGGTTTGTGATGTTTTGCATTACTGGGGATTGAACCCAGTATCTTCATACTTTTTTATATTTTTTACTTTTGAGACAGGGTCTTCCTAAGTTGCCCAGGCTAGGCTCAGACTTGCAGTCCTTCTGTCTTGGCCTTCTAGAGTTTTGGGATTACAGGTGTATATCACCACGACCAGTTTTGTCAGTAATTACTGCCCTGGTAACTATGGTATTTAGTACTTCATCATATGGTTAGTGATCATTTGCATATCCTTTTTTTTTTTTTTTTTTCCTCGTCTGTATTTCCATTTATGTAGCCAGTTCCACCAGTATGTATAGATGAAGCTTTTCTTTCTCTATTGAAATCACATTGCTATCCTTGTTAAAAACATTAAGACTATGTATGTGTCCAGGTCCGTCCCTGTATTCTCTGTTCTCTTCCATTGATCTGTTTATCTGTTTGATTCCTTCCTGTAGATTCAGTGAATGAAAGGACATAACAGTGGAAGGAGGGAAGAAAAAAGATAATAGAATGTGTGCTGGACCATTCTTAGGAATTCTAAGTTAGCCGCTGGAGTGGATTAATAGCAAGTCCAGGGTTTCCCGGTTAGTACCGGAGACCTTTGGATTTAGTTGTTGAAGCAGAAAGGAATTTCTTATTAATGTGGATGAATGGTTTCACAGGCAAAAGTTCATAAAATATGGTTATTTATAGTACTTTGCAGAAATTGAATCATTTTGCTGGTTAACTGTAGAATGGTTCGGTTTTGTGTTTTTAAAGCTATGATCGTTCATGGCGCTTATGGGATTTGGAGGCTCAAGAGGAAATCCTGCATCAGGAGGGTCACAGCATGGGTGTATATGACATTGCCTTCCATCAAGATGGCTCTTTGGCTGGCACTGGGTAAGACTTCAGTGAAACCAGGGACATCTCAGCAGTCTCACTCTTTCATATGCCTGCTTGCACAGAGCACTGGATTCACTGTTGATGCATTATTTCATCAGGGGCCTGGATGCATTTGGTCGAGTTTGGGACCTGCGCACAGGACGTTGCATCATGTTCCTAGAAGGCCACCTAAAGGAAATCTACGGAATAAGTTTTTCCCCCAATGGGTAAATGAACTTGCCGATTGAGGGTTGAGAGGGTGCTTTAGAAAGTACTGTGTTTCTAACTTTGATAATGCACCCGATCCACAGCTACCACATTGCAACTGGCAGTGGTGACAATACCTGCAAAGTGTGGGACCTTCGACAGCGGCGTTGCATCTATACCATCCCTGCCCATCAGAACTTAGTGACCGGGGTCAAGTTTGAGCGTAAGCTTTCCTCCTGTTTTAGGCCTAAACAGCAGACAAAGACTGTTTCATGGGAAACAGGCCAGGCTTTAGCGTAGTGTCAAAGTGGAATAGGATGTAATTGGACCTTTGTTAAAGGAAAAAATTATAATTCCCTTCCCTCGTACTATACCCCTAAATTAAGCTATGCTAAAGAATACTTCTTATTGCCAAAAGTTAAAGACTCCTATGAATGCTATGCTTTCTTCTTTCTTCCTTGGACATTCCTAACACTGAGTTGTTAATATTACTCTATATGATTATCTACCTGGGAAAGAGCCTAAAGTTTTTAATAATGTTATTTTTTCTCTTCAGTCTGCCTGTGGTTGTCCCGTTTTATGAGAACCTAGTAGAAATATAGAATCAGAATGTTGGGTCTTGCTAAATTTAGAAATGCCTTTTTCAAAATAGTACGTTTAGGCAGATTTTTATGCTCTGTTAATCTCTTTTGAACACTTGAATGCTTAAAACAACTCTGCTTACTCTCTCGCATAGCTATCCATGGGAACTTCTTGCTCACTGGTGCCTATGACAACACAGCCAAGATCTGGACCCACCCGGGCTGGTCCCCGCTGAAGACTCTGGCAGGCCACGAAGGCAAAGTCATGGGTCTGGACATTTCTTCTGATGGGCAGCTCATAGCCACTTGCTCATATGATAGGACCTTCAAGCTCTGGATGGCTGAATAGGCAAGGCCATGGGAGAAAAACTCGCCTCAAACTGCCCCTTAGGAGCCATTTTTCTCAAAAGAAAAAAATTGATGTATTTTATTTTGTTCTATCATGTTTCTACAGTTATCAAGTATAGATGCTCAATAGATTTGATTTTCACATCAACTCCCAAGCAGCCCAGTCCCTACATGGTGGTAAACCCCTTTTGTGATTGAAAATTTATTTCTCATCTTCAGGCCTTGCCAAGAATTATGTAGGATGTTGTTTTTATTAATCTTTGTTTAAATGTCCTACCATCTTACAGCACTCAAAATTGTGAATACACTGCATTTTAGTTCTCAAAAACTTGCCTTTTCATGGTACATGCTTCACGACTGCATATGATCCATTCAGCAAGTAAGGTGATTGGACTGTATTCCGGAAGCCCTGGCATAACGAGGAGCAGCTGGCCACTCACTGGTTGAACAGTGCCTGACCTGACAGCGACAGCGACCCCACTTCCTGTCCTAGAGAATGAGAGAGGAAGCAGTAGATTGTGTAGGAAAGTTGCTCGTGCAGGAAAGAGACTGGACATTTCCTGTGGAATTCACTTGAAACACTGCCTGCCTTAGGAAACTCAGAACCAAACATCTACTTGGTCAGAGCAGTCTTCCATTTTGCTTTAAGTTTGACATCCTATTACCCTAAAGCACAGCCATTGTGTCAGGATTCAAAGAAATTTTTGAAATTGCACAGCTCATTTGGTACAGCTTGCTTTTCTGTTGGTTAAAGGATGTACTTCATGTATTACAGGGTATGTCATGTCAGAATAACTGGAAAAAATCCCTAATGGGCATTCTTATTTGTTTGTTTGTTTTTGTACCGAGGAATCAAACTCACGTCTGCAGGTTTGCAAGGCAGGCACCTCAGCGGTATATTGCTGAGCTAAATCCCCAGCCCACCTAATAGGCATTCTTTTTTTTTTCCTTTTTATTGGTACCAGGGATCGAACTCACGACTGCCTGCTTGCAAGGCAGGCACTTATGCCGCTGAGCTAAATCCCCAGCCCCCTAATAGGCATTCTTAAACATGAACCTTTTTTTTGTATATAATTTGCTAAGAATGAAATCCTACCGTTAAAAAACTATTCCTTAAAAAATTATTTTCTGGGGTACTGGGAATATAGTTCAGTGGTAGGGTATATGAAGCCCTAGGTTCTATCCCCAGCACCCAAAAACACAAAATATCTGAAGTTAAAGCATTTTCTGATTCCTAGCCATTAATCCAGAAGTCTTTTTAGTCATTTTGTTTTTAATCTAGAATGATTTCAGATGTGGATTCCTCCCAATTTCTGTCTCATGGAAAAGTGTTCTACTATCCTTTTCAACAAAGAGCAACGGGTGTTGGCCTGGTGGGCCAGACTAACAACTGTATATGGACTCCATAATTCTTATTCATCAGGTGCTTAGTGTTAACGTCCACCTCTTTCCACCCCAGATAAACATACTGTGCACTCTGAAATGACCTAGTAAATTTACATACAAGTAGAAGAATGGAAGAAGAAAGAATAAGGAGAACTAAGGAAAGGCTTTATAATAGGCTTTGAATATTCCAAATCCTTTTTATTTGCCGTTTCCGAGATTGAGGATAGCCTTGCCTCTTCTGCAAATTATGAATGTGATTGTAGCCAAATGTAATGTTTTTAATCAGATTTCAGTTATAACCAAGTAGTTACCTTTCCTGTGTAGTTGCTAAGCTTCAGAATGCTCAAGTCTTAACTCTTGTTTCCTTTATGGTTTGCCATGAGACTTTTTCAACACCATTTTTATAGTATGTGTAAAATAGTGATAGATGTTGGTGTACTAGCATGCAACTTAGATACAGTATACTGACAAAGGTTTTTAGTTTCTCTGTTTGAATTTTACTCTTGGTTCCCTTGGACTTGTCTTTTGTGGTTTGTTTGTTGTTTTAGGGGTTTTTTTGTTATTGTTCCAAAAAGGTAGCATTTGGGCAAAAACATCATCTAAACCCTTTGGCAGATTGTCTGTTGGAATAATCCATTTCTTCAAGCATCATTGTAAGAAATGGTTTGCTAAGAAACCCAAAGCCAGGTATAGCGTTTCATCACATCGTAGCCATCACTTAACAGAATACTTAACTTCCTGCCTGCATAATGTACCAGGTACTGTTACTGTTTGACCCTCATAATTACTTTATTCCCTTTTTACAAGCAAAACTGATGCTTGAAGTAATGCTCAAGATTACCCAACTAGTAAGTGGTAGAACTGAATTTTAGTTCCAGATGTCTAACCATTTGGATCTTGTGAAGATGAGTATATTGGCCACCTTGGCAGCAAGACCATTATGGCAGGTACAGCCCATTTCCTATAGTTTTGTAACACTGCCCTATCGATAGGTCACTGTCTGACATCCCAAATGGAGTTCATTCCCCTGTTGCTGCCTTGTGAACTTAGGAGCAGCCTAGTGTGTTACTCAGCACAATGACCATTTGTATTTTGGGATAACTGACAGTTGAGCATAGCAGCAGGTCTCAAGTGTCCCTAACCTCTGCACTAAATACAGAAACACCCTCTTGATTGAGTACCACGGTATTCTCACACATTTCCAAATGCCCCCTCGGAGAGTGGGACTGCCCCAACGTGAGATCTACTGGATGGGAAAATAGAAGATGCTGGCGTATTAAGTATCTCTTCCTATCTGAAGTAACTCAAACCTATTATTTTATTTGAGTGATATAACAGCCACTTCTAGAAGAACTACTTTTGATTGAAAGAACTCTACTATTTACTAGTGAGGTGGCCTTAAAGAAGGCAGTTTACTTTCAGAGCCTGAGTTTCATCAGAAAAGACGGAGCGAAACAGATGTCCCTCCCTGGGCTCCCTGGCTCCTCTCTGTGCCCCATACTGGGCAGCTGGAGCTGGGCAGCTCAGACATCGATGGTGAGCTCATTGCTTAACTTGTCCGCCACAGGTTAGGGAGCAAAAGACGTAAAAAAATGAAGTCCATAGAGACAGTGAGTCCCTGCATCAGTGTAATTATCTTTGATGACGAAAGTGAAGAGGTAGATTCTGGTCCCTGGTGGGCTACATATGCAGCTTTCCAGTTTCATAATGTAGAGATTTTCTTTACATTGGAGCTAAAAACCATACCGTTTTGCTAAATGCAAGAAATACATCTCATATATTAAAACCTCTAAGGAGTTTATAGACGGTAGTCCCATAAAACTTGATTTAAAAAGTAAAACACTCAAGTTCTGCCCTTTGACAGTTTATTATACAATTTATTTTAATTCAAATGTTATTTTTTCCATGATTGTGATAGTTTAGCCACGTGGGGATTTTCAGAGCCCCACAGCAGTAGGCCAGGTTAAAACTAGGGAAACAAGTGGATTTTAGATACCGACAGTGGCAGTCTGCCAAACAGCAGCCTGATCATTCACATTCAGTTTCCTTGGTTCTTGGATTCTGTCATGTAAAGTGAAAACCAGGCCCTCCCCTCCCTACTGTATCTTGGGGTTGGAGCTAAAGTTTTGCCTCTGTCAGGAGTTTGTTTTATGTGTTGAGGCCAAAGTTACAGTACTTGCAAGAGCAGAGTGAGCTCTGCTCTCTACCCAATCTGGTCAAGGCTCTGTACCTACCAGCAGAGAATTCCAGATTCTTAATTCACTGATCCTGGTATCTTTCATCATTAGACTCTTACTCTCTGACACTCCAAGAGCTAAATGCTGATAAAAGGCTGTCTTACATAATAAGCTGCTGAATGAGTGTCCCCAATAAATGAATTAATGAATATAGACCATTTTACTGAGACTGGTAGCAAAACATCCAAATAGAAAGCTCTGTGGGGACAAGCATGTTTGCCCACAGATTGGAAGCTTCGTTTTTCAAAAATTTTAGCAATGCATAATGAAAAGAGCAACTCAGTGAGTGAGCCCAGAGCAGCTCCAGTGAGAAACATAACTCACTGTTTGGGCCAGCCAGGTTCCCGGATACCATTGTCTAGCCCTTTGGCACAACTTGCTGTGTGGCTCTGTAGCCATAAAGCCACTTCTCTGTCCTGTGACCCCATGGTTCACACCAGGAAGTCTCTGTCCACCAGTCCTTCAGCTTTTGTTTTTGCTTTTCATTTTTTCCCCCTCATTGGAGTGTTGCCTTCTCTGTTCCCAGCAAATGAGTGGCCAAACACCGATCCCTGGGTTGTGAATGAGCGATGCTGCAAAGGAGGACAGCACCAAGTGAGGGCATGCAGTTTCCAGCCCCAGCAGTTTGTACCTTGTCCGTGAACAGCACTCACCCCCCAGAACTGCTTGGTCCCACAGAACCCCAAAGGAACTGCTTGGTCCAAAAAATGGAAAAGATGAGCAACAGAGTGACACTGAGGATGACAGCCATCAAGTAGGCAAAGATCCGGAACTGATGGTTGCAGAAACACTCCCTCAGAGAGTAGTGGCTGGGGATGGGAATGGGCCTGGGTACAGTGGCAGGGGCCATAACCTGGGGGGGGCCAGTGTGGCTCCCAGACTCGGGGCCAAAGTCCAGTGTAAAGACTCGAGGTTGGCGCAGCAAGTAGCGGCTCTTGGGCTGGTCCTTGAGACAGAGCTGACGCCCTTCCAGGATGATGTGGTGGGGCTCCAGGCGCAACAAGGTCAGCATGGCAGTGTCTGTGGGCAAGTCAGTGACTGGCTGCCCAGAGGCCAGGATGGTGGGGTGGCGACATAGTGGACAAAGCAAGCAGCGCTGGGCCGGCGTCACCAGGCTGAGGTGGGCCAGGCATTCCACGCAGAAAGAGTGGCAACAGTCCAGTAATTTAGGGGTGTGGAACGTGTTGTTGAAGGGGTTCCAGCAGACAGGGCACTCAGCCTCCAGCTCACGGCCCTGTGGGTCAGCCATCTGCGAGGCTTCCCAGGGACTGTGCTAGCAGAAAGGAAGGAGCACAGTCACACCCACGAAGCTCTGCCCCTGTGCTTGGTCTGAGCTGAATTCTGTGGGGGTTTAAAGGTATCACCCACGCTTTTCAGATGAAGAAGCTTGGGATCAAAAGCATTTTGTGTCACATCAGGCAATCTCTACACATTAAAGTTCAGCATAAGACACACAGCTACCTTGTACCAGTCGAGCCCACCAACAGTCGTGAATGATCTGGTGTCAGTAAAGAAAGTACCAGCCTGTGGCAATGCCTGAAAATGCCCCTGTGCTCAGTGTGTTTGCCATTGGCTGCCCTGAGTCTAGGGAGAAGGTGGCTGAGATGTACTCTGATTTTTGCTAGAGGACAAATATTTCTTTCCTGCTCCGATACCTCAAATCCCTGACCCGGACAGAGATGGGCTTTGTCAATTCCCTCGTCTGTCCCTCTGGGGACAAATGCCAGGCTGCTTTCCCTCCTCCCTGTGGGACAAATCTTCCAGAGCCCCCTAGACCAATCTTTAGATTGACCTGATCAGGAGGCACCTGCTAAAGCTTTTTCTCCTTGACCTGGAAACCTCGGGGAATCTCCCTGACTGGGTCCCCCAGCCTTTCCAGAGTCTCTTTTCAGTAGTACTCAGCCTCTCCTGGCTCTACACTATTTGTCCTGGGGGAACTTCATGGCACCCACCTGGGCTTCCGAGGGTGCTGGGATGGTCAGGCAAACTATTCTGGAGAGCTGGGGCTCCGTGCTCTCCCTCTCCTGAATCTGCAAAGCTTTGGGAAATTGCCTTCTCACCACAAATCCGGGGCCGTCTCCATGGCAGCGCACTCACAGCACCTGGAGCTGCCAGGTGGCCCAGGCGGCCGAGCCTTTTGAGCACACCTGCCTGAAGCCAAGGCTAGAGAGCCGTCTGGGTGGTGGCTGGGAGGTAGGGAACCTAAGTTTCACCCCCATACCTTCAGCATGGCAACCAATCAAACTCAGAGGCCAAGTGTCTGCAAGACTGTGAGTGGTTCTTTCCTAACCTGAAATCCCTGATCCGGAATGGTAAGGGGTGGCAATTTCCGCTCTCTAGATTGTGGGGAGGTTGAGTCTTCTGGGCTTGTTCTCTCTTGGGGCCTCATTTCTTTTCTAAAGTGGTTGGAACTTCTTCCTCACACAAAGGGGCCATGGGTCCTGCACTTGTGAGTTTTTGTTTGTTTGTTTGTTTGTCTTTTGAGATAGGTCTCTTTATGCAGTTCAGGCTGGCCTTCGGCTCACATTGTAGCTCAGGTTGGTCTTGAATTTGCAATGATCCTCCTGACTAGCTTCAGCTGGGATTATAGGCGTGTGCCACCACACCTGGCTTGGTCCTAAACTTCTTTTACTGAGAAATTCACCTGCTTCACAGCCAAATCAGACCCAGCAAGTCCTCTCCATCTCTTTCTAGCTTTCCTGTGCCTAAGTAGCTATAATCAGAGGGTAAACCTTGCTACCTTCTGCTTTGTTCTTGGAACGCAGACGGTCAGCAGCTGAGATCTTTCAATCCAGAGCCAACTGTCCTGCCAATGTTGGGGATTTGCAGTTCTCAGAGAAATGCAGGCCAGCCTTGTTTCCCCATTTCCATCAGAAACGTTTAGCTTTTATCTGTTTCTCATTTTTGTCATTTAAGTTATTTGAAGAGTTGACCTGCTGGGGAAAAGTACTCACAAACCACTTGTCTGTCATAATCATTCACTTTGCAGATGGAGACAAAAGTTACCCAGCTAGTTTTGGTGATACTGTCTTCGGATTCCCAGTCTACCGCCATACTGTTGTCATAAAGAGACCCTACAGCCATTCAGTCCACCTAGTGGATGTGTGTTATCAGTAGGAAGTGTTTGCATTTATCAAAAGAATCTTTATAGCCATAAGACTCTTGTGGTGGGGACATAGAAGCTATGCAAGGGGAGATCTAGGAGTAAAGCATTTCCCTCAGACACTCTCTATCCTGAGTTAACACCCAAAGCCAGCGGCCACACCACTGCTTTCCTCAGTGACCATCTGTTCAGCATTCACTGAGTGCTTACTTCACAGCAGGCACCGTGCTAGGGATTGGGTTAATAAATGAAGACAAAACTGACATCATCTTTAACCTTGTGGTATTCAGAAGCTAGTGAGGCACAAAGACATTTACTGTGTAACAGGAAATAAGGAAATGCATAGGTTTTTTTTTGTCTTTTTTTCATTTTTATCGGTACCGGGGATCGAACTCACAACCGCCTGCCTGCAAGGCAGGTGCTTATGCCGCTGAGCTAAACCCCCAGCCCTGGAAATGCATAGTTTTAATGAATGCTATAAGGGACAAAAGGGAAAAAGGAAATGAGAATAAGTACCAAGACTACATCTCAGAAAAGAAAAATGAGGAGGAGCAGAGGAGAGAGGAAGAGGGAGGGAAAGGAGAAAAGAAAAAGAGGGAGCTGGATGTAGTGGCATATGCCTGTAATCCCAGTACTCTGAGAAACTGAAGCAGGAGAATTGCAAGTTGAACCTAATCTGAGCAGCTAAATAACTTACTGAGAACTTCTCTGAAAAATAAAAAAGGCTGGGGATGTAGCTCAGTACCAAGGGTCTAAGGATTGAAATCCCAAAATGCGCCCCCCCCCCAAAAAAAGGGGGAGAGAAACAGAGACAAATAGACAAAAGAAAATGGCCATGAAATGGAAAGCTACTCCAAAGAAGTGATATGAAAGCTGAGACTGAAGGATGGAAAGAATTCAACTGTTAGGGGCTGGGGATTTAGCTCAGCGGCATAAGCGCCTGCCTTGCAAGCAGGCAGTCGTGAGTTCAACCCCTGGTACCGATAAAAACAAAAAAAAAAAAAGAAAAAAGAAAGAAAAGAAAAAGAAAGAAAGAAAGAATTCAACTGTGCAGTGTGGAGGAAAAACATGACAGACCAAGGGAAGAGCCAAATCAAAGTCCGAGGAGAGAAATTCCTCCAATCTGATAAAGTGAAAAGGGGCCAGGTGAAGGGGCCTATGGGAAGCCAGGGTGGACAGAGGGTTAGAATGAGATAAAAAGGTGGAGAATGGGACCTTTAAGCTCCAGAGCTCATCCAGATTTTTTTTTTTTTTTTGTACCAGGAATCAAACTCAAGACCTTGTGCTTGCCAGGCAAGACACTGTGCCACTGAGTTATATCCCCGGCCCTCATCTGGATTTTATTCTGGGAGGAAGGGGAGTTTTTTTTTTTTTAATGCCACTCTAGCAACTGAGAAGAGGACAGACTGAGAGAGACAGGAGTGGGAATGGCAGATAAGTTGGGGCTGCAGCAGTGTGGCTCAGACATGTGATGGTAATGTGTGGTACAGGCCAGGCAAGAATGGAGAAGATAAACAGACGGACAGCATAAAAGATATCGTGGGGCCAGAATCAAAGCCACTTCCTAATAAGCTGCGGCCTTCTTGGGAACCAGGGTACACACTCTGGAGCCAAGTTTATAAGGCTCATGAGCCCAGAGCCACTGCTTTTTAGAACTGTGATTCCATTTGAACTGCTTAACCTTCCTATGCCTCCGATCCCCTTGAGAAAAGAAAGATAAAAGTAGTCAAGCTTGTGGATAGAGCCCAGCACCCAGTAAAAACTAAATATAGGATAAGGAAGTTGTTGTTACTACTTAAAGTTAGATTTAAGAAAGAGAAAAGATCACAGTTGACTTCAAAGCCATGAGAAAGCCAGGCATAGCAGAGCATGCCTATAATCCTAGCACTTAGGAGACTGAGGCAGCAGGAGCCCCACAAGGCCAGGAGCCCCACAAGGCCAGGTCACTTCAAAGCCAGCCTGAACCACAAAGAAAGACTTGGTCTAAAAAGAAAAAAAAAAATCCATGAGAAAGTTTCTGCATCAAGCTTTACAGCATCCCTAAATTCCAGCATGTGTCAGAAACACCTTCAGCATGTGTCCAGAGTCTAAAATGTACATCACCTGGACCGAGTACTTCCTCCCCTGGAAACTGATCCCATGGAAATAATCAAGGAAGGCCTATGCAAAGATCTGATTACAGCAATGCTCACAGAGGTACTACTGTCACAGTGAGGTACAGCCAGTTCCCTCATTACCCAATAAGAGAACACTAAGTAAATTCTGCTCTGCAGCCTTTAAAATGATGTGATAAAGTATTTGCTAATATGGAAATATATCCATGATATGTCATTAAGAAAAAGGATTAGTGGGGCTGGGGATTTAGCTCAGCGGCATAAGCGCCTGCCTCAAGTGTGTGGTCGTGAGTTCGATCCCTGGTACCGGTAAAAATACAAAGGTACAAAAAAAAAAAGAAAAAGGATTAGTAATAAAACCATATCACAGTATAATCCTATTTTCAAAAACACGTGTACAATGTAAAAAATATCTGGAAAGGCAAGCAAATGTCAATAGTAGTTATTTCTGGAGGCAAGACTACATAGGTAGCTGTTGTTTTAATTCTCTTACCTGAAAATTCTAACTCTGTTCAGCTTGTCTTGCTGGCCTTACAGACCTTCCCGTTTCCTTCGTGTCAGAACTACATTCTCTGCAGATCTGTGGCTAAAGCTGTAACAAGCTGTTCAGGGGCAGAGATGGAGACTGTAGCCTGGCCCTCATCATCAGGGCTCAGCCTCGGAGCTCTCTGTGGAGCTCTCTGTGGTTCCAGGACCAGCCGGTCAGAGTTCAGTCTCTCCGGGAGACACTTTCCCATGCGTCCCCCCCACCCCCAGCCTGGCCAGGCCACCTAAGCAACAGCAAGTCCTAAGCACCGCCCCACAGTCACCACCCTGGTCTGTAAAGAACTCTTCGCCAGTATACACTGTCCACAGCAGCACCTGCTCGTTTTCAACATCAGCACGGCAGAGATGGCAAACTGGCCTATCTATTGGTCGATCGATCAATCGATAGCCCTTCATGGCTCTCAAAGGGCCTTACTAGGATCCAAGTATGGCAACACATCTAGATAGTTAACTGCCTGTTTCTATTTGCACAAGGCCATTTGAGTCTCTAAAACCACCCAGTGCAAGAGGCAGAATGGGGAGTAAAAAACTAGACTTTTGTGCTTGTATTGAACAAATGGCTTACCTCCTCGGAACTGTGTTTTTCTCGTGAAAGGGAGCAACCCTCACAGGGTTGCTGTGAGGAAGGGTCTGTCACCTGTGTGGCAGAACACAGCAGGTGGTTAGTCCTTAGCTAGCATGATCGGTTTTTTGTTTTGTTTTGTTTTTTTACACCCATTGGAAACACTGGGTAGCTAAGGCTCAACATGGTGATGGGACCTTGAAAGACAGACCCCTCGAAGCCTGCCTCAGAGGCCTAAGTTCACCTGCTGCCTGGGCCCAGCTGCCTCTCACGACCTAGGGCCCCTTGCCTGCCCCTCCAAGCCCCTCTCTTACCGGTCCCTCAGGGCTCTGTCTCCTCCTCTCTCCCAAGGGAGCGCAGCCCTGGCTTTTTGGGCTCTGGCTGCTGGGCTTGTCCGGCCGCTAGGGGCGGGCCTCAACTGCGTTGTGTCTGAAGCTCCTGCCAGCCACTCTCTGCAGCAGGGTTTTGCTCTTCTCTCGTGACTTTGGACTACTGGTGCGTACAGCGCACACCCGGAAACTATGATCTCTTCATCTTCCTCCTGTGAGTCACTCTTGTTCTTTCACTGGTGGGGTGAAGTCCACTCACCCGTGCCGGCCTCTCGGTGGGGCTGAGACTGCTCACGCCCCTTTCTGGTGACTGCCTGGATCCATGCACAGCCTCGCCTTGACAGGAAGGCGGGAGACCTCTGACCCTTCTTCTGAGGGCCTCCAGTGAAAACACAAAGACCTCTTGCAAAATACAAATAACCCAGCAGAAAAGTAGTGAGGGGAGAGGCTAGTAGGAAGAGTGGCTTCTTCAGCAAGTCGAGTCTGTGCTCAGAATCCAGACTCCACTTACTAGGGAGGGGCCAGATAAATTAATTTTTCCAAGCCTCACTTTCTTCATCTGAAATTGAGGGTAATAATCCACCTAGCTGATCTATGAATGAAATAATAGATTGTAACGTGAATGGCACACAGATGACATACATAGCAGATGTTCATTAGACTATTATTCTTCTTGTAGTACCATCAGGAAAATCAAATAAAGAATGAATGCAAATAACTACACGAGTGCAAGCGTGTGCACATGCCCGCAGGCAGTGCCTGTGTAGGGTGCCTATGCGTTGTACATGCGCGTGCGCAATGCGCGCAGCGCGAGCCTAGTAAGTTTAAAGAGCAAGGTGTGGAAGTCACTCTGCAAACTGTGTCCTGGCTTCTCCTTCTTCCAGAAGGGTGTTCACACGGCTCAATTCTCTTTGTACCTAAGATCCTTTCATTCCTGCAGTGATATTTTCAATGAAGTGCAGAGGAAAGTAAACACAAACAAATAGTAAACATACCTAAATGGGATTTAGTCAAATGCCCTAGTTCCCTCATTTAAAGTTTTTTAGAATTTAATATTATTTTGTTCATGAGCTGCTGAAGTAAGCATTGAAATCTAATATTATTTTGAATAGATGATAGTCACACGACTCAACATGTGAAAGGTTTGATTATACAAAGGAACTTACCGTCTTCCAACCACCCAGTTTTCCTGGAAATTAAGGTATTGTGTTGTTTCTTCTGTAACTTTCCAAAAATGTCTAATGCATACACAAACAAAATGTCCATGTCCAAAATGTGTATGTATTCATCTTTCTCCAGTTACCCAAATACACATATTGTATAAACTATTCTGTACCTTTCTTTTCTCACTTAATAAATCTGAGATACCATTCTATACTAACACAGTATTTATCTCTTTTTAGTGGTTGTACCACATTTCATTGAATGACTATAATAAATTATTTAACCAGTCACCTATTGACCTAATCCTTCATTTTTAAATATATAAATATTGGATAAAAGAATAAATACAGAAATGATTTTAATTTAACCTATAATTGTGTGCATATGAAATAAAATTCTGGAAGCAAAGGATGATGGTGCATGCCTGTAATCTCAGCACTTGAAGCAGAGGGATCATTATGTGTTTGAGGCCAATCTGAACTACATAACCAGTCCTTGTCTAAAAAAACCAAAAAAGGAAAGGAGGAAGGAGGGAGGGAAAGAAAGAAAAGACTGTGGACCTGAGAACATTTTAGAGCTCTCAAAAAGCACTCTCAGCAATTCTCTAAGCTGGTGACAGAGGGATGAGTGTTGATGGGCTGGAGGCTCCTCTCTGCTCTGAATTCTGGGCTTCCTATTATCACTGCTAAGGCTAGGGGGGATTCCAGACACTTATTTACTTCAAAAGATCCAGTTTGTATTTGAGAGTCGCTTGACAAGACTAGAGCAAGCCATGAAGAAGTTGATTTTCACTTAGTAATTTAATTCCCCAGGAGTATGCAAAAGGAGTATACATTTTGGTTGAATGAAGATGTTCATTGAAGTTTTAACTACAACTCAATGACTGAAAACAACTCAAATCCCACCAATTACTCCTAAGTAGGAAACTACATAATCATTTGAAATGATTGTATGACAACTTTACTGACTTATTAAAATGGCCACAACATATTGTATAAGGAGGAGGAAGCAGTTTCCACCATACACTGCTACTTACACTGGTTATCTCTGGGCAATGGACATTATGTTCTTCCTTGTTATCTGCATTTTCTAAATTTTCAAATTAATATATTTTGCCTTTATAGAAAGAAAATTTCTTTAGACAGTAAGGTAGCCTGAATTTTCTACAGACAGGGAATTCAGCACTTGAATAGGTGAACAGATGAGGTGGGTAAAGAATCAGACAAGGAACTGCAAGCAGTGAAATCAACACAAAACAAGCTATGGACTTTTTCTAGGTCACTGATTGTCTAGTGAGTAAACGCATCATCATAGTTGTCTGTGGGTGGTCAGCACCGAGGAGTCCTTTGCAAACAGTGGAAACTTTCTGAAGAGATACCAGAGAAAGATAGTGAGGCATCTCAGGAATCTGAGAGTTTAATTAAGGTACTTCATGCTTGGGGGCCGGGCTGGGGACTGAAGTCAGCCAGCTGGAAAAGCACCTTGCCTAAGCAGTACCTTGGAGCCGGAGGAGCAGAGTCCGGAGACTCCCTGGAGCCCCGCCAAGGCAGAGATCAGAGGGGTGGGATTCAGCATCTGGGAAGAAGCTGTTGCTTTCTCTCTTTTCATTCCCAGAAAGAGAGGATGGATCTAAAAAAAAACCAGTGATGACATGTTCAGAATAGATGACAGTGCTTAGCACGCCCCAGCCAAGGGCAGAGGGTCATTCTCCCTGAGGGTCACTACATGGTCATCTCTTATTAATTTCAGTCGTAGCAGTTTTGCCTTAGGCCTGTCCAGAATTTTAGGACAGTTCTAGCAATGTAGGCATCACCTGGTGATTTACAGAAACAGACTCAAAAAAAAAAAGAGGCACAATTTCAGAACAATTGAGGCAGAATTTACTTTCACAAGATCCTTAGCAGATCTAGACATATAGCAAAAAATGAGGAGTACTAATTTAGGGGAAATTCCCTGAATCTGTGCTGCTTGACTCGAACTGATTATATTCTCCCATAGGTAGAAATCAGAATTGGTACTACAAGTCACAATCCCTGAGGAAAAACCTTTGCAGTCAAATGTACTTCAGAGCTTTTCATAGTTTAGGAAGGCACTATGTTTACCATACATTAAGTTAGTCTCAGTGGGTTCTAGGACAATATGTTGCTGTCTGTTATGAATACTGGCACCAAGTAAATACATAAATAAATAAAACATCTGAAACTGGATCAGACCAAATTTAGTGAAAAAACTTGATTTTCAGGGTGTGAAAATCAACTTATGAGCTGTTTTTTTTTTTTTTTTTTGCTTTTATACTATGTCAACTGAATAAATTTAGAAACACTGATGTAGTTCAAATTCTCAGCTCTTGTTAAACTCAAACCTTGCAGGAACTACAATGTCTAGATATTCCTTCAGGTAAAGTAGTTCACATACTTCATCTTTCTAAGCAGGTCACATCCCTCATGACTCAGCTCAACTCAAGGGGATCTGTGAGGAGCAGCTGGATTTTGGCAAAATTAAGCCATTCGTCCCAGCTAACACTGACGCTAAATGTCAGAGCTGATACTGGAACCCAGGGCTTCCAATTTGTGGTCCAATGCTGCTGCGCCTCCCCCTCCACAGAGGGTCTGAGCTCTTGGGCAGGACTCCTTCCCCCAGTTCTCACATTCTGTGTGCTGGAACCGGCTCTAGCTGAAGGATGTGGGATAAAACCCCTCCTGCTCATGCCCACTGGTGTGTTTAAAAACAAGGGACTGAAACTGGACAGCTTTTCCTCCAGCAGGTCTGGAAGCACCTCATCTTTCAACCCCTCGGACTATCAGACTGCATGAGGTGGCAGTAAGAGGCCCCAGGAGGTCTGTGGTGTGAGTTGTCCCAGGCAGGGTCAGATGAGCTGGCAGGGTTATTCTGCTGAAGTCTTTCTCCTAGTGAGTCCTGCCAGAAGACACTGGCAGAGTTGGCTGGGGGCTGTTCGTACAGGCGGTTAACAGGAAGTGTTAAGATCCTCGTCCAAATCTCAGGAGATGACTGGACCAGGGTCGGTCTCTGGTTTTGTAACGTTCAGGTGGCAACACTGGTGAAAGAACCTGGTGTATGGTTTGTTCCCTTCAAAACTCATGTTGAAACTTGCCACCATGAGAGCTGAGGAGGAGCAAGGCCTTTTACATGGATTTAAAGGTCACTGAGAAGGATTAATTCTTTTCTCACAGGACTGGGTTCATTCTCACAATAATGGGTTGTTATCAAGCAGGCCCAGACCTTCTTGACTGTTTTTCCCATGGATTCTTTTGTTCTTCTGCTTTCTGTGATGAGTTGAAGCAACCTAAAGCTTTACCAGAAGCCACTCAGATATCAGTACCACGTTCTTGAAACCTTCCGGCCTACAGAACTGGGAGCTAAGCAAACTTCTTTTCCTTATAAATTACCAATTCTCAGCAATTCAGTTATAGCCACTGAAAACAGACTGAGACAGAAAAGTGGTATTGCCAGGTAGGGAGATGTATACATATAATCCCAGTACTTAGGAGGCTGAGGCAGGAGGATTGCCATGACTTCGAGGCCAGCCTGGGCTACATAAGTACGACTGTCTCACCAAGAAGTGAAGTATTGCTATAACAATAGTGGGAAATGCAGAAGTGGTTTGGAAATGGGTGGTGGGAAGAAGCAGCAGTAGTTTGAAATGAGTGCTGGAGACAGTGTGCAATGCTATGAATAGAACATTGAGAAAAATTCCAGTGAGGGCTCAGAAGAAGACAAAAAGAGTTCTTATCTAGGGAAAGTCGGGACTTAGAAATTACCATGACCAGAACACTGATAGAATTGTGGACAGTGAAGGCCATTTTGATGGTAGGAATGAGAAATATCTTACCGGGAACTAAAGTAAAAGCCATTCTTATTATAAGGTTGCATTAAATCAATGCCCTAGGCCTTATGAACACGGAATTTAAAAGTGATGAACTAGGAATTCTGGAAGAAGAAATTTCTTTTCTTTAGCAACAAGGCTATGTTGCTCAAGATGATCTTGGACTCCTGGTCTCAAACAATCCTCCTGCTTCAGCCTCCCAAGTAGCTGAGACTATAGGCATGTGCCACTCTTCCAGGTCTAGAAGGAATTTCTAAGCAAAATACAAGGGCCACATGGTTATTTTTAACCACTTACACAGACATGAAAGAGCAGCAAGAGACGATAAAGACAGACTCTATCATTAAAAGGAAAACAGTGTAAAACTTTAGAAAATCCCTCTGGCCATATAAAGAGCAAAAGGCACGCAGAAGTGAAGCCAAGCAGGCCCTATGATTTTGAGGTTTCACTGTTGTTATCTTTTTTCTTTTAGTTTTTTAAAACTTTTTTTGTCTTTGTTTATTTTGGTTATTGTTTTTTACTTTTTTTTTTCTACCAAGCAACTCTTTGCTAAGGAGCTTAGAACGGGTAGAGGTGAGTGGGTGCTATGCATCAGGACAATGAGCAAAAGGAATTTCAGAGATTTTCGAGGCTGTGCCTCCAATCACAGACTAGAGGCCGGAGAGGGGTAAATGGGATCAGGGGACTGGCCTGGGTTATAGCCATGGACTGCACTCCCAGATCCATCTCAGAATGCTGCTCCTCAAATCTCAGTATGGCCCTCTTTGGCCAGCCCAGTTACAGCTTATGTGGGCTCAGTTGTGACTTGTGCTGTTCCTCTGGAGATACAAGTGGTCAGCCTTGGCACATGGTGTTAAGTCTTCAGATGGACAGTATTCAAGAGCTGTGCAATCATGGCTTCTTCCACTTAGATTCCAAAGAATACTGTAGACAGTTTGGGAGCCAGGCAGAAATCCGCCACAGGGGTGGCACTGAGGGAGAGATTCCCCACCAGGCCCATGTATAGAGGAGCCATGAGTACAGTATTACTACTGGGACCCACAATGACACAGCCACATGCAGCATGTGATGTCTTCCTAGGCCCATTGCAAGCATCAGTGTGCAACCCCAAACCAAGGGAGCTGAAGCAGGACTGAGCCCAGCAAAGCCACAGGCATGGGGCTGCCCCACGTTTGGGAGCTAGGTCTCCCAGTGTGTCTAGGAGGTGGCACATGCAATGGTCTTCCAGCTGTAACACTTAATTTCTGCCTTCCTGAGTTTTAGACTTGCTTGTAATCTAGCGGGCCTTTCTTCTGGCCTATGTCTCCCTTGTGGAATGGAAATACCTACCCTATGCTTGTCCTGCCATAGTATTTTGGAAATAACTTGTTTTGATTTCACAGGCTCACAGATGACACTTTGGGCTTTTAAATTGCTGCTTGAACAAGACTTTTGGGATAGACTTTAGGGACAAGTTAAAGTTTTGGGAGTGAATGATTATATTTCACAGTGTGAGGAGGACATGAATTGAAGGGGGCAGGGGTGGAATGCTAGTTTGCTCCTCAAACTCACCTGGGTGTTTGACCGTATGACTGTGTTGAGAAGGCCTTTAAGAGCTGATGAGGTCATTAAGAGGGGCAAATGCCTTTTTCTGTGTATTCATTCTAAAGAGAGGGGTTGTCACAAAGCAGTTCCAGACCCTATGCTTATGTTTTCCACAGGTGCTGTGTGCCCTTCCACTATCCACCATGAGCTGAAGAAACACAAGGCCTTTACTGGAAGCCTGCACAACTAGACCTCCCACTCTCCAAAGCCATAGGATAAAATAAACTTCTTTACAAATTCTCCAGCCTCAGAGAGTCCTCTATAGCACTGGTAAACAGAGCAACACAGGCCCCTCCCACAGGGCTTCTGTCAGAATCAGGAAGCTATTCTCTCACCTCTTGAGGTTTGCAGGTTCGCATTTCTGTTCCTCCCAGGGCCTCCTGGCCTCTCACCATTCTCTGAGGCCACACTCTCTCCCATCTGTACCCTTCTCTATAGCTATACAGTTTCCTTTCTCCCAGAGTTTACTCTTCAATCTTCGTTGTAAGATGTGTCCAATACGGAAAAATTAGGACACTCAGATGAATATAATGACAGGAACAATGGAAGGCACATTGGAGGGCTCAATCTGAATTTTATAACTGAGCTCTGATGACAACTCTATGTGATGGTACTTCTCCATTTTACAGATGAACACAATGAGGTACAGAGTGGTTAAGCTACTTTCCCAAGATCACAGGGCTAGCAAATGTCAGAGTGGGACCTAAACCAGGCAGTCTAGTGCCAGAGTCCACACCCTCAATCACCAGGCCACACTGCCACCTATAAGGAAAAAATTAGCTCATCTAAAAATTCTATATGCAGGGCTGAGAATTTAGCTCAGTGGCACAAGCACCTGTCTGGCAAGCACAAGGTTGTGAGTTCGATCTCAGGTACCAAAAATAAAAAAAAGTGAGGCTAGTTTTAAAAAATTCTATATGTACAAACAATCACCATCATGTTTGGGATGTATAGCCTTTCTCTTTTCAAATATAGAAATAAGTATTTTTTGTAAATTATGTCATCCTCTATACCTTTTTTTTTTTTACTTTATCATATTTCTGTACTATAAAATAGTCTTCTGCAGCCTTTCTTTCAAAATGAGGGCTGCAAAAATGATATAGGAAAAAAACCCCAAAATGTATTTACCTGCATATGTATAAAACAGGACGCCCTCATTGCTGGCCACATTGGTGACCTCCAGAGGGAGCCAGACGGAAGGTGGACAGGGATGAGAGAATTTTCACTGTATGCCATTTTACAGTCTTTATAGAGACTGTGAATGTGTTATCTATTTGAAAATGAAGTTTAGAAAATGAAATTACTATATCCTAATTGCAAAAAAATGCAGAAAGGCATAAAGTAGAAAATAAATTCATCTTTAAACTCAGTATCCACACTAAACACGGTCTACATTTTTGCCATATTTCTTCCAGATCTTTATCTCTGAATGTACGGATACATATTTACCACCATGGGATGGACCATGCTGCATGGTGTTTTGTTACTTGTGTTTTTCACTTACAATGAGTCATTGTTCCAAGCAGCCTCATTTTAAACATGTGCATGGTTATTAGTCACGTGATGTTAGCCAGTTACTAAAAGATGATTTCCAGGTGAACTGAGAGCCCCGCATCTGGGGTTGCAGTCCAGGTGGCACCAGCCCCCATCACCTAAAGCTGGGCTTTTCGAGTCTGCGTGCAAGCTCCTACAAGGCAGGATGCTGTGTGGCAGACCCTGGGAGATAATATCTGGGAATGGATTGAATGTTCCTTCCCTCTGAGATGTTTTAATCAATGTCCTTCATTTGATAGGTGCAAACACCTACCTGCTTCCTTCCCTTTCAGCTTTATGGCTATCACCACTGGAACGGACTGTACAAAGGAGAAGGCCTTGCTGGGAAAACCAGTCTGCATGTCCAAAGCCCAGAGTTCCCACCCGGGTTCTGCTGCAAGCCATGTGAGCTTAGGCACATCTTTGCTCTAGATGGAAAGAAACAATCTCCAGTCTCCAGTTTCTCCAATCAGTGTTGTTTTATTGGCAGACTCAGATAACATTATGGTGGAAGCACTATGTAAAACATAGTGCACCATGTACATGTAAAATTTTATTGATTGCTTTACTGGAGGTGTCAGGGAGAGGGGTAGAAACCAAACCAGTTGGTCTAGTTTTCTCCTAGAGTTGCTTCCTGGAGCTACCACTCCTCTGGGGCACTCTTGTACATCTATGGGCTCATCTTAAAACCAAAGGTTGTAAAACTCAAGGGCACAATGCTGGCAAGCCTGTGAGCAACTGAAACTCTAACTCCCCTGAACAACTGGTAAGAAGTACATTGAAAGGTTTTTGGCAGTATCTCCAAAAAACTATTGTGTGAATTTCCCAGTAGCCTACCAAGTTGCCGGCTAGTTTTGGAATAAGCACATATACACACAAATGTTCACCAAAAAACCTGTTAATAGGCTATTCATAGTAACACTGTGAACATTCTAAACTTGTAATCAAGTAAATAGCCATCAGTATATAGATGAATTTTATATATATATCGTTTCACAGTGGAGTTCTATCAGTAATGAGAATAAGCAGGTACCCAGCTGCATGCAATATGAAACAATCTCAAAAATGTGGATCTGACTGGAAGTCTGACCAAATGAAATCTGACCAGAAATCAAAAAAGTACATGCTTCTTTCACTTAAATCTCTTGCTGCATAAGAAATCGTTCCAAAACAGTGTCTTAGAACAATTATTTATTATTTCTCATGAGCTTCTGCAGTAGTTATAAAGTTTCTCTTCTGATTTCACCTGAGTTTACTTACAAGGCTGCATTCAGCTGCAGTTGGCTGGGTTTGAAGACCTAAGGTGACCTCATTCTTCGCGTGACCCAAACCACCTTCCTTATGTGGTGATCTGAGGGCAGCGTTCCAAGGTGAAGGTAGGCACTATGAGACATTTTAAGGAAGGTCCAGCCTCAGCGGGTACACAGTGCCCATTCCTCTGTATTGTCTGAGTAAACCAAGTCTAAAGGCCAGCACGGATTCAGAGGTTCCTCTTGATGAGAGGAAGTCACATTTTGAAGGGTCACACATACAGCAACAGGAGACATTTGTGGCCATATTTTCCACTGACCACAACACAGCATGACCCCATTTATATAAAGGAGGAAAGTAGACAAAAATTCATATTACAGAATCATGGGAGGTAGGCCTGAGGAGCATAAGAGACGATCTGGATTCTTGAGTATATTACACTTTTGCATCTAGGACCTGGTTACTAGAGTTGTGCCCTTTATGAAAATTCAGCAACCTTCGAAGACATCTGAAAATTTACTAGACTCAAATTAAAAGTTAAAAAATTGTGGCTTCAAAAGTAGAGTTCATTTCCCTTTTAGTAACAGTGGAGCCAAGCAGGCTGGCAGAGCAGCTCACTCCTCGGGGTTACTTAGGTTATCTTGCTGTCCCATCATCTTGTCCTCTTCTGCAGCAGTTACTGGCTGTCTGAATTCCACTCCTGGGCAGGACCCTGAGGGGACTCCTGGACAAGCACATTCCTTTGACACTAACAAGCTGGAAGTTGTATGTGTCACTTCCATTCACAGCTCACTGACAAGAACTCACTCTTACGGCAAGTGGGGCTTACCTGGCCAGCCAGTCTTCTTGCCTCAGTCTCCAGACTGCTGAGATTATAAGCCTGTGCCCAACTTCCAACAAATTTCTACTTATGATATAGAGAGAAGGAATTCTGACATTGAGAATACATGTAGTTTAGGAAAGGGTTTATATTGGCATAGAGCCCTGCAAACTCAGGAGAAGGCTGCTGTTTCCTCACTTTCCCCTTTCAGCAGCCTGTTCTGTTTTTATGGAATCTTTTCCTTACCCATCTTTGGACTTTCTGCTGATCTTCCTTCTACCAGAAAATTTCAGCTGCAGCAAGAATAATGCAGCACATGCTAGGACGCGCCCTGAGACATCTGTCTACTGCCCCCTTGGACCAGGCAGATAGTTAATGAGTTTATGGCTGGGCAGTGTGTGTAGCTCAGTAACAGAGTGCTGGCCTGTGCACACAAGGCCCTGGACTAACTGGCCTCAAAAACATAACAGCCAGGTGTGGTGGTGCACACCTATAATCCCAGCTCTTGGCTCGTACAACTCAAGGTCAGGCTGAACTACACAGAGAGACCCTGTTACAAACAAACAAACAAGCAAAAGCCAGAAAAGACAAATGCAAACTCCTTCTTTGACTGGGACTCCTTAGAAAAGGCGTCTCCAATGCAGATGTCTTGAGCTCTGGATGACTGATTTGGGGATGGCAATGTGCAATGTATGTATCATTGTTGTCCCTTGAAATTTTGTTTTATTTGTTTCTTTCTCTTTGAAAAAACAATGAATTTGGGAAAAAAAAAAAAAAAAAAAAAGAAAGAAAGACATGGTAGTATGTGCCTGCGCCTGCAGTCCAAGCTAGTGGGAAGCTGAGACAGGAGGACTTTATAAGTTTCAGCTGGCCCAGACAACACAGTGAGGCCCCATGTCCAAAAAAAAAAAGTAAATTTTAAAAAAAAAGAAAAATTTCCTAATCTAATCTTAGTTCCCTTATCCTTGGGCTCACCTGAAGGCAGGAGGGACTCCATTTTCTCTCAAGGAAAATGGGCTTTATGAGCACCAGGCAGGGGATGGGCTCTTGGGGCCACACAGGCTAACCAGAGCACCCTCCTCTCCACACTGGTGGGAGACAGAGGCTGGGGTTCAGTAGACTCTTTCTCTCCATATTCTGTATGTTCCATATCTCACCGGCCTTACTCTGGCCACTCCTGTAATCCTGGTAGTGTCCTTCGTGCTGGTCAGGCACTTCAAGGCCACCTCAGCACTGGTTTTCATGCACCCTCAGCAGCGCTGTTTAGGAAGCTATACCGAGGACAACTGGGATTTTCCACTTCCTGCCTCTGAGTTTTTGTTTGTTTGTTTTTTGAGACCAGGTCTCACTAAGTAGCTCAGGCTGGTCTCAGCCTGAGCTCATGGCAATCTCATGGCAATCTTCTTTCTAAAGCCTCCCGAATGCTAGGATTACAGGAGTGCACCACCACACACGGCTTGCTCTGCTATTCTGAAAAGAAGCCAAGGCTTTAGCTTTCTCACTGTCACTCTGATTCTTCACATTGCTGAAGAGAAGCGACTGGAGCTTAATTTCACTGTCTACAAACTGTTTCCTCCATGCAGCTGCACTGTGCTTTCCCATCTCTGCAACCAAAGCAGAGTTTCTGTCCTTACTGCCTTTTTCTCTTTTGTGGAGACAAGGAAAATACCAGCTGGACAAACTCAAGTCCATGTTTCTACTCTCATAGACAGGCCTGCCACCCATCTACTTTCTGGTCATCATTTTGAGCAACACATGTTATAAGAGTTGGATTTAATTTAGACTGAGAATCTATGTTGAGTCCATCTTTTTAAATTCTATACTTGATTGTGAAGTGCAGGGTTTAAATCGACTTCTAACACTGATATATCTTCTAAATAAATGTAGGCAAAGAATACCAGGCCTATGTTCCGGTCCTCCCAAGACACTATAGAAACACACAACGCCACATAGAGCAAGGAGAGGCTGTAGTTTCATGTTATCCAAGGAATGCCTGTGGGCCTCAGAATGTTGCCACTTCCTGCAGTTCCAGCCCCCTGCTGTGGTCCACACGGAGCAAGTGAATTCCTCTGTTGAAACTTGCACATAATAAGGAGCTGGTATCACCAACAGCCAGGGATGTCAAGGGTCCTGAGCCATCCAGAGACAAAGTGAAAAGGCAGGCTGAGGGAGGAAAGGGCGCCAGTAGGTTAGGCCAGGAGTGTGTTGCGGTCTACATCACTGGGTGATGTCACTGATGCATCTGAGAAATGCATTGTTAAGCAAATTCATCCCTGTGCAACATCAGAGCACACACAAACTCACACTCCCTGAGACGATACAGCCAGGGCCATGTGGCTTATACCACTATGGATGTGGTCTGTTGTTGACTGAAACATCATTTTGCAGTGTGTGACTGTATCATGGAACACCATGTCCTCATGAGAAACCCAAGGAAATACAACATGTGCTGTGCCGACTTAAAGCACAGGAGAGCGGCCTGCTCCAGGACTGCAACCGCAGAGAATGGCACCCATGCAAAACAAGATCCAGGCCATCAAAAGGCGGATTCAGGCAGCTGGGCCTTACCTGCTAAACACATGCTAAAAAGGTGTCCCAGCTCACCTGCCCAGAGAACAAGGCAGGGCACAAGCAGGGAGAACAGATCTGCAGCTGCTGCTTCCTTTAAGATAAAGGAGAATGGGGACCTGTGGGATATCTTGGAGGTTCCCAACTCACCTGGCCTCCCTCCATCTGTACGTCTGAGGCCACTGTTCCAAGACCTTTGGGTGCATGCCCCAGGGAAGGGCTTTGGCCCAGTCTGTTCAGGTCAGTGCTCTCGGACCTCACTCGCTGTTCATAGGTCATGATCATCAAATTTAAAACATTTATTCCCCCTCTGACACCACTATTACACGCAGGCAGCTGAGAAACTGACTCTAGGTACAGGTCCAACAGGTCTGTTCTTACTATGGAAGCCTGGCTTGAGGCCACAGCTGATTGCACAGTGCCATCAGACAGTCCCATCTCCTTTCTCTGAGAGGGTATCTTATTTCCCCCGGGGGAAACTGAGTTCCTGGAATATGTTGTAGGAAGGAGCTGAAGTTCTCTAAATACTATTCTTGTCTCTTGCAGAATCCTGTGTCTAGGACAGAATATCATAAAGGATATTGGGTGCTTGGAAACCAGCTTTCTATATAAATATAACATTTTCCATATATATATATATATGACATTTATTTGCCAATATCCATGATATAAATACCTCCACCATGACTAGACTTCATGATACCAATGGTTTAAAAACCTAAACAGCATATAAATTCTTGAATGTTTAGCAATCCACAAGTAGGAGGACATGGAGAAGTCTAGGGAGCTGTACTCATAAGACACCATTATTTCTCTGGTGCTTTGAAGTGTCACAACTTTACTGTGACCTTAAACCACAGCTTCAGAGTCCACACAGGCTGCAGCTTTCTGAGACTGTACTTACTCCTCTTCAAACCCACCATAGATTGAAGCTCTTGTTTTAACACTTGAAAAACAAATTCATAAATGGTAATTCTTGTTCCCTTTCCTAGGACTTTTGAGCACCACAAGTTAAAACCTGATGAGGAACTTCAGGTAGAAAGAACAGAAGGGCCAAATATATTTTATTTAGGACAGTGGTGGCGAACCTCTTAGAGCTTCCAATGATAACAAGCAGCCAGCTGTGGCACGCGTTCCATGGGTTTGCCGCCACTGCTTTAGGCTCTCAGGAGTGAGTCTGCACACCAAGACACCAGAAGGTTGGCCTGGTACCAGAACCAAGGCTGACCAGCACGATTTTGGCATCTCAGTGTCATCTCTTAACCACTAGAGGATTGGACAGTAGCAGGAGTTGGGTGACTATGTATATGATGAGAAATAAAAAGGGCTTGGGCACTTCATGTGTGTATGAGAAGCAACGACAGCAGGCTCCTTACCTCCAGTGTCTTGGTTCCAGATCTTCACCATGGAATCATGTGATGAGGTAGCAATCATGGGCATCAAGGCCAGTGTTTTGGGCAGAAAAACACAGGATGCCACTGTATGGCAATGTCCCTTATACTCACATATTCTATTTCTTGTCTGCCGTAGGTCCCACAACTGCAAAGAAAGAAAGAATACAGACTAGATCATACATGTTCTTCTAGCTTCATGCATACTCCAACGCTAATATCCTTCTTCTTGGCCTCCAGTGCTCCACCTACTCCATGCACTTCCCTACTCCTTTAGCTACAAAAACCTTTTATCTTCATCCATTATATCCAAACACTCATACAAATATCAAATATGTACCATCATCAAATATGTACCAAACAACATTGTTAAAGAAGTGCCAAAGGGTCCTTGTCTTTTCCCAGTCCTACAGCACGAAGGAAGAGTATGGAGATGCCTGATTTCCACTATAACTCAGAAGCTGCTTTATACCAGCTTTTTGGCACCTGTGGGGGTACTTCAGGGACCTCCCAGTTAGAGGTACCTTCTTATAACTACATATAGCTGCAGGCATTCTGATTTAATGCCCACTATCTACAATAAGGGAAGTGAAATCGCCCCTGGGTTCCACTCTTACTGATACTATTTCTCCTACGTGAATGTTATTCACAGGAAAATAACATGCAGAGGAGATTAAATTGAACTGTGCCCTAGAACAATGATGTCCCTAGAGATCATGGCATCCATTATCCTGGATGAAAGATGCTACAACCAAAGTGTGCAACACTGATCTACCACTTACCAGGGAGGTAGTCATATGCAAGAGATTTCAACTTATCATGCCTTTGTTTCTGTGTCTGTAAAATGGGGATTGTAATAGTACTAACTCACAGGATTGTTTTCAGGATTAGATGGGATAGTGCAAGTAATGTGCTTGGCTCAGTACTTGACACATAAGTGTTTGATAAAATGGGAGCTGTCATTGTCCTATTTGGAAACTACATAACTTGTTTAACTGAGCACCTATAATTATAAACAATTATAAATGTAAGGTATTGTGGAGGAGCCTAAAAATCTATCCTGCCATAACTGCAGGATAAGAAGGTATATGGCCAACACCAGAGCTCCATATTCCCTAAAAATCTTGAACTTCGGCTGGTCCGATGGCAGTGGGTTATCAGAACTTATTAACATTAGTGTCACTAAAGTTGGTATGCCACCCCCCCACTGCTAAATTTTACTGACTTTAAAAAAAAAATATCTTGAACTTCCTTCCGATGGCCACATGTGCAACCGGAACACAAGTACTCTTTTTTTTTTTTTTGGTCTTTTTCCTTTTTATCGATACCAGGGATGGAACTCACGACTGCCTGCTTGCAAGGAAGGCGCTTATGCCACTGAGCTAAATCCCCAGCCCCAACACAAGTGCTCTTAAAGCATCCCCTGCCTTATCTGAGCAGAGCTCAGGAAACACACTGGCAGGCTGGTTCTGTGTTCAGCCCTTCTCTAGCTTGGCTCTCACCTCATTCTTCCTGTCTGTAACCAGCACAAAGAGCCCTAGATCAAAGGATACTTCCTCAAAGAGCACTGGGAGTGTAAAGGCACACTCATGGTGTGCACTGGAATAGGTCTGGGTCATCAGTACAGCTGCCTCCTGTAGCCTGGCTAAAGGCCTGAGGGCAGAGGGTATAATCTGTTCAGCAGCAGCCAGAACCTGGGCCCCACGAAGCTCTCACCGTGGCTTCACAGCCTTCACCCCCAAAGCCACTGCTGCAGGAAACACACTTGTGTCCATCCACACTGACTTCGCAGTAGGTCTGAATGTGCTGCTTTGGGGGAAACACATGAGCCACCTGAAGCCCCCGAATATCCCATAATCTGAAAGAAATGAAAGCAATTAGTGAGTTTGTGCTAGATATGCCTGACACACACCTGTAATACCCCACCAGCATAAAAGCCTTGGCTCTTGCTGCTTAAGCCAGTCAGAACTGAATGTCATGATTTACCTGAACAGTGTGGCATGAACCAGCACACGCCCTCAGGACATAACCAAACCGAATGACATCTGAGTTCTATTTTGAGATCAGCTAGTAGGAACTTAGACCATGTGTCTTAACTATTCAACTTAACTTGTTAATTTGGTTCTTCAGGATACAGCTCACAATGGTTATTTCTGTGCCTGTGATTTAATCTTTTTTAGATAAGATTTTTTTTATCTTATTATGATACAGTCAGCAGTCATCATTCCAGAGGCAGATACAAAAGATTTACAGGTATTGGCCACCTTACTCTCGGGGGCCACAGGAAAGTTTTATTTTTCTTATGGTCTTGCTTTTCTCTCTTTATCTGATGCTTGACAGTTTCTAAGTAGAATCTCCTCTAAGGGCCAAAGTTTCTAGCAAGCTCTCCAATCTAACAGTTATGGACTTCATCTGGTTTGCCTATTGGAGATTTTGCCTCTGCTTCCTCTGGCAGGGTCTGGCTGAGGAGGGCAGGTGATTGGGGTCCCAGGAGCCTTGAGGGTCAGCAAGCAGGGAGCCAGGAAGCCTGACAGGGCAAGACGAGCAGATGACTAGAACTTGGTCTGACTCCTGACTGATCTCCTGGCACCAGTCTGTACCCAGATCATCTATGAAGCCAGACCAGAGAGATCCTAACATCAGCGAAGAGGAGGATAGTGGGAGACCAGGAAAGGGAACAGCGGTATGAGGAACAGTCATGTAAGTGTCACCAGAAACCCCTCCCTGCCACTCACCTAATGCTTTTATCTTCAGAAGTCTGCAGTATATATGGTTCTTTGGGGACCCAGCACAGGTGAGTGACCTGGAAAAAGCAACATTCTCAAGCCCCTCCCTACTGAGTTACTCTTCTGCTATAATTCCTGTAAATCGTGCAAGCAGTGTCTCTGAATTTCTTCTCAAGGACTGTGAGGTGGGAAATTAGAGGATTCAAGGTTTTGTAGATATCTATATGAGTTGGGCTCTGCCTGCCACTCCTGGTGCTCACAGTGATGTAGTGTTCCTCCAATCTTTGTGCCCAAATGCCAGTGGACAGCCTGAGAGCACCCGTGACTCAGCGGGCAATGGGCAGCTGCTGGTGCTTGGCAGCAGGTGGGAAAATAGGCCTGATGGTAAGGTAAGGCCACAGAAGCTCTGGCCCGATACCTCCCAGGGCTCAGAACAGTGACACTGGTCATCTCTTCCCCTGAAGCCCCTGCTGGGCAGGCACAAGACAGTTTTCAAAACAAATCAGGATAAGAAGATCTCCTTTTGCAGTACAGCCACTGCCACACATATGAAAGGTCTTGGCAAACACATCCTGCCATCAACAGTTACATTCAAAAGTAGAAAAGATGAAGTCATGTGCAGTGATTCATGCTGGTAAGACTGACACTTGAAAGGCTGAGGCAGGAGGACCATCAGTTCATGGCCTGCTTTGGCTACATAGTGGGTTTAAGGGTAGCCTGGACTGCATAGGGTAGATCAGGCATGGCATTGTATACTTCACTCTGGGAGGCTGAGGCAGGAGGACTTCAAGTTCCAGTCCAGCCAGAACAACTTAGCAAGACACTGTCTCAAAAATGAAAAAAAAAAAAAAAATAAATAAAAGAGTTGGGGATGCAGCTCAATGGGGAGACCCTAACTAATGAAAAGGAAAAAAAATTGAAAAGATGCCTATGACTGACATTTGACAGTCACTAGAGGAGCATCGGCTGTGTGCCAGGTGTTTCACATACATATGTGATCTAACTTAATTAGAAGGCTGTGAGGTAATGATATGATTCTCCCCATCTTTTAAATGAATACATAGACTCCAAGAGCTTACATAACACAGCTAATGAGTGAGTGATAGATTCCGGTTTTGCAGGCAGGAGTAAGGATGTAACTCAGTGGCAGAGAGTTTCCCTCACATGTGTAAGGCCCTGAAGTTGATCCCCAGCACCACAAAAAACAAAAAGCTCACACAAACAGAGGATCTGAAGCAAAGTATGACTGACTCAAAAAGTCAGGCAGTTTATGTATCAGTCAGCCTACTACCAGAAAACGACTGGCCTTCTAAAACAGTAACTCACAGAATGCAAAAGGAAAGGCTTATTTGTTGACACGATGCTACACATGCAGAGGTGAGAACAGCCAGCCACCTTCTGTATACACAGTATACACAGGCAGTGAGCTCCTGGAAGGCAGGAACTATGCCTCAGTCACTAATCCTATTCCAGCTGTGTCTGGCCCACAGGAAAAATGGAAAAAAAATATATATATATATTGAAGGAACAAATGATACCATTGTAGATTCCAGTATAAACCAGAGGAATCATTCTCTAGAGCAGAAGAATCAAGATATCAGCTAAGGCAATAAACCAAGAGGTTGGGACTCACAGAAAGTTAGTGGGGGCAACAATAGGACTTGAGGTGCTGAGGCCTGGCTGTGTCCCGACCCTGCCGCGGTGCTGAGAACCTAACCTAGGGCCTCCTCCACACTACTGTAAGCATGTGCTCTTCCACTGAGTGCACCCAGCCCCTTCCCTTACCCCCTGCTCCCTTTTGGAGCCCTGCTCTGTACCAAGTTTGAATTCGTACCAGGTTCCTGGAGATGCAGGCTTTCTCCACACACTGTCCTGTCCCCACATCCCACAGGAGCAGGGTGTTGTCCCGAGAGCCAGTGCACAGCTGTGTCAAGTCTTTGGAAACAATGGTGAGAAGCCAGACCATGAGATGGGACTTTCATGGGATTCGGGGAAAGCAGGCAGGTGTTGGGAAGAAATCTGATTCATCTTACCTGGACTCACAGCCAACCCAGTGACCACCATGTCGTGGCCAGCCAGCTGCTGCCTGGGCTGTGAGGAGCCATGCAGGTCCCACATCATTACCATCCTGTCTCGAGAGGCACTGAAGAACTGGCTTGATCTGGGGATGCAGGCCAGCTGCTCAGGAAGGGAAAAAAGAGATAGCTCTGGTACACTGGCTGGATTGGACTTTAAAATAGCAAAGAGATGAGTTTGGGATAATTCCCCCTATCACAAAGAGACAGAGAGAGAGAAAGACAGACAGACAGATAGACAGAGACAGAGAGAAAAGTGACTCCAGTGCTGCATGCTATCTATGTGTTCTACCAGAGCCACACTACCAGCCCTTTGAAAATTTTGTATTGAGACAGGGTCTTGCTAAATTTCCAGAAGAAGGGTTGAAGGAAGGGGAAAGGAATGGGAAAAAAAAAGGAAGCTAGACATAGCTGGTACAGATACAAATTCCACTGATGAATGTTATCACTATGTATATCTAAAATGTACCATTAAAAAAAAACTCAAAATAAAACAAATGACATTGTCCAGGCTAGCCTTGAACTTGCTGTACTGCTCTGCTCTTTTAAGAGGAATGCCTAAATTTGAAATCTGTGGCTGGAAGCACAGCTGGGCTGAATTTCCACCTGGGCTGTGTTCTTCTCTTGTCTTACAAAACAGACTTCCTCCTGCCCTTCAAGGTGAGGCTGTAAACCTTCATGTCCTCCATGAACCTCCCCAGACTGTCTCACCTCTCATGTCCACTGTACAACATCTCTGTGTGACCCTGGGGCACTGGGTCATCAGCATACCAGGTTAATGAGTACTGTCTCTTAACCGCCCTATGCCGCCTCCTATCTCATGTTGTGATGGCGCTCACTTTGTCTTGAAAGAGGCCTTTTTTATACTCATTTTTAATTATACAAAGGGATTCTGCAGGGATGTTTGCGAGGTCATCTGGTCTACTTAAGAAGATCATATCCTTCTCTTTTGACCAAGTAATAGACAACCATCATCAATTCCTTAATTTATCAATTCTCTAATAGTAAACCATTTCTGCATTCTTAGAATAAAATTCAATTTTTCATAGTATGCTATTCTAGGAAAACTTAAATTCTATTTTGCTAATATATCATTTTTAAGGTTTTTACATGAATACTTGTAGCAGTCTGCAAGCAATGTATCCAATATTCACTTTCCCATTCTTGATTAATAATTAAACCTCTCTACTGTTGGGTGTGGCACTGTGCTCAGCCATAAATTCGGATTTCATAACCTCCTAGGAGACAGGGTACGCAATGATGGAGCAGTGGAAGTGGGATGTCCGGAACATCTCTACAAGGGCTCGCAGGCACTGCTCGCTCTGGCCCCTTCTTCCCTCCTGCTCCTGAGAGCAAATACAATGACTGGAGCTGCAGAGCCATCTTGTAAATGGGAGATAACCTTGCAGGAGGAAGCTGAACTCCAGTGATGGTAGATGGAAGCTACAGAAGGGCAGGTGTGGTGACCGGCACCTACTGTCCCAACTACTCTGGACAACCTGGGCAACATATGCAACATATCAAGACACTGTCAGAAATAAAGAAGGGAAGGAAGGAAGGAAACAAGATAGAAAGAAAACAAAAGACAGAGAGAAACATAAAGAAAGGAAAGGAAAGGAGAAGGGGAAGAAAAAGAAAAAGAGAAAGAAAAAGAGAAAAAGGAAAGAAAAAAATACACACATGGGAGTCTGGCTCCCTCATGACCAGGAGCCACCACGGCGTACTTGGGTTTTCTGTGATCTGAGCCGTACCTAATTCCATCGAACTCAGAAGCTCACTGGCGTGCAGTTGCCTTATGTGGTTTGTTAGGTTTTGCTACTGATATTACACATAAAAGAATTAAGACTATTCCTTTTCTCTACACCTTAAGGGTTTCCACTGTAGCAAATCTATTATTTTTTTATGAATCAAAAAGAATTCTTTTGAAACCATTAAGGTTTCCCCTGTTATGACAGGTGATTCTGTTGTTCTCTTGATCAACTTAAAGTGAGTCTCTGTTCCATTTAATGCTTTGTTTTGTTCTATTTTTTGAAATAGAGTCTTGATGTGTTGCCCAGGCTGGCCTTGAACTCATGATCCTTCTGCTGCAGCCTCCTGAATGGATGGGATTACAAATGTGCATCAATGGTTGGCCATTTAATGCTTCTCACTTCTGGTTTTGCATTTTTGTTTGTTTTTATTTTTTCGGTACCAGGATTGAACTCATGACCTTGTGCTTGCCAGGCAGGCGCTGTGCCGCTGAGCTAAATCCCCAGCCCACTTCTCTGTTCTCACTTTAGAACTCCTGGATTTGTTTGGCTTGCATTTTCCTGATATAACTTTGATCACTCTTTTCCCCTGTTCTAATATCTTCCATGTTTTTTAAAAATGGTGATAAAATACACATAATAGGAAAGTTATCATTTCGATTTTTTTTTTTTGAGACAAGCTCTCGCTATGTAGTTCAGACTGGCCTTGAACTCAGGGCAATAATCCTGCCTCAGCCTCTAGAGAGCTGAGAGTACAGGCAGTGCCACCACACCCGGGAAACCATTATTAAGTATACAGTTCAGTGACATCAGTACATTCACATTGTTGTGTAGGCACCACCACTAGTCATTTCCAGAACTTTTCCATCATCCCAAACTAAAACTTTATACCATCTCCCCTACTGTTATTAGTAACAACTATTCTGCTGTCTATGTAAACTTAACTATTATAGGTACCTCCCTAAATGGAATCACAACACTTGTCCTTTTTGTCTGGCTTCTTTCAGTAAGCATAATGCTTTCAAGGTTGTAACACATATCAGAATTCCATTCTTTTTAAAGGCTGAGTAATATTCCATTGCGAGTCTACTAATGCACTTAGTTTATCCATGAGCTGTCAATGGATATTGGGTTGTTTCCACTCTGGAATGCTTCGCTCTGCTTTTCCTAGAGTGGGGCTTTACCACATCAAACAAAGCTTTTTGTGTTTAAATATCAATCACTCAATATCAAGAGCTATGAGAAATTCCTTTATCATTCCAAATTCCCTGCATAATAATCACTGACCTTGGTAATTTCACGTTCATGTCCTTTGAACCTTTTCACCACATTTCCAGTTTTCCAATTATAGGCAACAACCGTCTGCAGAGTGATGAGAACAGGTTAGTTCAATTACTCAATTTCCATTTAACTGAAACTAGGCTTTACTCCATTCCTATCTCATTGCTCCCTGTCAAGGGTCTCACTTCACATCTATCTGCTTTGAATTTTTCTTTCCTCATGATCGTTCCTCTGTCTCTTCCAAGACACTAGACCACTCCTTTAAACTATGCTCATGGGTCTGGATAACATTCCCAAGGAAAATGGATTCTACTTGAGGTTCTAGCATAGATAGTGAAGGAAAATTCTGTGTGGTATTATTTTGTCTCTATTGTGTTGCATTTATTTTTGTTTTTTAAAAACTTACCACCTCAACCATTTTTAAGTGTACAGTCTGGTACTGTTAAATATATTCGCATTTTTGTGGAAAAGATTGCATTTTTTTGTTTAAAGAAAAACCTCACCCATAATCTCAAATACCAAAGAGACTCATTTTTAATATTTTCTTTCTTCTCCTTTCACAGGTTTATATTTTAATGTTTTACTGTAAGCCTTTCTAAGAGGGACCATGAACACATCTTCTGGCTCCATCTCCGTGGTTTGTTGCTACAATCAGTAAAGAGCATGCATTGTACTGGACTCAGCCCTTGTTGCACTTCACCTCATTAAAAATCAGTTTTCTAATCTGCAAAGTGGAAAAGATAACCCTTGCCCTATCTACTCCTCACAAGTGTAAGGGAGACGTATAACATTTTTTATGTTGAAGATAATACAGATTTTTAAGACAAAAATGCTGTTAATTAGATTAGGATACTTGGGTGCATCCTGATCTCAGAGGTGTTAGAATTTGAAAATAGGGACATCTTAGAATCAGGGAAATGTAGTATATGAAAGAAATTTGAAGAGTTTACAAGGCTGCTGAAAATGGGAAGCATTATTAATGTTATTCAGTACAAAAACTCAGCACCATTGCTGATGGTAGCCTGCCAGTGAGTGCTCTGATACAGCTATCGGAAGGAGAGGAGGCAGTGACAGGAACATATGAGGGAAGAATCATGATGCATAGCAGTGTAGACTTCAGCAAAACAAAGGCATATAGGAAGCTACTAGAAAGTTCCTTTTGCTGACTCCTGACTCTGTTATAGCAACAAAAACAGGTTGGTTGGAGTAATACTTGCTGTTCATAGAAAGCATGTAGGAGGGATGGCACAGTGTTAGGGATCCTACCTGTGTTGTCTCATTTGGTCCATGCAGTACCCTGTGAGGTTGGGTTTATCACCTCCACTTAACAAGCAAGCAAGTTGAAACTCAGAACATTTAAACACTTGCCCAAAGTAATAGGAAGGAGCAGAATAGGGATTTAAATCCAGTCCTCCTAAATTCAAGTCCACCTTGTGGGCTGGGGATGTAACTCAGTGATACAGCACCTACCTAGCGTGCTGGAGGCCCTGGGTTAGATCTCCAACACCAGGAAACAGAAGTCTACCCTGCTACACTAATTAGTTCTGCTCCTGCCAGAAATGCAAGCCTAGATTTCTCCCTCAAAATATCTTTCCCATAATGAGGTGGATTCCCAGGAAATACTGCAAATCTCACCTTATCTTTTCCTCCAGAGATACAAAGTTCTGAGTTCAGAGCAGCAACAACGAAAACAGAATCCGCATGAGCGGGGCTATACTCTTGGAGAGTTTTAGTTTGGATTCTCTCTTCTATAATTCCATCAGGCCTGCTAAAGAAGAATGGACAGTGAGAAGTCTAGAGCCTCAGAGCAGACAGGAGAGCAAGGGGAAGAGGAATGTGGGTGACAGTCGCAATTCAGATCAGGCTGAGGGGAATAAGGACAAATGAGACCTGCTGCCACTGCTGGAAATAGTACTGGTTAATCTGAAAATGCTCAGGATGACTAAGTGATTGAAATGTGATAAAGGGGGACCCTGAAGCCAGGCGTCTTTGCTGACACCCGACTAACTCCCAAGATGTAGGGCCCTCCAGGTACGGGTGCCGATATTAACTACGAAGGTGACTTGTTCTCATCTAAAAGAAAGCAGAGCAACGGGTCAGAGAAAAAAACATCAACACTCACTCTGGGCTTCCCCTTCCTTTCACAGAGAGTTGTAACAGGACTTGATAAAACTGGAGACCTCAGGAAAAGACTGCTGTACCTGTACTTGTAAGTGCTGTGTTTGAGCTTGCTTTGCAGTTTCCCCATCACAGCACAGAAGTGACAAGAAATCTTCTGAAGGGCTCCTTTCCATAGGCAGTGGAATAGCAGCATCCCTTACAGGGGCTGGAAATTGTGTTCCCTGTTTATTAAAAAGACAAATGCGCACGGTGAATTTTGCTAGACACAACAATAAAGTATGGTTATGTCAAACCTTTATTTTTTTAAAAGACTAATCTTATGCATTTGCTTTTCCTCTTTTCCCTGCTTCTCCTCTTATGGTCTTGGGATGGCAGCTGCCAATAAGGCAATAGCAGATTAATAAAAATGAAACTAATTTTTAAAAATGCTAAGAATTAGCCTGGCATGGTGGTGCACACTTGTAATCTCAGCACTCAGGAGACTGATGCAGGAGGACTATTGCAAGTTTGAGGCTGGTCTGAACTACACAGTGGGTTCAAGGCCAGCCTAAACTTTGAGACAAAACTGTCTCAAAAAAAAAAAAATCTGGGGATTTAGTTCAGTGGCACAAGTACCTTCTCGGCAAGTGCAAAGTCGTGAGTACAAAAAAGGAAAAAATACCATATTGTCTCCCTGGTATAAGAAACTGAAAGAGTAAATAAGATACAAAATGTTCAATAAATATTGTGAAAGGGTAAGAAACTGCTCAAAGAGGAAAAATAACTTGGATAGGGAAAAGGAGAAAAGAAGGAAGGGAAAAGAAAAAAGATATAAATTTGTATATATACACCTAAGGTAGGTAATATGATTGTACCACTAATTCTATTAGTTCTTGGAACAAAATAGTTAACATTCATAGGATTAGATCAATTTTGCATGCCTATATCTGGCAATCTGAGTAACTCTTTTGAAAATAACTATGCAAAGTAACAATCTTTGTTAAATTCCTACCACCTTGTTTTGAAAGCCTATATTGTGGGGCTGGGGATTTAGCTCAGCGGCATAAGTGCCTGCCTTGCAAGCAGGCAGTCGTGAGTTTGATCCCCAGTACCGATAAAAAGGAAAAAGACAAAAAAAAAAATTAAGAAAGCCTATATTGTTATTGTGTTATTGTTTTTTGTTATCATTGTTTATCTCTTGTTTTCTTATATTTTTGTTTTGTTTTGTTTTTCCCTCTTTAAAATACAAAAACATAAATAAAATAAAGTCCTGAAAGCATTACAGGACTTCATCTTGTTTTGAAGTCCTATAATGCTATTACTTTTGTTTTTTGTCTTTTTCCTTTTTATCAGTATCGGGGATCGAACTCATGACTCCCTGCTTGCAAGGCAGGCGCTTATGCCGCTGAGCTAAATCCCCAGCCCCTTACTTTTGTTTTGATTGGTTTTATTCTGTTTTGTTTTGTTTGATTTTATCGTGTGTGATGGTATAGACAGCTATTTTGAAGAAAATGAGAGGCATTATGGTAGACACTGGTAATGTCCTGTTATCTTGTTTTAAGGTCTTGTATCACTTGCGTTGTTCTGTTCTGATTTGCTTTATTCTGTTTTGTTTTATTTTGCTTTATTCTCTTTTTTTAAAAACTCAAATATAAATAAATAAGAATTATGTTTAAATTGATTTAAATGTTACACAAAGTAAACATATGTTGAAACATTACATGATATCCCACTAATATGTACAAATTTTGTCTTTATGTATTAGTTAAAAATATGTAAAAGTACTACTAATAAATTCCTCAGTCAGTTAAAAATACAGAATTACTCTAAGATCTAGCCATTTTATTCCTGGGGATATAGCCAAAAAAGTTGAAAATAGGTGCTCAAACAAAAATTAGCACATAAGTATTCATAAAAACACTGTTCATAATAGTCAAAAAGTGCAAAACACCTTCATCAGTGGATGGCTACAACCTGGGTGAAGATTGTAAGTTTCATGCTACAAGCCACAAGCCAGATGTGGTGGCATACTCCTGTCATCCCAGCACTCTGGGGCAAAGTGAGGCAGGAGGACTGCATTTGACCCCTGCTGGGGCAACTTAGTGACAGCCTGTGTCACAAGTGAAAACTAAAAAGTGCTGGCGATGTAGCTCAGTGTGAAAGCCTCAAGAGCACACAAGAAAAAGCCGGATTCAAAAGGTTACACAATGTGTAACTCTACCTATATGAAATATCTACATAGTTCGCAAGTCTATAGTGTCAGAAAGCAGATCAGTGGTTGCCAACAGCAAAGGTGAGGTGAAGGGCGGGGCAGCATTTTGCTACTTAACAGGTAGAGTTTCCTTTCAGGGTGATGAAAATGTTGTGGAACTAGATAGGTGGTGGTGACTGTACAACATTATCTATGTACCAAATGTCACCGGTGGTAAATTTTATGGTGGTAAATTCTACTCTATCACAATAAAATAAATACTAAGGGCAGATAATTAAAAACAGAAAAATCAGCTACATTAATGAAGCCTCTTCCAAGAGAGGAAACTTAGTTATTCCAAAGTGTTAGGACTTCCTTGCTTGCTGGATTGCATTAAATTAATAATTTTATTGTGTACTTCTCTAAATCAGCATTCCAAGATCATGAGGTTATTCCATAATAAGAATGAGATACTAGAGGTAATGACACTAAATGGTACGGTACGGGTAATGACCTAGACCAGCAGTTCTCAAAGTATGGCCTAAGGACCAGGAGGGATTCCTGCGTCTTCAAGGAGGCCTTGAGTTCCTCCTTTTTCCAACTAGACCTCTGTGTGATTTCTCAACCCGTCAACCTAAATATAAAATGCAACAGATTGAAAGCAGAAGCTGATATGAGAATCTAGTTATTCTCTGTTTAAGCCAAACATGTAAGAGCTTAGAAAAATGTAATACAATTTTCCCAACTAAATTGTTTGTAAAGTTTATCATACAATTATATTATTTATCTTAGCATGCAACAAGTTTATATATTGTAGTTTTAAAACAAATAAATAAATTTCTGTTTTATGTCAATAGGAGGTAGCAAAGCAGGAATCTGAACCCAATCTATAACCTATGTAAACAAAAGCACCGTGGAGGCCTCAATGAATTTTAAAAATGAAAAGGAGTCCTGAGGGCAAAAAATTTGAGAACCACTGGCCTAGAAATTAAAATCATGTTAATGCTAGATGATACATATTAGAATCAAAAAATTATTGTTCCCCAGATTTACTTACATAGTCTCCATCAATAACAAAGCTAGAACTAAAAAGAGAATGAATTATACATTCAAAGATGCCCATTCATTCATTCTCAGAAAACACTTCCTAAGTACCTAATAAACATCAAAGAACCTAACTTGTTCATGCCCTGTACCAGTCACTAATGAAACAGAGAAAAACAGATTGAGAGGGGAGAGAGAGTGTGTATCAGAGAAAGAGAGAGAGAAAAAGAGAGAGCACTGAAAATATTGGCCAGCATGATAATTTGCTGACACTGAAGGAATCTGATAGGGCCCAATCTCAGCCACTTTAGGTCCTGTGTCTTCCACAACTAGCTGTACCCTGAGATGAGACGCCAGAGAAGGCTGAGGGAAGTAAATGGGGCAGTAGAGTGCCCAGACCCCATTTCTTCAGGGGTTCTCTATAAAGTTCTAGGAGATGAGTTGCTTATGGACTAAATAAACCTACCTCTAGAAACAACTGTCTTCAGGGAGAACAGCAGCTAAAATTACTATGTAAGTATTCTCATTCATGTCACGATCATCAGAAAAAGTTTCCCAGAATAATTCTGAGTTGTTGTCAGAAGTGACGACCTGGCAGGAATAGGTAAGTAATCCAGAAGTACAGGCAGTGGCAAGAACACTGGTTGTTGCATGAAGAGTCTGAGCTCAGGCCCCCGCTCTGCCTCATTTCATGACGTGTCTTTGAGTACTTCCAGCCCACCCTACACTCGGCTACTCAGTAGGCTGTCAGGAGGATCACAAGTTTGAGGCCAGCCTGGACAACTTAGTGAGACCCTGTCTTAAAATAAAAAGGGCTGAGGATAAAGCTCAGTGGCAGAGTACTCGCCTGGCATGTGTAAGGCCTGGGTTCAATACATAGTACTAAAAAACAACTAGGACATGAGATCTTAAATGATTTTTAGTGGACTATATGCTCCATAATGAAAAGGACTTTCCTTATTCATTACTGTGCTCCAAGTGACTTGCACAGTACAACAAAAATATTTGTTGTGAAGCAGTGACTCTAACATCCCAATTTAGGCATTCTAAGATTCTCCACAATAGGCCATGAAATGTGCTAAAAGAAAAAGCTCCAGAACAGTTTCAAAATACTTGGGATGTTGTGTTTATAGAGCACATAAGACTTCCTATCTGCCAGCCTAACCCAATTTCTGACATTGCCATCAAATTATAAAAGCAGATGCTATCCAGAGATCTAGGTCATTTGAAATTGCGAGCGCTATAAATGGACTGGTTGTGCTTAAAACTGATTGGAGCATAGTTCTTCCTAAGTATAGCAACTTCTAAGAGCTACACTTCCCAAATAAAGAGTATTAATGGTATATTTTAAGGAAAATGTAACTTGTAGAATTACTTACCCTCGAACCAATAGGATTTTCTTAGTGAGTTGCCATATTCAATGATTTGTAACGTTTAATCCTTTGAAAAATAGTTCAGGTAGCCACTTCCTAATCTCTGTAATTAGTGAAAAGACGCTCAGGTTAATCTCTTCTCTAAGCATATGTTTGCACTGAAAATAGATTTACAAGGTAAATAAGGGCTCTGTTTAATTAGAAAGATTGTTAAGTATAATTTTCCTTTACAAGGAAAGCAATAGTTTATAAAATTTCCTAGCTCTATAATTCACGTTTCCAACAGAAAAACCATCTTGTAATGTTCACTATGTCTTTTTAAATATACAAAATGTATTTAATTTTATCATTAAATATCTTGATTTACTTATGTTAATCAAAAATCTTTAGAGATTACTGCTTTTGAGAAAAAGGCAATTTCCTTACTTATTTTAGCATGGTACTGCGAATTGAACCTAGCAGTGATTGCGAACCTTTCAGAGCTTTCAATGATAAACAGCCAGCAGAGGAACGCGTGCTATGGGTTCAACACTGATAAGGTATTCACTCTGACCAACTTCCCGGCCCTTTTTATTCACTTTATTTTTGTTTGGATATAGTTCTCCCTAGGTCGGAACTTCCAAGGTTGGGGACAACTTGTATGCAATTTTTCCTTTCTGGCTCTTTAGATCACAAATGTTTTCTGGCCATCATCTAAACGGCTAAGGTTTAAGTCTGGTATCTCTGCGAGCAAGGAGTATTTTCCCAAGGTAGAAACCTGGTGCCACTCTGCTCAACGCTGACCCTCTGAAACCCCCTTGCTGCTTCGGGCAGGTGGCTGGCTGCGGCCTGGGAGCGCGACCAATCCCACCTCTCCGCGGCACTCTTTCTACCATCTGGGGCTTCATACCCACGGGTGAAGTGGCAGGTGTAGCGATGAGGCCCACGGGGACACGGAGCAGGAGGGCATCCGCAGCCTTCAGCGCTCCCGCGTCTCCGCCCCTAGTAACCAGCCGCGCGTCGCTAGGGCAGGTGTGCTGGAGAAAGACCTCCGGCATTCTTGCAGGCCTCCAAACTTAAGTTCCGCTCGCTGGAAGTCTTCTGGGGACACAAGAGCTCTCTGTATGGCTTTCTTAATGTAACAATGTATTGGTAAGGTTCAGAAAAGAGGACAGATGTACCCAAGACCATGCTGTCCGCAGAATCTCTATAATGAAGAAAAGTGGTGTATCTAGTAGCCATGGAGAAAATGCTTAAATGTCATCTTTTAATTATTATTCTCCCAGAAAAGTGGGCTACCTTATTTCTTTGGAGTTTTTTCTGATTCCAGCCAGACACAGATCCTTTCTTTGGATGCTTCTTCAGTACCCTACTTCCCTACTCCTTACAATCGTTCTTTCATTAAACCATAGCAGCCCAGCACAACGGCAAGAAGACCCTTTAGCACCTTCTTGAGATCCAAATGTGAGAGAGTTTCCCAAACTAACAGCAGACAAACTTTTACATCTACAGTCCATTGCTTCCAGACTAAAACTGATTCATCTTTGCATTTCTGGTGCACAGCGTTGGGCTTCTTGAATGTTTGTTGAATTGATGAATGAGTGAGCAAGTGAATGAATAAATAAGATCCTAGCCAATGTTCTTTTGCACTCTAGTATGTAGACCTTCTGGTGGCAGAGCTCCCAAACTGCCACAAATGAAGATTTGTGGAGTTTTTGAAAGTTGGGTGCCTGAGCAGAACGAGGGTGGCCAGAGAAGTTTGCCTTTGCAAGGTGTCATTGCTGGCCACTGAATCAGTGTATTCCACCCCAGGGAAGGAATCTCTAAAGCATTCCTTGTCTATGCTTCCTCCTTGATGATATACTCATTTTATTCTGGTTAGTGGCCTGTTCTGTGGGGAGACATATTTCCTGGCAGGAGCTGAGCTCTACTCCTATGCCACTTGCAACAATGATATTAGTTCAGAGCTAAGGGCTCTCCCTACACACATATTCCTATTCCCTATAACTAGGATAGACCTATTGCTTTGTTCTGGGGTACTGGGCTAGGTTCAGTATGGTTACAGACTGATTTACTCGCTTCCTACCTTGCTCCTGATATGGCATGGCGCCCCTTTGAGAGATGCCTTAGGCTTGTAGCATCTACTACTCCCAAACTGGTATCTGTAGCAGGACCACTTTCTGAGCCACCTGTATATCCACCTGTCTCCACCTGGTTGTCTAAAAGACACCTCTTTCCTGACATGACTCACATTCAAACGTCATCTTTCTTTTAAACCTGTTCCTCCTCTTTTCTCTCTGAATGCTGAACACTGCCAATTTTTTTTAACACTGCCATTTGTTAATTAGCCAAATCAAGGATGAACACTTGTGACTTCTCTTCTTCCTTGTTCGAGAAAAATCCCCAAGATTCCTCAATTCTACCTTCTAAATATCCTAAAAATAAAAATCTGCCCTTCTCTCTAGTCTCCACTGTTATCAGGCCAAGGTCATCTAGAGTGTGATAGATTAAAAATGACTCAGGTTCTTTGTAGCTTCTATTAGAGCTGGCCTTGTAATGTTTTGCCCAATAGGATGTAGCAGAAATGGGACTGCAGGACTTCTGAGTTTAAGCATCTAAAGGACTTGCAGCTTCTGCTCTCATCTTCTTGGACCACTGCCACCATGGGAGGAGCACCAGACTAGCCAGTTTGAGAGATATGGTCCATCCAATGGCTAGCACAAACAGACATATGAGTGAGACATCATAAATCACCATTACTAACAGCAATGAGGATTGAACCCAGGGCCTTTGCACTGAGCTACATCCCCAGCCATGTTTAATTTATTTGTTTTTTTGAGACATGGTTTTGCTAAGTCAATCCATTGCACCAGATGGGCGTGAACTTACAATCTCCCTGCCTCAGCCTGTTGGAGTGATGAAATTACAGGTGTGTACCAGGGCACCTGGCTGTGAGTGATACCATTTTAGACTACTACCTGAGCCATCAGATGACTGTAGCTCCATGAGCAGCCATCAGAAGAACCACCTAGCTGAGATTAGTCCCATTTGCTAGTCCCCAAATTCTGATCAAATAAATAATTGTCACTGTGAACTGTTAAGCTTAAAATTGTTATACACAATAGTAGCAGATACCTGAGGTGACATGGAAATTCCTTCTGTAAGGTTTAATCTTTTTAGCGTCATCTTTTACCTCTGCCACTCACACTGCACTGCAGTGGTTTAAACTACTTGCAGTTTCTCAATTTACTGTGCTAGCTGCCACCTTTAGATCATTGTGTGTGGTGCTCTACCTACATCATCTCCCTTGTGGGTCTTTTTGTCTGGCTCTTTATCCTCAGCTTCTCCTTCTCACCCCTCAAGCCTTCCTTAATCATTCCTGTCCTGCTCTGGACTGGGTGAGATCGCCAACCACTGCACTTTCAAAGCCTGCACACTTTCTCCAACATACTGTAATTTTTTATTTCCTTTTTCTTTTTCACTGTACTGCAGGCTGAACCCACAGTCTTGTGAATGCTATATAAGTACTCCTATCACTGAGCTACACCCCCCAGGCCTTTTTACTTATCTCTTGATTTTGTGACAGGTTCTCTCCTCATATTGAGGACAGCGACTAAGTCTCATTTACAACTATATGGATGGTGCCTAACACAGGGTCTAGCAGAACATTGCAATAGAAGTTTCTACCATGTTTGCGATGTTCTGTTTCTGCCCTGAGCAGTCCCATAGCACCATACCATACCGTTTCTTCTTGTTTGTTGTTTTTGGGGTCAGGGTCTCACTATGCAATTCAGGTTGACCTTCAACTGACTTCGTAGCCCAAATTGGCCTTAAACTTGCAGTGATTCTCCTGCTTCAGCTTTGTGGGGCTGGGGATTAAACAGGTGTGCTCCACCACTTATGGCTTTCCATAGCATTTCTGCACTGACCAGTTCCAGCTCAACTGGCTCCATATAGCAACTGAGCACTTAAACTATGGCTAGTGCAACTGAAGAGCTGAATTTTAAATTTTACTCATTTTAATTAAGATCAAATTTAAATAGCCTCATGGGACTAGTGCAAATTTAGCATACACTAGGCATTTATCGAGTTTTGTTTTGTTTGGCAGTGCTAGGGATAAAAGCAAGGGTCTTACACATGCCAGGCAACCACTCTTATCACTGAACCACATTCCCAGTTCCTTATTGAAATTTTTTGAATAAGGAATGAGAAGGAAAGGCAGTCATGGAAAGACCATTGGACCACAAAATAGGATTTTATGCTGTGAGCAACATAAAGAGGTCCTTTACCTCTTAACCCCTCAGCCTAACACTAACAGTGCCTCCAGCTCTGTCTAATATAAATAGAATCTTGGCTCTGGATTCTTTGTTGCCTAGGTTGGCTATTTTTCCTGGGCTTGCTCTATTTGGTGATGTCCTGCCTGTGAAGTGAGCTGGTCCCAGTCCTCTGGAGACAATGTCTCGGCACATCCGGTTTGGTCTGACCTGAGCAGAAAGTGCTGTCTCCCTGAGGCCTGGGCTCCATCACATGGGACCCATGCGGTCTGAGTTTGTCTGCACTGGCAGGCTGCCGAGCCCTCTTAAAGGTAATGGTTGAAGCTGACTGTGCAGTGAAAATGTCACAGAAGGACAAAAAGCCCCACAGGGCTGATACTCATTGATACCTGTAGAAACCAGACAAACACCAGTCAGGTGATTTCTACCACTAACGCTAGCCACGCTGCAAAAGGGTCTGAAGAATGAAGAATGGAGACAGGGCCAGGCAGGGTGAGATGGATGGGCCAAGGGCCCAACTGAGTAAGCAGACAAGCTAGATCTTTCATGGAGATCTGAGAGAAGGGTAGTTCTTCCCCAAAGCTGTTCCAAATATTCACTAAAAATAACTTAAGACCAGGTGCACTGCCACACACCTGTAATCCCAGCTGCTCAGGAGCTGGAGTGGGAGGATTGCAAGTTCAAGGCCAGCCTGGGCAACTTAGTCAGACCCTGTCTCAAAATAAAATAAAATAAAAAGGGTGGATGCTTTGGCATATGTGGGAAGATTTCTAATTGTACTTTTAGCATGTTATTTATCTCATCGTGGAATTTCATGAGGTTCACTAGAACCATGGCATAAAAAGAAATCTTGCACTTGCTACCTTCTCTGCCTGGACAGCTCCTCTGTCACGCCTCTTTCCTATTGTTCAAACAAACTCTGGAGACTGTGATCTCTGAAACAAAAGGTTTATGGAGCAGTTACATGCTAGCAGTTAGATGCTAGCCAGAAAAAGGAGCAGGCCCTGGGACAAATTCCCATAACTCCTAGCAGCAGGGCTAGGGAAGAGTTGGGAATGTGCCCACAGGGCCAGAATCAGGAATATTGTTTCTAAAATTCAGGGAAGAAAGAAATGTGGGATTATGAGCAGTGGGGAAAGCTTTGGGCTGGAGGGCAATCTCTGAGAAGTAATGGTTGCTTTTGGGTTGGCAGGGGTTGCAAGCAGAGCATTCATGGTGGTATTTGAGTTAATGAGAGGGGGATTTGTTTGCATTTCAGTGCTGGGGTGGAACTGGGGCCTCTTGCATGCCAGGCAAGTGCTCTGCCACCGAACTATATCCCCAGCCCTGAGTTAAAGTTTTAATATACATTCATGAATACAAAACCATCTTTTGTCACTGGCCTGTGATTTTTTTAGATGATTGATGACCTTCATCTGTCCTCCCTCCATCTGTCCTCCTCCAGTCATTCTAATTAAATATAGGACATCTCAGAGATTTTCTCTTAATATATAATGTTTGAATATTTTTCATTTCTCATTACTGACATTAGATTACATATTCATTTGTTTCATTTGTCCATGGAAGTAACTTTGTACTAGACTGTTGTAACCTAGTTAAACAAGGCCTAGCATACAAGTAGGTGCCCAATAAACCTGCGGAATGACTAGAATGTAATAAACATGGCCTTTCTTCTCTGCCCCAGTTCAGGGTGTCCCACATACACAACCCTAATGTTTAGGCACACCCCTCCTCATGCCCAACAGGGCTCCAGAAGTCTCTATCTAGACAGCCTAAGCCCTTTTGGACATTTTGAACATAACCGTCTGAAAGAAACACATTTGGTTTTCACTGCCTATGTATAGTTTTACTTAGATGTAGTCAGAAGACCAAATTATGACAAATTTAGCTAAATTTAGTTAAACGATCAAATTGGTTTCTATTAACAATTCTAAAATTAACAATGCACCTCATTCTACAAAACAAATGGGCTGAGACAAAGAGGTTGGCTTTATGGGTAGAACAGGGCTGAAGGAAGCAGAAATAAAGTCACTTCAAAGTTATTTTCTTATAGGGTCAAAACAAAGGGAATTTCCTTTATCATACTATCTAAATATGGCCTGTTTGGGGCAATAATCTCTTGTTTTTGCTTTTAGTTGTGACAACTTAGTTTCAGTTTGGTAATGTGGAACTTTAGCATGGCATGAGTGACTCCATTTTGGTTTGGTTTGGTCTATTCGGGCCTAGTGTAGGAGCCTAGGCTAAAACAATGGCTTCCCATAAATTTTATTTAACTACATGTATTTAACTGAAACAAGAACTAAAAGTTGTTTGGTTTGTCATTTCCCTTTCTGTTGTAGTCAGGGGTTGAAAGGAGAAAAATTACATAGAGGACACGTAATTTAAAATTACATACAGAACACATAACTTATAATTTATTATTTTGTAATAGTCACCCAAGAGTTAAATACAAAGAAGTGCAGGAAATCTATCCACAATACTAAAAACCCAAGGAAATCCATCTGAGGGCCTGGAGCCCACAGCAATGTCCTACATGAGTCCAGTTGAAGACCTAGAGCCCATAACAGTACCCCCCAAGAGTCCAACTGGAGGCCCAGAGCCCATGACACTGACTCATGCAAGTCTGCTTCACGGATCTGTACTGGGAAGGTCCAAAGGTAAACAGTGGAAGCTAGAAAGTCTATGCCAGCAAGGGGAAGGACCTGCGCTAGAAGGTTGAGGGTTCTACACTGGAGCCAAGAAGCGATGCTCAGAATAAGGACCAGGGCTCCCCGGAAAAGTACCACAATTATCCTCAGTGACAATGAGCTCCTGACCTCCTCCTTCTCCCAAAGAACAGATAAGTAAACATCAGGAAGCCAGCATGACAAGCTTCTGGAGGTTAAACAGCACATAGTTTCCCCTCCGGAGCCAGATGCTCAAAGTAAGCACCAGAGCTCCCCCAAAGTGAATCACAACCATCCTCAGTGACAAGGTCCCCAGCTCCTCTGATGATGATGGCTGAATTCACATCAGGGAAGAAACTCTGCAGGCTCCTCCAGGAGAGCCAATGACTCCAAACAACAGTATTTCGGAGAACCCACAATGCTATTCTTCCTCTCTAGCTCTCCTTCTTTACTGGCAGCTTTCCTCAGATGGACCATCTACACTCAACACCACGCTGATTTAATTCAGCTGGTGTTAAGTTGACCACCAGTTTTTAATCCATAATGGTTTGTTTCTTTTTTGGGGGTGAGGGCAAGTTCTTGCTACATAGTTCAGACTGGCCTTGAAGTCATGGCAAACCTCTGCTGCGCTTCCTGAGTGCTAGCATTACAGGCTGGAGCCACCACCACAAAGGCTCCTTTCTCGACTTCATCTCCCCACCAAATAGAGAGCTGCCACTGCTCAGGGCACTGTTCAGTTCAGAGGCCTCATCTGCTTCCTAATCATGGATGACTGCTAGAAATGTAGATTCCTGGTTCTGCTTCAGGCTTCTTCTTCTTCTATTTTTTATTATTATTATTATTATTTTGGAACAGGGATCCAACTCACGACTTCGCACTTGCAAGGCAGGCGCTTATGCCGTTGAGTTAATCCCCAGCCCCATTTGAGATAGGGTCTCACTATGTAGTTCAGGCTGACTTTGAACTTTCTACGTAGCCCAGGTTGGCCTCAAACTCACAGTGATGCTCCTGCCGCAGCCTTCCAGGTACTGGATTACAGGCATGCCCAGCTTCCATTCCTGATGTAATGAATGAAAATCTTACTAGAAATGCTCCATTTCCCACCTCCATCTCCTGTGCCCCATCCCTCAGTGACTCTGAGCTAGATGAACTTGAAAGGCCCCACCTGGGAGTTTATGAGTATCCTAGACCTGGCAAGGATGCAAGTCCTGCACGGCTTGCTGCTTGTTTCAGGAAGGGGCTGATTCTCCAGCTCCAGTTCACCTCAGTGCAAGAGCAACGGAAGAAACAAAAGGCAAATCTCTCCCCATCATGTCCCTTTGAATTTCCAAGTCCCTCTGCCTGGGAACATGTTTGGTGATTTTGCTGTGACTTTCCAGACCTAGCCCTCCTAGGACCACTGACTGCTGCAGGGCTACATCCAAGGAAGGGGCCCAGCTTTTCTCAGGGACCTTACCCCTTTTCCTCCTCCTATCCCCCATAGCTTCCTCATCCTTAGCAGGGGGGGGGGATGACAACACTAATCTCTAATTACCATGGCCCATTTCCATTCCTAACCCCAGAGGAGGAGAGATGCTATTATGAGGCCATCACCCTCCCACTGGGTGCGCTGAAAAACTTTTGATGCCACGACTACTGCAAAACCTCTCTAAATAACCTTACACAATTTATATTCCCAGACCTGCCATAGGAATATATGTACAGATCCTAACATGTATAATGTTATAATGTATAATGAAATCATTTATTATTCATGTGTATGTCAAAGTGTATGTCAAAGAAAACATTCTTCAAATAAGATCTCATTTCATTCTTGACTCAGTACCCTAAACAGGGTAATATTATTATTGCTCCCATTGCAGAGATCAAGAAATTGATTTTTTTTTTTTTTTTGCTGCTGTTGTTTGAGGGAGGGCCTTGCTATGTAGTTCAAGCTGGCTTCAAATTCATTATGTCACCCAGGCTGCCCTCTAATTCAAAGTGATCCTCCTGCCTCAGCCTCCTGAGCATGGAGAATACAGGCACACACCACCACAAACAGAAAGATGAAGGAATCGAAACCAGAAGGACCAAGTAACTTGACTGAAGTCCCATAGATTTAGGTAGTATAGCTGCGATGAAACTTGTAGTAATCCCACTCTGTACCCCACTCTGTAGTCTGTCTGGTCATATGATATGTTTGTCTATGTAGGGTAATAAAGTGTCCATGCTGGAAGGTGACACCATTTGGTACTGCTCTGGGTGGTTTCCAGGCTGTTAGCTACCCTTACTTCCTTGGGGCTAAAGCCTATTGCCTTCAAGAGGAAGAGTTCTGTCAGCTTTGTGTAATGGTAGCTCAGGGGAACCTCAGGCTAGAGGCGCCTGAGTCCCTGGGAATCTCAAAGATTGTAAGGGTTTTTTTCCCCCGGATTTGCTGTCACTTGTCCGTAGATATCTGTGTCCAGAATTAACCCCCAAAAAAGGCCTGGGACTTGTCTCCTCTGGCTGAGTTTGCTCAGCTCTCTGCCAAGACCTCCTTAGAGGAGTTTGGGCTTGGAGAATGGTGCCTTCCTTGTAGCCCCAGACTGGCTCTTAATCTTGACATAAGAAGATTTGGGGAGAGTTCCCCAAAATGGCTCAGGTCCCTATTAGCCATTCTTTCTAGAAGTAGTAGGTAGGTTTTTCTTCTACGCTCTTCTTTGAAAGTCAACTTTCTTCACAATAAACATGCATTATTGTTCCACAGTGCTAATTTTTTTAAAAAACTCAAATTCAAATTCAGAAAATTTGTACTGAAGTTTGGGTAAACCTCAATCTGCAACTTTAAAAATTATCAGTAAGGGCTTAGAGTATACTTCAGGGTATAGTGCTTGCCTGGGGTGCAAGAGGTCCTGAGTTTGATCCCCAGGATAAAAAAAAAAAAGTCATCATAACCTTAAATCACTGCTTAGATACCGTTGTTGTTCCCTGATTGACAAGTTTTGAAATTTTGTTTGCTTTTTCTCTCTCTTTGAAATAAAATGGATTTTAAAAAATCACTGCTAAAGTTTCTCATTCATAGCCACTTATGAGTAACTGTCATCCCCAGTAAGTCACTTAAATTCCATTGGTTGGAGTCTTAATTACACATCCCATTAACTATTAGCAGATGCTTAAAGACAGCAGCCACTGTCTGTGTACCAGGTATTGCACCATTTTATTTGTTTTTAACTCAAAACTTCTCAAGCCCAGGTCTATTAGGCAAGTGCTGTCATCTCTATTTGGTAGTTGAGGCCATGGTGTGGCTATGAGGGATTTGAACTGGGCACTCTGACACTAGAACCTACTTTTCAGCTACTTGTCTAAGTTACCTCTCATAAGAGCTGTTGTGAAGATGATAAAATGCTTACAAAGTATTTGGCAAAAATTGGGAGCTGAATTTTTCCCCCTGAACTACATTTCCAGCCCTTTTTATTATATTTTGAGGCAGGGTCTCCCTTGACTCCCTGGAAGGCCTCAAACAGGTAATCTTCCCGCCTCAGCCTCCCAGGGAGTTGAGATTGCTTGTGCATACCACCATGCCCTCTAAAACCTGGCACTTGGTAACACTCAATAAAGTTTCCTATGGTCACATTAATGTTTGGTGTTCTGGCGTCTTTATATATTTGAAAACATCCATATAACGTGATTTCAGGGAAGGAGACCGGTTAAGCGGCCAGGATCAGGGTGGGCGGTGCTGCGTGGTGGGCGGGGCCAGAGAGACCACGCCCACTCTGACCACGCCCCGCCGCACCTGCGACAGGTGGAGCGCGCGGCGCCTGGCGCTTGGCAATGGCCGCGGCGGGCGCGGGGCCGCAGCCCGAACCGGGGCCGGCGCCAGGGTCCGAGCCTGGCGCGTTGTGCCCTGAGCACGGCCAGACTCTCGGCTGGTTCTGCAGCTCGGAGCGGCGGCCAGTGTGCGCCGCCTGCGCGGGCCCGGGCGGCCGCTGCAGGGAACACCGCGTCCGCCGGGCCGACGAGCACGCGGAGAAGCTGCGGGTGAGCGGGTGGGGGCCGCGGGCGGCGGGGCTCTGGTGGCAGGGACGGGGATACTGGGCTCCCCAATGGCTTCGTTTGTAGAACCTGGTGTTGAAAGGTATGGCCGACGGAACCGAGTCGACCCAAGTTCGAATCCCACCCTTCCCCGCCTCTCCTGTGAGTCACAGTAACTTCCTGAGCCTCGGTAAAACCCCTGATAAAACCGGGTCCCAGCTGGGTGTGGTGCCACGGGTTCCTAATCTCGGCTTGCTGGGACGCTCAGGCAGAAAGGATCAGGAGTTCCAGGTCAACCTGGGCTACAGGTGGCCTGGAACAGAGACCTTGCCTCAAGAGAGCGAGGAGCAAGAGGAAGGAGGCACACACAAACTTGTCCCTCTTCACGTTTCCCCCCAGAGCTGCCACCCTTGAGGTGATCTGTTTCCCTTCCAGGATTGGCCTTGACTGTGCTTCAAGCTGGTTTCACCTGGATAAACAGAGGGAGTGGGAAGGATATGGGAGAAACATTTCCCCTAAGGTTCTCCTCACTTCCATTCTCAGCTGGGCTCCAGGTCCCTTTCCTGTCACCCCCATTCCCAGTTTGGAGAGTCAAATCACCTAGGAATTTCCACACTCTACCATAGTGGAGGTCCTGGGTGGGGATTTCCTTGAGGTGGGATGAACTGGCTTCTTTCTCCCAAACACCCTGGAGTTCAGCCCTGCTGTGCACCTGTGCCCTTACTAGGGACTTCACTGACTCGGACTGAATTGAAACATAACAGAGTGTTGGGGCCACACGGGGTTCAGTTAGTCAGTGCATCCCAAGCTTCTAGTTAGTTCTACTAGTCAACAAAATGATGATAAAAAGAAACTTAGATAGTGTGATATAATCAGCTTGCAGGATGGGTAGGAACTTAGCAAATTCCAAAATACTTAACTATATATCATCTCATTCATCCAGACCAAGCCTGGAAACTGAGGCAGTAACTCCTACAGGGTTCCTAAAAGTTCAGAGGCTGAAAGGAGAGGGGTGGTGATTCATTGACTAAGCAAGAGGAAGCCACCTCTTTATGCTTTGGTGGTTAGGGGGAGGAAGTGACGCTAGTGGAAAACTTGAAAAAGTACCCACCAGGGCCTGAGTGACAGAGGGGATGAAGGGTGGGGCAGGACAAGCCTGGTGCTTACTTTGGGTTGTACTCTGTCTCGGGTGTCTTCCCTGGACAGTCCCCCCTCTCCCCACACACATTTTAAGTATATTTATCTCCTTTGCTTGAAGGGAGGTGAGTCCTGTATTCACTTTTTCCAATTTGGATAATATCCTCCTCAACCTTCCCCACCTCTGGGATCAAATCAGGAGCCTCAGGCTGCCTCTAAACTGCATCCCCAGCCCTAGATTAGATGATATCTGTAGCATAGTCCTTTCCCTAACCCTCCAGCCTCAAAAAAAAAAAAAATTGTGCACTACAGCAAGATTGTTATGGAATGGCACAAAACCCAGCACCAGTTGAATTGTTCTCTTACCTTCTGGATCACTGACCAGTAACTTTTCAGACACTAGGTTCAGTTCTCTCAGTGGCTGGGTGCATAGAGATAGTAGCTTCTGTGTAGTCAATTCAACTCTGTAACTTTGCATTTGGGCCTTTGAAGTAAGATTAATTCCAGCGTGTGGGAGAAAGGTTTTACAAAGAGTTCCTGGAAGAGATAGATGGATTGCCTTGAGGCAGATGGAACAGAAGGAAAGTCTTAGGGTAAATAGTGGAGGGTCCTTGGTTGGAAGGGCTCCAGTTGTTTCCTGGAGAAACGGAGTGGAGAAGCAGACTGCCTCACTGTATCTCCTGTGGGCCTTGGTTTTCTCATTTCTAGAACTCTCCTGTCCTCATGGATGATGCTGGTAGCTGTAGAAACTGTGAATTGCTGCCCCTCTGTGGTCAAGGCAGTGGATGTCCATTCAACAAATATTTATTTAAGGGCCTTTATTTGCAGGAACTCAGAGAACAGGTCAAAGATATGGTACTTATATTTCTGGCATAGGGGAGCAGATACACAGAAGAGTAAATACATAACATGTCTGAGAGTTGTAAGTACAGGGAGAAAAATAAAGCACAATAAAAGATAAGTGGGAGCTGGGCATGGTGGCACATAATTCCAGCACTTTGGGAGGCTGAGGCAAAAAGATTGCAAACTTGAGCCCAAGCCCAGTAATTTAGTGAGACTATCTCAAAATAAAAAGGTGCTGTGGGGGACTGGGGATTTAGCTCAGCGGTATAAGTACCTGCCTTGCAAGCAGGCGGTCGTGAGTTTGATCTCTGGTACCGGAAAAAAGGTGGGGGGGACCATAAAAAGGTGCTGTGACTGTAGTGATGCGAAGGCCCTGAGTTCAATCCCTAGTACCACCAAAAATCTAAAACTAAAAAATAAAATATGAGGAGGGAAGTTAGGGAAGACCTTTCTGAAGTGACATCTGGACAGAATAAAGGAGCAATACACACATGTGAGACTACTGCTAGAGAAAGAGTGGGTGCAAAGGCACAGAGGTCTGGCCAAGTGATGTTTTTAAGGAATGGAAGGAAGGTCAGTGTGGAGAGTGGTGGGAGGTGACACTGGAGACATAAGCAATCACATCAGGCAGGGCCTTGTGGGCTAGAAGCACGGTCTGCAGTGAGTATGTTGGAAAACCATTGGAGGACCTTGGGCAGGGTGCCTCTTCATCTGATTTCTTTATAAAGGGTGGCTGTGGCTAATGGGGAACAGGGGGATGATCGCCTGGGTAGAATAACAGGAAGGAAATTAACTGGAAGTGACCAACCTAGAAATGTTGGATTCTCTGATGGGTTAGATGCAGGGGTGAAGATAAAGCCCTGAATTTTGGTCTGAGTAACAGATTAATGACTGGGCTGGAGGTTTAGTTCAGCGGCATAAGCGCCTGCCTTGCAAGCAGGCAGTCGTGAATTCGATCCCCGGTACCGACAAAAAGGAAAAAAAAAAAAAGATTAATGCCTGATAATGCCATCTCGTGAATGGTGACAACCCAGGGAAGAGCAGATTGAGAAGCCACATTCTGCTCAGAAGCAGGGATGGAGAGTCAGGGGGCCCAGGTATGAAGGAAAGTCAACAATGTGTGCAAGAAAGTGGTTGTAATGACAGGTTAGAGGGCTTGAGGGTAAAGAAGGAAGGGAGGCCACAGTAGGGAATGATGGGCAGCAGAGAGTGGTAAGACTACTGTGTTGGTGGCCACAACTGAGCTATTGAAATGGGAGCTCTGGAGTTAGGAAATTAGATGGATAGGATATGGAGGGCCAAGTGCAGGCCTTCACATGAAGATTTTGGAGGCAGTATCATTTTTTGTAATGGTGAAGTCTGAGGTAAAAGGGAGAAATTTGTTGGAATGAACAAATGGCTTATATGCTTGGATATCTAAGATGCCATGAGCCGTGTCTGTGTTGCAGAACAAGATTGTGGACCAGTGTGAAAGGCTGCAGTTGCAGAGTGCTGGCATCACCAAGTATGTGGCTGAGGTTCTACTGGGGAAGAACCAACAAGCAGTGGTAATTCTTCCTCCTTCCTCTCTGTGCTGTGTCCCTTCCTGGATAAGACCCTCACCTGAGGGACTTGGTTAAGTCTAGCATCCCTTTCCAACCTCACAGCCTCATTGTGCTACTAGCAAAACTGAATGTCCAGGAGGGGTGATTTGGCATCTCTGAGCCTTAAAATTACCATCTGGATAGAGTGGGTTTGTTCCTAGTACCTCATTGGATGCAAAGACTCTGCCAGATGGTGACTTTTGTAGGTGTCATGGGGTAGAGTGTAGCATCCTTTTATCAGTTATTTTGGCATCAAAAAGTGTAGCATCCTTTTATCAGTTATTTTGGCATCAAAAAGTGTAGCATCCTTTTATCAGTTATTTTGGACTCAGTCTCAGAATTATGAAACTACTTAGGGACTCAAGACTATTCTTTATGACAATCTTATGTAGTAGGTGGCAACTAATTCCTATTTGAAAATGGAGAAATGGGTCCTGTGATGGTTCATTGACTTGTTCAAGGTGACACAACCTCCTGGCGGTGTCAGTTCTGTGCCCTGGATCATCTAAGACTGGAGTCAGTACTCCTTTTTCTATATCCCATTGCTGGACCTTTATTCAGTGGACTTGTTATCACTGCTATGTTCCACCCTTAAGCATGCCCTTCAGGACACAGGCTATGCATGTTTCTTTCCTTGTGCCCCATAGTACATTGAGCAGGCTTTGGCTCTGCCTTAGTCAAGGCTCTTTTAACTGCAGAGAACAGAACTCCAGTTGAACCTGCATAAACAAAACAGGGACTTTCCTGGCAGGATGCAGCAATATCTCAGAACCTACATGGAAATAGAATCGGGAACTAGAAAAGTGCTAGGTATTCAGACACCTATTCCATGTTCATGTCTACTTTAGTTTATTATTTTATTTTCTTACCTTACTGCACTGGCACTTATCACATCTCAGAACAAGGTTGGTTAGAAGCCTACAATAGCAGACCCTGACTTTAATGGGGAAACTCCCAATATTTCACTATCTATCTATTTATTTATCAAATCCTTATCGGGCACCTACCATGTGTCAGGCACTGTTGTGCTGGGCATTTCACAGTGGACAAGCCTTTTCATAAAGCCTACATTTTTGTCACATAAAATATATGCTGTGTTAGAAGGAGATATGAGCTATGGGGAAATATAAAACAGGAAGTAAGATAGCATGGGTTGAGGCCAGGGGTTGCAATCCTATCTGCTCTGATCAAAAATGACCTCATTGGGGGCTGGGGATTTAGCTCAGCGGCATAAGTGCCTGCCTTGCAAGCAGGCAGTCGTGAGCTCAATCCCTGGTACCGATAAAAAGGAAAAAGACAAAAAAAAAAAAAAAAGAAGAAGAAGAAGAAATGACCTCATATGGAAGGTTGATACTTGCACTAAAACCTAGGAAGTGGCAGAGTGACCTACACATGTGAGGGAAGAGTCTTCTAGAAGGAGGGAATGGTGAGTGCAAAAGCCCCAGGTGGGAGTGTACCTGGCATGTGGGAAGAGCCGCAAGGAGGCCAGTGAGACCAAGCAGATATGGGTGAGATGGCAGAGGATGGGTGGAAGAGGCAGCGGGCACAGTGGAGTCGGATCTTATCCTCAAAGGCCATGTAAAGACTTTGCCTTTCTCTTTGGATCTGATGAAAGACCATTGGAAATTTGTGAGCAGAGTAAGATGATGTGATTTAAGATTAAAAAGGAACCCACTGGCTGCAGTATCGAGAAGTGACTGTAGATAGCAGGGTAAAAGGCAGAGAGACCAATTAAGAAGCTGTTAATATAAGCCAGGTGAGAGACAGCAGTTGTTTGGACCCACTTGGGTTCACTTGTCACTCCTTTAGCCTCTCTTTAAGCCTTACCATGCTGCAAACTTCTGTCAAACAGGGCTGATTGCTCCCTTCACTGTGCAAAGCAGGTCTTTGGGGACAAGACTCGGGGAAAGTGATTGGTTCTCTCTGAAGAGGCAGCTTTGCTGTTACTTGCTGAGCAAGAGTACAAGGGCAGGTGTTTGTGCAACAGATATCTTTGGGGAGGACTGGTCACCAGGTGGTATCTGCTATAAGAGAATAGTGTTGGGCTGAGAGCCAAGAGAACTGGATTCTGCTTCCACCCTGGCCACTGGCTTGCTATGTCAGTGCTCCCAAGAGATTCTTTAGTAAACCAGAAAAAAATTTCCCAGTCATCCAATTACTATCTGGACTATCTGCATGCCATGCACTGTGCTAGGAGTTAGAAAAAGATGCTCCTTAACTTCACTGGCTGAGAATTGTTTCAGGCCCTCTCTGTGGCAGATAAAATTCTAATATAGAACTTGTTGGAGCAGACAGCCTTAGGAAGTAATGTGTTTTTGTCCTTAGATATGGAGAAATATCAACCAGAACAATGTTGTTACAGAGATGTTTGATAGGAATGACTTTTTAAGCCCTCCTGTTCTGCAGTTTCTAAAGTTCTCTGATCCTGATCCCTTGGCCCAAGTATTTCTAAATGTGAAGAAATCAGGTGATGGCAGTTGATCTCTAAGCCAGCTCCTCCAGCTGCTCAGCTCCTCCATTTTGTGATTCTGGCCTCCTGAGATCTAGCCTGGCTGTCTGGATCTCAGATTTCTTTACTCTAAAGCATAGTGGGGAGTTTCAGTGCTGGTCCATCAAAGTAAATGGTGTAAATACTACTGTTCTCCTTGCTATTCCCATCACAGACATTACCATTCAACCTTGGCATGCCTTCCTGCTGAGCCCAAACTCACCTAATCCTGACTGTGGCTTTGCCAGAACCCAACTCCTCATTTCATCCCTTGTCAGAGCACAGCCAGTGCGGCCAGGGAACTGGTTATCCAGCGGTTGAGTGTGGTGAGGAGTGTTTGCGAGAGCGAGGAGCAGCGGTTGCTGGAACAGGTGCACGGCGAAGAGGAGCGGGCCCACCAGAGCATCCTGACACAGCGGGCACACTGGGCCGAGGCCCTGCAGAAGCTCAACACCATTCGCACCAGCCTGGTGGACATGCTTACCCATCTGGATGACCACGAGCTGATTGTAAGTTGGGCCAAGCTGAGGGCATGGCCAATGGCCAGACTCCCAGATTGGAAGACATTGAGAATATGTTTTGTTAGAAAGAAAGTGAGAATTTGGAGCAGGGATAAGTGACAAAGCTCCTTTGCTTGGTCTGCCCTCTGACCCTTCTCCTGGACCCTTCTGTTTACTTCCTAGTCTGGACCTTCCCTTGCCAGGCAGGTGCTTATGCCTCTGAGCTATATCTCTGGCCCCCTGTTTACTTCCTAATAAAAACCAAAAGAACTCTGCTAAGTCTGTTTAGCAGACCGACCCGTGTTTTCCATATCTGATTACTCTCATATCTGATTGGGTTCCTCATCTGCTGCCATCCTCCAGCTGGTATCTGGAGGATCACCCCAGCCTGTGTGCAGCAAAAAATCCTGTTAGGTTAGTTTAGCCAAAACCCGCTCTCACCCTTGATCTTCCTTTTAGTAGTTGTCCATCTACTTACTCCATGGCTGTAAATTCCTGCTTGCACTTGCCCTCTTCAGAGTTGAGCCCAGTCCCTTCCCTGCTGCAGAGGTCCCTACACCTATCTCAAGGGCCCTGAATTAATTCCTCTTTACTGTGCTTTAGTATGTATCATTGAATACTTTCTTCTTTCTCATGAGGCAAGGGGAATCAAATCATGAGGTTTTTTCCCTCGGCAACTGATAGCAATATCCTTTTAATAGCAAGCTCCTTATCAAGCAGAGTTACAGAATAAAGCTGCTAGCTACTCGCAGCCTTACGAAGCAGATGAATACATCAACTGATTTAGGGTAAAAAAGGATTATGTGCTTTGGTAGAGGTAATCACTCAGAAATAGAGACCACACAATCCAGACTGGGGAAGGGGTCAAGGAAGGCTTCCTGCCTGAAGTGAGTTAGAGGCGAGAAAGTACCCATATCCAAGGAAGTCAGCAGTGCACAAGGAGAACAGTGTGCTCCAGGGAGCTGATAAGAAGGGCTCCAGTATGAAAACACAGAGTTCATTCTTTTTTTTTTTTTTTCTTTTTATTGGTACCAGGGATCGAACTCACGACTGTCTGTTTGCAAGGCAGGCGCTTATGCCGCTGAGCTAAATCCCCAGCCCCTACAGAGTTCATTCTTAATGCTACCAGAGGTTACCATGATTAAAATTTGGTGCACACCCTTCCTGTGTAGATTTGCAAATGCCTCTGGTTTTGAGGGAACAGTGTGACATCTGAATAAAAAATACCAGGCAGAGACAAAAGAATGTAGAACAACTGAGCTGTCCCACTGCATTTTCAAGTAGGGCAGTTCCTGTGACTGCCCTCGATTGTGCGTTCATTTGGTCCCCCAGCTCCCATGCACAGTGCATGTTCTGTTTCAGACACTGGGACAGTCATAATGGAAGATTCAGAAAGTTGCAGCCAGCCAGGAGCTGCCGTTTCTTGGGAGAGGTGTTCAGTAAATGGCTGATGGTCCCGAGGGGGAGTGAGGGGACCCCAGGGCATAGTGGGGCAGGGACCACAGAGTGGCTCATTCTGAGCATGTGTCACAAGGATGTGTATGAGAACAGCCTGTAAAACTTGATGCTGGGACCTAAGGAAAGAAGAGGAGCTTTTATTCTAGGCCCTTCAGTTAAATATGTTCAAGTCTTGACTGCCTGTAGGTGTCTGGTTCCACATCTGACTTCGTTTTGTTTTCTTGCAGCAGAAAGAGCAGGAGATTTTTGAAAGGTAAGTGTGGCTGTGGGATCTGCTTGGGCAGTCACAGGGACTCTTGGCCTCTCCCCATCCCACTGCCACAGGGCTCTTCCTGCCCCTGTGCTTTAGCACCACCACTTTAAACCTACACAAAGGGCAGTGCAGATCCTGTTAATCAGAGCGTTGCTCTCACGGGCTTCCTCGCACATTGCCCTATATCTATCAAAATGAGACCCTGTCCAGGAGTTTTTCCACCCTCATCTACAGACAAAGAGTACCAAGGCTCAGAAAGGGAAAGGAAACTTGCTTAAGCCCCAGAACTGGGGCTTGGATTCATCTGTTCTAGTGCTATCTCCTCTACCCCCTTCTCTCATGAAAGAATTTTTGAAATGCAAGTCTGAAGTATCACTCACATTTTTCATTTTAATTATTCAGTACTAAAAGAATTTCACCGGGGCCTGGGGATTTAGCTCGGCAGCATAAGCGCCTGCCTTGCAAGCAGGCAGTCGTGAGTTCGATACCTGGTACCGATAAAAACAAAAAAGACAAAAAAAAGAATTTCACCAAATCCTACCTTGTGTTCTGAAGAGCTGAGAGGCAAGGTCTAAGGAAGAGGTGTAGATGTAATTCACCATGAAAAATTATTAATTCATCAGCCTCGGAGTATAGCTCATCAGTAGAGTACTTGCCTAGTATGTACAAGAAGCTAGATTTGATTCTGAGAGAGAAAGACAGAGACAGAGACAGAGAGAAAGAGAGAGAGAGAATAGAAGTGAGATTCTATTAGTGCTTCCCAATTCTACTTGCTAGAGTTGATTAGTTTTAGTAGATGAGGGTTTTTTTGTTTTGGTTTTTTTTTTTTTTTTTTTTTTTTTTTTTTTTTTTTTTTGTCTTTTTCATTTTTATCGGTACCAGGGATCGAACTCACGACCACCTGCTTGCTAGGCAGGTGCTTATGCCGCTGAGCTTAACCCCCAGCCCCTAGATGAGGGGTTTTAGACCTTCTTGTTTAATAATAATTTGTGGGGTGTTTCATTTTGTTATTGAGTCTGTTATGTGAAACAGTATCTCACTATGTAGTTCAGGCTGGCCTTGAACTCACTGTGTAACTCAAGTTAAACTCACAATGATCATCCTGCCTCAGCCTCCTGAGCACTAGGATTACATGTTTATACCACCATGGCTGGCCTGTTTGCTGATCTTTTTGCCTTTTTAAACAATATTTTTTTTCTTCTTTTTTATCGGTACTGAGGATCAAACTCACGACCGCCTGCTTGCAAGGCAGGTGCTTATGCGCTGAGCTAAATCCCCAGCCCCTTTAACAATATTTTTTAAACACCATTTTTATACCTGTTTTTCTACCACTTAATAGGCTAACTTGGAAATCTTTACATGTCAGTGCATATCAATTTATCTTACTGTTTTGAAAGCCTATAAAGTATTCCACAGTATGGATATAGCCACATGCATTTTACTCTCTCTCCTTCTCTCCTTCTCTCTCTCTCTCTCTCTCTCTCTCTCTCTCTCTCTCTCTCTTCTCTCTTTCTCTCTCTCTCTCTCTCTCTCTCTCTCTCTCTCTCTCTCTCTGGAGGGTGAGCTGGAGATGGAATGAAGGCCTCACATGTTCTAGGCTGGTATTTTACCACTGAACTACACCTCAGTCTCGAGCGTCTCCTTTTAATGTTGGTGTGGCTCACCCCCACTTCTTCCCTCTTAGTCTTTTGACACTTTTGCCAGGCTTCTTACTCTGCTTCATCTTCATCATCTTCCTTTAACCCAGCCTGTCCTCAGTATGGAGCAGATCTGAGTTTTGAAAAGAATTTTGATCTTTAATTTTTATTTTGAAAGATTTCAAACTTACAGAAAAGTTGCAAGAGTAGTATAGTAAGTTTCACCTAGAATTGTCAGTTATATTTTGCCACATTAGATCATGTTCAATATCTCTTTCCTATCTAGGTAAAGCTTATTATATTGCTTCCTATCACATTACATCATGATTAGAGTCGGTACAATGTTAGGGAAGAATAGTTCTTAAGTTATGAGTCCTCAGTCCATCTTATCAGGCAGAATATGATGTCCCATTATCAGGCATGTTAACTTTAAGCACTTGGATAAGGTGGTATCTAATGGTGGTGTTTATTGTGTTTCCTCATTATATAGTTACATTTTCCCTTATATAATTAAGACAAGTGTGAGGGGATAGTCTCTGTGTGTATTTTGTATCCCTTCTATTTTACCCAATGCTTTGCATCCATTGATAATTCCTGCCTATTTATTCATTCACTTATTTAGTGTCAATAGCTTCATGAATTTATATTTTATTCAATACATTATACTATGCCCATTTTTAAATTTAATGTACAAAGTATTACAATTAATGTACAAATGTACAATTAATGTATTAATGTACAATTAATGTACAAATCAATGTACAAATTATGCCTGATTGCTCAGTCAGAGCCCTTTGAGATGGATTCTGTGTCTTTTTTCTTTTCTTTTTTTGTCTTTCTCCTTTTTTTTATCGGTACCGGGGATCGAACTCACGACTGCCTGCTTGCAAGGCAGGCGCTTGGCCGCTGAGCTAAACTCCAGCCCCTGATTCTGTGTCTTTTTGACAAGTCCCCATTATCCTTTGCAAATTTTCTTGTTCTATGGTACAGGAATATATCCCAGGCTCAACTTACTCTTCTCCTGTTCCAGCTCTGGATTCAGCTCCAGAGGTCTTGGTTTCTTTGAGTAGGGAAAGATATTTAGAAGCCAAGACCTGGGCAGTAAGTATACGCATTGCTATTGATATGTCATTGCTACTGGGTCTTTTCAGGGAGCAGCAATCAGAGTGGGATGTGTGTAACTATTTCATGCACAAGTTTGTTTCACAACTTTGAATTCTAACCTAGCACCACAGAATTTTTCCTTTCCCTGCTGCTATTCTGTATTTGTATTTCTTTTACGGTGAGAATGCTGATTCCCAAAGTCAAAGTATTCATTCATTTGTTCAGTTCTACAATACACACAGAGTTGTTTGAGAACTACTAAGCCCATTCTACTACTGACAAACCTATTAGTAGAGTTTAAGATCTCTGCAGTCCTTTGTGACCCTTGGCTGAAGGTATATACTCTCCAAGAGCCATGTTCAAAAGTTGTCAGTCCCCTCCTTTGTTTACTGAGAAATGCCTTTGGTGGCTTTAGTTTGCACATCCATCACTGGGCTCACTCTCACCTAACAGTGACCATGGTCCCACTACATGAACTGAGCATTCAGATATAAGTCAGGACCCTCCTGTGGAGCCCTATTTCACTTCCATCCCACTAAGGCTAGGTTTTTGCTTATGTACTATGTGGTTCTCTGTGGACTCTACTATCTGGTCTTAGGTCTGTCCTAGGATGACAGCTTAGCTTTGCCAATGCTGGCTCTTTCTGCCCCACCTATTTCCTGGGGCTTCTCCAAGTAGAGCTGTTGTGCTCTGAGAACATGGCAACAGACCCTCTGTTGTCCTGACCACAAAGAACACTTTGTTACCAGAGCTCCCTGTCAGTATTTCAAGGTCTTGTCCACCTTGCTCCTCCCAGGCAAGGCAGTGAGTCTTTTTTTTTTTTTGTCTTTTTCCTTTTTATCGGTACCAGGGATCAAACTCACAACTGCCTGCTTGCAAGGCAGGCGCTTATGCCGCTGAGCTAAATCCCCAGCCCCCAGTCAGTGAGTCTTGCAAAGCTTGAATCTATCAGGGAGAGAGGGCTGCTGATTGGCCTCAGAATCAGCTTCACAGTTAGAGGTGATGGGAAAGATAAGAACCTAGGTCAGAAGGCACAAAGCTTTGTGATACCCCTTTGTTCTGTGCTAGGGGTGGCGAACCTATGATACTTGTGCTGCAATGGGCTATTTGTATGATTGAAAGCTCTAAAAGGTTCCAGCACAACTGGTTGCCAAGGCGACCATCCCAAAAGCACTGGTGAATCTTTTGAGATTTCATTTCAGGTCAAGGAAAACGTGTGGAATGGTACCTGTTCTGTTTTTGCATGAAGGCAGGACTTGAATCCAGCTTGGCTGAGTGCCTTTTCTGAATCTCTGGTCTTTCCTGTCAGACGAAATAACCACTATATCCCAGAGTATAGCAAAACTGAAATAAGGTCCTGGATAGAATGTAGTAACTTCAAAGCCTAGCAGCTACGTAAATGGCAATTGTTTCTTCATAGGCATCTTATTTTTCCCAATTACCTTCCCATGACTGAGGTTCCTTCATGTGTGACTGCTCACAGGTGTTTGAATTTTGAGAGCAGAGGAGTAGCTGTACCTTCTGACCAAACCAAGAGAAACATTACTGCTGCAATAGATTTTGGTTTTGTTGTTTTTTGAGACAGGCTTTCACTATGGAGTTCCTGTTTGAAATCACTATGTAGCCCAGGCTGGCCTGGAACTTGAGGCAATCTTCCAGCCTCACCTCTCAAGTGCTAGGATTGTAGGCATGTACCACCATGCCAAGTTTTGCAGTACATTTGTGAAACAATATATTTTCTGGCTAGGATGTTGGAATAGAAACACTACCACAAAGGGAAGCCAGTGGCTCAAGACCTAGTCCGAGGTCGACTGCCCATTTATTGAGGGACACTCATGAGTACTTTCTCCCACAGGGCACACTGCCTCTGGTTTCTAATACTGGCACCAAGCACACACCTCCCTGTAAATTGTCTACATGCTTTGGATTCAAGACCTTCTTGTTTCCCTACATAGGACTGAAGAAGCAGAGGGCATTCTGGATCCCCAGGAATCTGAAAAGTTAAACTTTAACGAAAAGTGCACCTGGAGCCCACTACTGACCCAACTCTGGGCAACAGCAGTTCTTGGGTCCCTCTCAGGTCAGTAGCTGCCAGCGCCTAGCACCATCAGGAGCAACTGGGCTTCTGTCTGTCTCCCTGTATGGGGTTTGCTGCTAGGTCACACACTGGGCACCAGTGCTTTTGGGATGGTCGCCTTGGCAACCAGTTGTGCTGGAAGCAATCTGTTCCAGGGGGCTTAAGCTCTGGATGGGGATGAGCTGGAATAGGTCCTTCCCATTTCCAGACCAATCTGCTCTGTAGTTGGGGAGAACTAATCTTGTTCGTATAAATCATGTTCTCTTTATCATCTCTTTACCATCCATTATGATTATTCGAAACATCAGGTTTCTCTTTAAGACAATACAGTTAACAGGCAACTAGAGGGAATCTGGACTAGGAAGAAGCTGCCTGGATCTGCTTCATTTATTCACTTAGGAAGCACCGACTCCAGGCTATTGTGGGCCAGGTTGTGTGCTATGCGTTGGGGCTGCAGAGTGAAGACCTTTAAGAATTCCCACTTTGCAGAGGATTTTTCAGAGCAGGCTTCTCCTAGGCTGGATGGAAGCTCCCATACTCCCAGAGGTGGTCTTTGCACAGTTCATAGAATGGTTAAGTTAGTAAATTGAATCTTGTCTCAATTTTAACCACCTTCCCATAGTATTCTTAAATTTTGGTACAAGCCATAGCTTGTTTACCCTAAATTCTGGCATCAGATGTACCTGATTTACCAGCCCCTGTTCATTCAGCTGTTGGAATCTGCATTGTCTCATGCTTCCTAGCTGCAAAGCTCGATCCCTAAAATAAATCAGATCTGAATGCCACAGATACAGCCAGCCAGAAGGCAGTACAACCAGTGCTGCATGTGGGAACAAAATTTGACCTTGCCACCAACTTGGTATGAAGCCTTGGGCAACTCATTTCTCCTCTCTGGACCTTACTTCTATCAAAGTTTATAGAGGAAGCTCTTAGACTAACTATAACTAGTGTTGGCATGGCTACAGTTTATTGAAGGCTTTTTTTTTATCCTAGGCACTTTCCATGAATTGTTTCATTTAGTTCTTGTTGACCATGTTGTGGTAAGTTCTATTTGATACTCACTTTACAGATGAGGAAACTGAGGCTAGGAGAGTAACTGGCTGCTCTGCAGTCTCCCTGCCAGTGAACAGCCAGAAAACCCTTTGCTACCTGGTGGGACCAGATTAGGGCTGTGGAAGAGAGGCCGTGACCAACTCTGGTAATTCTTTCCAGTAGGCACAGAGGATGTACGCATTGATGAGAGGACCGTCAGCCCCTTCCTGCAACTGTCAGATGATAGAAGGACCTTGACTTTCAATGCCAAGAAGACCAAGGCCTGTGCAGATGGCCCAGAACGCTTTGACCACTGGCCCAATGCCCTGGCTGCCACCTCTTTCCAGACTGGGCTGCATGCCTGGTTGGTGAATGTCCACAACAGTTGTGCCTATAAAGTGGGTGTCGCCTCAGGCCAACTGCCCCGCAAGGGTCCTGGCAATGACTGCCGCTTGGGCTACAACGCCTTCTCCTGGGTCTTCTCCCGTTACGATCAGGAGTTTCGCTTCTCACATAATGGGCAGCACCAGCCCCTGGGGCTGCTGCGCAACCCGGCCCAATTGGGTGTGCTTTTGGACTTGGAGGCCAAAGAGCTGCTCTTCTATGATCCAGCTTCTGGTACCGTGCTCTATACCTACCACACTGTCTTCCCCACGCCTCTCTTCCCAGTCTTTGCTGTGGCTGACCAGACCATCTCCATTGTCCACTGACCTCTGGCCACAGAAAGGCCAACTACATGTCCCTACTGCCCTTTCAAGTCAAGCCACATTTCCACCCAGTGTCCTTTTCCCAAATGATGTGTGTGATGTTTCTACAGAAAAGATGGCCCATGCTTGATGAGCAGATTTAGGTGCTATGGGAAATCTGTTTGACTGGGCACAATCTTTAAATGCCAGCCATCTGTGCAGAACTTGCTGCTCCCTGCCCCTTTGTCTCCGAAATCCACCACGATTCTGCCCCTCCGGCATCCAGCACAGGGCCTGGGGCATAGTGGCTGTGCAATAATTATTAGGTAAGTGAAAAGAAGGATGGGTGGACAGACAGGTAACTGGGCAGATGTGGTAGTTTCTAGAGAAGCACTTTAGCCCCGACCCTGAGCTTTGTGTGTGTGGAAATGGTCCTCTGCAGAGAAGCCTGTGGCTGGTTTCTTTATCCTCTCAGTTCAGTGCTTATCAGTCTTGTTCATGACACCCGCATAGGGAAAATATTTTTCTAGCCACACAAACACAACCTAGAAGGGACACAATGATTAGACTGCACCTGCCAGAAGATTCTGGCCTGGCAGTGCCATATCCCACTCTGGTTCCTGCCCTAGCACTCAGAAGACAGAAGGACCCTATCTCCAGGTACCTGACTGCACCCCAGCCATGGGCATCTGTCCTTCAGGCTGAGGGCCAGCTGTCCCCACCTGAAATAAGGGGAACTGCCTTCCTACTGTGGCTATGCTCCCCACTGTAGCCTCTCAGACCTAAAGTGAAGGCCTGAGTGAGGGCTTCCAACCAGAAAGTACTGACAAGTACGAGGGAACAAGGAACATGAACATTATTAAAGGGCTTAAGAAACTGACAGATTTCTTGCATGTTCTTTGTTGGTAATTGGCTGCATGCTATATAGTGGCCTGAGTCTTCCTCAACCTCATGCACATGATCAGAACTAAATGGGTGTAGCAGGAAGAGCTTGGAGACATTGCCAGGATCAAGGACAAGTCTCTTCATGTTTTCCTCTTTAAGGAGAACATGTAAGAATTGTGGTCCTCAAACTCTGTCCAGGAACATGATTCAGAAGCAGTCAGTCCATGGCTGGAAGTGTTGCTGAGTGGCACAGTGTTTGCCTGCTCTGCATTGGATTCACAGCACTGCACAAAAGAAAAAAACCCACAAAAAACCAAACCACCTTAACTACAATCTTCAAGTTCTCAGAGCCAAACAGAATGAAAGACACAGCCTAGTCTAGTTTCCTTGGTAGCCACAAAGTGGCTTGAAAACCACTACTTAGGCCTGTCACAGGCCTAAGGAAGGCTGGCTGGGGTCAGTAGGCAATGAGTAAAACAGTCCAAGATTCAAGGACAAGCATGACTTTGCCTCAGTTACTGTGGCCATGCACGAATACAGTCCCAGAGTGGCCAGAAATAAGATGCTTACAGGCTGAAAAATCTCAGGCTTTATGTGACATTTTCATTTGTTTGTTTTGTAGTGCTGGGGTCAAATCCAGCATTTGCTAGTGGTCTCTACCACTGAGCTACAGCTCCAGGCCTTTCTATGAAATCTCTTGTGATGGTTAGGTTTGTTTGGAGTTTGCTTGACACACTGGTAGATCAAATCCATCGGCCTCTGATAGGCAATATTTTTGGCTCAGATGATACTCTGAGAGGGGCTGGGGGTTTAGCTCAGCGGCTTAAGCACCTGCCTTGAAAGCAGGCAGTCGTGAGTTCGATCCCCGGTACCGATAAAAAGGAAAAAGACAAAAAAAAAAAAAAAAAAAGATGATACTCTGAGGAGCTTGAAGCTCTGAGGCCGCCGTTCATAACCTCTTCACTGCCTGACACTCAGGAATTACTGAGAAGCCATCTATCTGGCTTTGGTGTCAGGTCCAAACAAGACATAGATTTTGTCAGTCCTTGCCTTTGCCTGGACTTGGCCTCTGCCCAGAAATCTAAGTCAAAGCCAACTTCTGCTTGGCATCTCAAGGGCCCCAAGCTAGTGCCCTGCGGCAGACTGGACTCCACAGTTCACGAGCCTCCTGTTGGGATATTCCCTGATTCCTCGACCTCCTCAAAGTCACCCCACCCTATTCTCAGCTCAGTGTCCTCTCTAGACCCTAATCTGGCTCTTATCACATTTCTATGGGGCTGTGTTTTTTTTTTTTTTTTTTTAATTTGGTTCTGAGGACTGGAACTCACAGCCCTTTTTTATTTTGAGACAGGGTTTTACCACATCACTAAATTACCCAGACTGGACTGGAATTTGCAATTCTCCCAATTCAGCCTCCCAGAATGCTGTAAGTACAGGTGTGGGCCACCACACCTAGCTCTATGCTTTTAATCTTGGTATTCCCTGTGCCTGACACTGGGCAAGGCACTGAGATACTCAGTGATCACCAAGAGGATAGGTGAGATAAGGGAACAAGTGGTATTTTTAAAGCCCAATTTATTTTTTCAGCTTTCAACTGTTTCCCCTAGAGTCCTGAGCTCCCGTCCATTTTTCTAGCATTTCCTATCCCTAAGCATTCCTATGAATTGGATGCCCTCCAGAGCACAGTTACTATTCTCCTAGGATCTTCAATGCTCTGTCACATGACATGGGTCCCTCACTACTTGCAACCTAATGGTCAAGTCAATAGGCTTTTGAGTCAGCCATGCCCAAACTGGAACCCTGGTTCCCTCTGGCCCTGCAAACCCTAGCAGGGTACCTATTTGTAAATTAGAGTATTACCATCTCTGGCCAGAAGGGGGCTCTGAGGGTTATATATGCAGAAAAAGAAGTATGAGTATGGAACACAGGGCAGGCTGTCAGCAGAGTTCCTGCCCTTTCATACTGTAGCTTGGTAGTGGACGTGTCCCTACAGCACAGCTGAGCACCTTGACTGCCAAACTAAACTCTGACTTCAGAGGGTGTCTCAGGCTGAATGAGAGTCCTTACGACTTTTGCTTCAACTCTGTTTATTTTGACAGTGGAGTTCAGACTCCCAATGACAATACTACTAAAAGATCAAAAATGCCGTTCTGGTTTCCACTGCTAGTGTTCACACTCAGGGTCTCACACACACTAAGCAAGCATGCTGCCACTGTGCTACCCCTAGCCCTCAAAAGTGAACATGGGTGGAGGTGAGGGAGGTTCATGGTAGCAAAGGGCCACAGGTGTGAATGAGAATGATCAAGCTCACAGAGTGTAGCTGGTTGGTGGGCAAGAGCCAACACTCAGCCCTCCTTTACTCAGAACAAGTTAGACGGCTGTACAGGAAGGAACCCGGCCCACATCTGGGAGAAAGAAGGGGCACCCTGACTCCAGAGTTGATTTAGGCCCAGGGATCTTCCTCACCAGACTCACAGCCCAGGGGCTGAACCCTGCTCAAGGGCAGGCAGGAGATGAGACAGTGAGGGGAGAATATATTCTTCAGGTACAGAGTCCCTGATAATGGGGTCCAGAGGCTCTGGACCAACCACCAGAAAACTCTGCATGCCTACAGCCCGAGCTCCCTGGTAATCACAGCGGTAACTGTCCCCAATGTGGGCTGCTGCTGCTGCTTCTGTATGAGCAAGCTGCAAGGCCTTGTGGAAAATACGGGGGTCTGGCTTGGGCCAGCCAGCAGCCTCAGAGGTCAATACAAAGTCAAAATGTTCCCGCAGTCCCAGACCCACCAGGATATCCTCTAAACGTTGATCAAAGTTTGAGATCACTGCCAGCTGGAGACCCCGCTTTCGGCACCTCCTCAGGGTGGTCTCAGCCCCCTCTAATACCTGCCAGGTATGGGGGCTGCTGAAGTCCTTATAGAGCTGGTCAGCAATAGTGGCTACTGCCTGGGCATCCCGCACACCTGCCAGGTGGAAGGTCTGCAGGACCACATCCTGCCACCACTGGCGGGATGTAAGGCCACGACTCAGGCCATAGGTGGGGAATTTGTGGTTTTGAGCCTTGTACACTTGCCCAAAGGCTTGTCCCAGGGCTGTGGCCTCCACCTCCAGCCCATGGGCCCGGGCCTTGGCAGCATATTCCTCTCCTACAGGGCGGCGGAGCCTCAGCAGTGTGTCCTTCACATCCCATGTCAGTAGACGAAGTGGCAGCCGGTGTGCCATGGAGAAGGCCAAGTCTCCCCAGGTCCGCAGTGAGCAGGACAAGACCAACCTTCCAGACCTCACAGTCTTCTTTTTCCAGGCTCAGTGGGTCAGAATTGCTGGTTAATGGGCAGCATCTTCACTTTGGAAACATCTTCACAGCACAAGATCCTGGAATGAGAAATAGCAGGTGATATGGAAATTGAGGTCCTGATACAAGAGAGACTGGATCCAAATTCCAGTGCTACCAACTGTACGACCCTAGGAGAGTCACTCTGGGAGCCTGTCTCATGTGTAAGAGGAGCACAAAAACATCAGCCTCATAAGATCTTGGGTTAAATTCACTCTTTCACTCCAAAAGAAAACTTCCTAGCTAGATGCTGTGAACAGGACAGGTTTTAATTCTTACTGCATTTATAGGCATTAAAGAATATAGAATACACATATTAGAGCAAGACCTATACAAAAAAACTAAACATAAAGCAGTTAGCATGTATCATGAGGATACAAATTGTGAGAATTTCTTAAACAAGTGAGGTTTAGTGAAGATGTAAAGAATGAATATGCAGCAAGTGGAGGTGAGGAAGTGTTTCTGGTAGTGAAAATACCATGTGCAAAGGTCTTAGTGCTCTGGGTAGGCAAGAGTTCCACTCAGGCAGGGCCTTGTAGGTCAAAATAAGGAAACAGTTATGATGACTGCTATTATTATTTGTAGCAATGTCCAAAGGCCATGTAGACCACGTCTGGCAGGGAAAACCAAGCCAAAGAGGCATAGTCTCTTACCTCAGGTCACACTGAGCCAGCACACACAGTCAGGCCTATAACTCAAACTTTCAGACTCTGGTGAATGCTGCCTTCCACTGCCCCCTGCCTGCACATTGCTATGACTTGTGTGTGTGTGTGTTTCCTGAAAGCATCATACAGTCACACGTGGGGCTTTTTCAAAGGTGTCTAGATCTAGAGTGTCTGATGCTGAGATTAAGGGTATGATAAAGAAAATCAGTCCACTGAGTAGATTGGCACCATCCTAATCCCATTAACCTAGATGCCATATAAAAGGGGCAGAAAGACCCTGTTAAGATCCCTTGCTTGCTTGGTCACCTTCCGCTCACCATGAAGTGTTTCTCCTCTGTGATGCCTGTCTGCCATGCCACCCTGCCTTTGAGCCAGCCAATTATGGACTGAAACTTCTACAAACTGTGAGCCAAATAAGCCTTTTCCTCGCTTAACCTTGTGGGTGTTGTATATTTTTTTTCCAGCAAGGAGAAAAGGAACTAAGACATAAATAGGGTTTTGGTTTTGTTGTTAAATCTGATTCTGATGACCATGCACACAGTCCAGGACAAAGCAGCCTGTTCCTATCTGTCTCTATCCCTCTCTGAGTCTCAGTTTTTTCATCTTTCCTAGAAGAAAAACTAGGTGGTGAAGCAGCAAAAGACTACTAATTCAATACAAGGAAGCCAATTCTCAGGCCTTGATATAGCGTTTTCCCCCAGAAACAGCTGAGTTCAGCCAAAGCTGTGCCTAACAGGCAATAACTGAGAGTGCAGCCAGGCTGGCGACTGGGCATAAGCCAGGGAAATGCGATAAGTAAATGAATTTGATTTAGCCTGGAATTTAGGAAGACCCATTCACAGAGCCACTCGGTTTACGGGTGGGTAGATGGAGGTTCAAGGGTCGCTGTTCTGACGCCACAGCATTTTCTATTCCTGGACGCCTTGTTTGTGGGCTCCGACAACCGGAACAGCTCACCCTTCCCCACTTCCTTTGGAGCTCAGTGTAGCAACGTCCAGATAAACCCTCCTTTAACGCCAAATCTCCCCCGCTGCTCTGTGCAGCGCGCCCCAAGGCGCCACAGTCCGGGGAGCCCTGCAGGGCCCGTGTTTCTGTGTCACCCTCTGGGCTGCAGCGCCCTTCTGTGCCCCAGTGGCGGTTTCACGCCCAGCACCCACCTGGCTCTCGGAGAAGCACGCAGAGAAGAAAACCGCAGCAGCGCGCGGCTCGGCTGGGGCGCGCACGCACTCACTAGGGAACTCGGGACCCAGATCTCCCTCCCTCCTCCCCGCCCCGCCCTCTGCTCCTCCTCTTCCCCCGCCCCCCTCACTGTCGCGGCGCCACAGGCTTTTCTGTGCCCAAAGCCCCACCCGGTCGTGCCCGGGTCACTGTGCACCCCAGGCCTCACTGTGCGCCCTCGCCCCGCCCATCTTCACTGCACCCTGCCTGTTCTTCATCCCACACCGCGCTCCCCTCTGCTCCCTTGGATCGGGAAGCCCCGGAGGTACTGAGGCTAATTTGAGAGTAAGGTGTTTGGGACCCAGCCTGACTTGCTGAGTTCTGTGAGGGTTTCAGCAGGGCGCTGCCTTTCTCTGCTCGGAAGGTCTCCGATCTCTACAAAGAGGACGTTACTTTCACCTGGACATTTGTGGCACCCAAGACAATTTGCTGAGGACAGAGTCCTCTGCAGTAACTCAGCTGTTTTTTTTTTAAAGACTTTTTTTTTTTGCAAAAATAATGCGTGCTCACTTCAAAAAACTTAAAACAAAAAACTACCAATGTGTTAAAAGTAAAAGGCCAAGGGGTTGGGGATTTAGCTCAGTGGCATAAGCACCTGCCTTGCAAGCAGGCAGTCATGAGTTCGATCCCTGGTACCGGTAAAAATGAAAAAGACCAAAAAAAAAAAGTAAAAGGCCAGTGTCTCCCCCAACCTCATTGATTTACTAACTGCTTAATAAGCAGGTCTGCCCCGTGCCTGAGCTCAGTCCTTCACTGAGGGGACTGCAAGAAATAAGAGCTTCCTGGAGCTTCCTGCTATGCCAGGCCAGTGTGGCTCCCTGCTGTAGTCAAAACAGAAGTTAAAAGTGCAGCAACAGTATGAATTTACAGGGAAAAACTGTACTTGGAGAGGGAGAGAAAATAAAGGAAACAGCTTTGATGAAGATCAAAGCAACTCCCTAATAAAAGCAAGATAAGGCTAGGAAAAAGGCTCCAGTTTAAGAAATGGGGGAAGTGAGTCATACTGCTCCGTTCATAAAAGAGACCAGTTTTATAGTGTACTGTGGTTAGGGTTAGGGTTAGGGTTAGGGTTAGGGTTAGTTCCATCCCAGCTCTGGAGGAACCCTCTTGACTTGAGAGGCAGCTTGGTTTCCATGGGATGACTGTCATTATTTGAGGCAGTCTCAGTCATATGTGATCCTGCTGGAATCCAAAATGATGCTAATTTAGGTCAGTGGCAATATCTGAGCACAGTTGAATGTTCATGTAAATCTCTTATCCTGTTGTCTCCTGTCTTGAAGGGTGCTGAGGTAGGTTAGGTTAGTTTAATGCTAAGAAACCTTGGTTTGGCACGTTTTAGATAGGCATTCTCTTACCTGCTCTTATGAAGAGATAAGAAGGATTTGACCCATAGTTTTACAAAATGAAGGTCAAGCTTTGTGCTGTGTTTAGTTAAACACTGGGTATCTGTTGACTCAGCTGAAGAGATACAGTTTTTTTGTTTTGTTTTGTTTTGCTTGTCTTTTTCCTTTTTATCGGTACTGGGGATTGAACTCACAACTGCCTGTTTTACAAGGCAGGCGCTTATGCGGCTGAGCTAAATCCCCAGCCCCGAGATACAGTTTTAAACAAAAAGTATTGTTCAGTCTGATTCCTTTAGAAGAAAACACTAATCACTGTTAGTGAAAGGTTAAGGGCCCCAGAGTTTGTACCTGATCCTTTGGTGAGCTCTGTGACCCTGGCTGTGCAGAACATGGAAGAACACAAAATCTAGTCCATAAATTTGGTGTTCCAAGGCAGTAAGAGTGTGGAAGCACAAGGGCAGGGACGGGCAGGGAGGAAAGAAGACTTCCCCACACCTCCAGTAGATTTTTCTTCCCACCCCTCTGCCCAGCTAAAACAAGCCCTTTCTGATTCCAAGACTGGCCTGTTCATTTCATTCAGAAACAACTTCCTCTGGCTGGGCTGGGGCCTGGGAGGGGACAAAGTACAAAGGCCTGCTGTCCTGTGAGGCACAGCATGTGAGAGCGAGAGCCAGGGGTCATAAAAGCATTTACCAATAGTCAATGAATATAGAAAATTAGGAGTTTATTGATCTACTCAAGATAGCATTGACTGAGTCCAACAGAGGTGAGAGGCTGAAATTTTTATAGTTTGAGGACATGTAAAGGGTTTGGGGTGATGTGTGCAACTCACAGAGCACCTGTAGTATGTTAATAGTTACACATTAGAGGAGTCAGTATGACATGGTATAGTGCTTTAGTTCTTACAGAAGGTCCTTAGTGCTCACAGTAAGGACACTTGGGCACATCAACTCCAAGAAAAGGGTCACACGTCACTGGGAGGGAATATGTGTGCCATTCTATATTTCAAAAGCATGCTTATTATTTTTGTGTAGAAGGTTCTGGTCACTTAGTAGGTGTCAGTTGAGAGAGGCCCCAAAGGGGCAAGAGTCTAGGTTTATTGTAACTGTGCTGTCATCCCAGATTAACTGAGTTTCTGCCTGTTCAGACTCCACACCGGGAGCACCTGAGGGATAAACTGACCCTTGGGGACTCACTTGCAAAACTTGTTTTGGGTAACAAGCATAACTCCCAGCATGGAGGTGGGAAGGGTCAGCTGAAAGGTCAGAGGGTCACAGAATCCAAGAATGCCTGCAGTTGTCTACTTTTCAGAGCCACCTAAAACCTAAACCCTTAGCTTCTGGCCGCAACTATGCCAGGCTGACCTTCTGTTCAACTCTAGCTCTGCACTTCGGTCTCCCAATATGCAAAGTGGGCAGAATGGGAAAAACAACTTCCAGCTAAAGTCCACTCTAGCTTTTAAGTTGATTTCCAAGATCATTCACTGTGCCCATGGAGCCTCACTTTCTCCATGTTAAATGGGGCATAATATAAGAAATACAAGGGCTGGGGATTTAATTCAGCAGCATAAGTGCCTGCCTTGCAATCCTACAGTCGTGAGTTTGATCCCCTCAGCAGCACAGCACCTGCCTAGTAAGGTTGAGGTCTTGCGTTTGATTACGTGGTCCCTCTACCCCAAGTAATAATAAATAATTGTAATTATTTTTCATATATATATATATATATATATATATATATATATATATGAAAAAAACTAAGGATATTTAGGGCTAGGGATATAGCTCAGCTGCATAAGCAGCTGCCTGGCAAATATAATATTTTGAGTTTGATTCCCAGTAACAACAAAACAAAACATCAGGATCAAATGAAATCCCATGGAAAAGCTCCATGAGAAATAAAAAGAAATTTTTTTTTTTTGTCTTTTTCCTTTTTATCGGTTCCAGGGATCGAACCCAGGACTGTCTGCTTGCAACACAGGCGCTTATGTCACTGAGCTAAATCCCCAGCCCCTAAGAAAAATTTTTTTTTGGATGAGACAATTAAGACCCCTAAAAGGATAGGTTTTGTTCCAGGTCAGGTAACTCAACTATGGCACCACACACGTTCAGCAAGAGGGCATTTCCATTTCCTACAAACGAATGCACCCCTGAGGCCCTTGATGTACCTGTCCTCTAGGATCTACTTTTCTTTTTCTCTGGGTAACTTTTTTGGCATACAGGAAAGCCAATGACAGGTCCCTAACACTGGAAAAAGCTTCTTTTGAACTTGTAAGTTCAAAAGAGTGTAAGCAATGGCTGTAGTTTCTTGTTAAACAGATAACAGAAATCTTCTGATGAAAAGCTAGGCATGTTGGTGCACTCCTGTAATCCCAGCATTTGGGAGACTGAGGCAGGAGAATCATTAGCAAATTTAAGACCAACCAGGGCTACAAAGTGAGCCCAAGGCCAGCCTGAATTGCATAGGAAGACCCTGTCTAAAAAGACCAAAAAAAAAAAAAAAAAAAAAAAACCCCAAAAAACAAATCTATCTCTATCTATAGTACTGAAATCTTATCCCTTGATGTTGCCTGGGCTTTGATCTGGTGACCGCTTCTGTCACGTACTGCATTGGATGTGGGCTTATTTTTCTTTGGGAAATAAAATTTCCTTTTTTAAAAATTTTGTTTTTCTTTTTGAGACAGGGTCTCACTATGTAGCACAGGCTGGGCTTAAACTCACTATGTAGCCCCAGCTAGCCTTGAATTTGCAGCATTCTTGTCTCAGCCTTGTGAGGGCTGAGATTACAGGCATGCCCCACCACACCCAGAAAAAATTCCTTTTGTGAAGAGTCTCCTATTGAAAGCACTAAGTAAACCCAAGCTGGCTTAGACCTATGTGTCATTTTACTGTTAACATTTCATTTACTTGGGGGCTGGGGATTTAGCTCAGCGGCATAAGCGCCTGCCTTGCAAGCAGGCAGTTGTGAGTTTGATCCCAATAAAAAAACGAAAAAAAATTTTTTCATTTACTTATTTTTAAGTTTTAATTAAAATACACAGATAAAAATGGGGGAAAATATACATGTCCTTCAAGTTTCACAAAATAAAATATCCTTGCAACTACATTCTAGAACTTAAGAGTGTCTGCTTTCACATTCTTATCTCCACAAAGGTATCTACCTGTACCTCCCTCTCTGTCATTTGCTTTTTTCTTTTCATTTTTCTTCTTTTGTGCTATAAAATGAACCCTGAGCCTTGTGGATACTAGGAAAGTGCTCTATCACAGAGCTAAGCCCCCTAGCTCTGTCCCAACTTCACTGTACAATTTTACTTGTTTAGGGGCTATATACAAAGAGAGTAGGATAACATGCAGTCTTCTGTGTCTTCTTTTTTTTTTTTTTTCTTTTTCATTTTTATTGGTACCAAGGATCAAACTCACGACCGCCTGCTTGCAAGGCAGGCGCTTATGCCGCTGAGCTAACTCCCCAGCCCCTTCTGTGTCTTCTTTAACTCACAATTGTATTGGTAAGATTCATCCACATTGCTGTTTGTGGTTGTAATTCATTCATTCTCACACCTGTAATATTCCACTGTCTGAACGGATCACATCTTACTGTTGATGGGCATTTAGGCTATCTCCAGTTTGGGGTTAGTATATATTACAAAATGTTATGAACATTCTTTTAAGACAGAGTTTTCCTAACTTGTCCTGGCGAGGCTTAAACTTGAGCTCCCCCCTCCCTCAGTCTCTCAAGTGCTAGGATTATAGGGCTAAACCACAACCACAAACAGCTTGAACACTCTTTTTTTAGACTGTCTCCAACCTGTGGGCCCGAGGATTCTCCTTCCTCAGCAGCATTGGGGAATTACACCATGCTTGAACGTTTCTGAATAAGTCTCTTGGCAAACATAGTACACATTTGTGATGAATACCTAGATGTGAAATCAGGAAATGATAAATATGCACGTTCCCTTTTGTAGATAGGGGCACTAACAGCTGAGAGTTCAAACTGCTTGCCATTTTCAGTAATTAGCATTGCCTTTTAAATTTTAGGTATTCTGACAGATGCATGCTGGTATTTCACGTGATTTTGTTTGTGTATGTGCTGCGACTTGAACCCACAGTTTAACGCATGCAAAGCACACACACTAGGTTACACTTCCAGCCCTGTCATTGTGATTTGACGTATTTTGAGACTCTTACTATGTCCACTCAAACTTGAGTTTCCTGCTTCAGCCTTCCAAATAGCTAGGACTTCAGGCACATGCCAGTATGCTTAGCTATGATTTTTTTCTGCTTTTTGGTGTGGGAGATTAAACCCAAGATCTTGTGCAAGTTAGGTTAGTGCTTTATCACTGGGTACATCTCCAACTTTGGAGATGCGATTTTAACTCTTCTACTGACTAATGAAGATAACATCTGTCCCTATGCACTGGCCAAGTTCTTCTTTATGGTATTTAAACACCTACACAAGTATACCCGTACTGCATATATTACATGATGAACGATAAAACATATAAGGCTAAAATTTCTCTAAAAAAATCCCTAACCTTTATCCCCCATTAATTTTCCCAATGTTGAACTCTGACCTTGGAATTGTAATACCTAAATCTCAGCCTTAGCCTGCCATTGGCTTACAGTGTGATTGTGCACCAGCCTCTGCTCTCCCCATGTATAAAACTGTTTAAGAGATCTTTAAGTTCACTTTGCCTTGCCACTCTGACCACAGCTCCTGTGATTCCAAGAAATTTCGTGTGGTAGAGATTGCCTCGACATCAATTCTTTCTACCTTCCTCAGGGACTCACCTCAGAGTTTTAAAAGTTGTGTGCAGTATTTTCCAGTTTCCCTTACTTAGTAGGTGAGGCCAAGGCACTAAATTCAGACAAGAGCATGTGGACAAAAGTAGGATATGTGCAATGTTTGGATCATGCTTGGGTAAAGAAGAATCCTGCCCTCCAACATCCCTTTCCTTCCTCCTGCTGGCTGAGAGGACCTGATGGTTAGTGAAGGCCACCATTACTTGCCTTGAGAAAGAATCTGAGGGGGTTGTATTCTGGTTTTTTTTTTTTCTTGAGACAGTGTCTCCCTCTGTAGTTCAGGCTGTCCTGAAACTCACAGCCATCCTCTTGGGTGGGCCTTCTGAGTGCTAGTATTCCAGGTATGTGCTACTGTGCCTAGCCTGGAGCTGTTTTGAATGATACAAGTCTGGGGAGCTGAGGCCCTCCCCTACCAACTATGTAGCTGACATACCAGACCTGGGCCGCTTAGGCAAAAGTTTCTGTCTTAGGCTATTGTTAATTCCTATTGTGACTTTTGTTATATTCACTGATTCTGAATGCTAACTAACATGAACAGTGACTGAGGAAGTTTAGATTTGCTATTATTTCTTAGAGGAAGTAATATTTAAACTGAGAGTTTACCAACATAGACACAGTTATAGGGGTTTTGGAAAAGTGTTGCAGGTAAAGAGGACCATTGGGGCAAAGGCTATGCGACCTCACCAGCCCTGTATCATCTTAGGACTGGTTAATTGTGGTGTCTCCTCTTGCATGCCGTTGTCTTCTGACTGAGGTGATCATGTACAAGGAACAGGGTCAGGTAGTTCTAGAAATTTGCTTTACAAGTGATGGGACACAGAGAGGATCTTTCTCTGGGATTATAAATCTTGGGGACCATTTAAACCTAGAGCTATTTGCAGATCACCTTGTTGCCAAGAGGGAAAAGCCAAACTGAGGCCAACAGTTGAGAGTCATATAGTGAGAATCCCCCAAGGGAGCCTTGGGCCACAGAGCCGCCTATACCGTGTCGAGGTCCATTTATGAAAACCAGCCAGGTTGTTCTGTTTTGCTATTGACCTGGGTTTTGGTCACTTGGAACCTGAGCATCTGGAACAGTCCAGAGTCTCATCTGATGACAGTCACATCCTCATGTATGACACTGGCACAGTTCATGTACATGAGACAGCAGGTCAGGATTCCCCCTTTCCTGTTTGGGGAAATTAGTATCCTTGCTCTTAGGTAATAAAACAGCTGATTAATATACCTCTTAAAGGGGGCTGGGGATTTGGCTCAGCGGCATAAGCGCCTGCCTTGCAAGCAGGCAGTTGTAAGTTCTATCCCTGGTACCGATAAAAAGACAAAAAATAAAAAAAAAAAACCTCTTAAAAAGAATTAAGATGTCTCATGTACAGATTCCTACTCCCCATGATGTTAAGATCAAACATGGGCTAATAAAAAATAAATTAAAAATACCGAGATAAAAATAAAATACCCGTTGAAAAGAAAAGCTACAGAGCAAGTTGGCACATCTGAGACGAAAACAAGAAAATCAAGTCTCACTGAGAGGCCCATCATGCTCATCACCTAGCAGTGAAGCTCAGAGCTGGAATAATAATGTGCCCTGCCAGATTGTGAAAGCAATCTCTTGTCTAAGGATCAAGTCCCTAACAGCGAGACCAGGTCACATGACAGGAGATTGCATTGTGAAAGAACCACATTCCAGACTACCCAACCCCTTCCAGCTGAGGCTGTATACTTGGCTGTTAACTACCTTTTTATATAAATCACTGTGAGCTGGAACCACTGGGCTGTCAGTTCCTGATCCAGGAGGCACCACTCACACAGACCACAGTGCCTTCAGGCAAAAGGGCCACCTATTTTTCTGACATTGTAGCTAATTATCTCATGAGGGTTCACCCATAGTTTTGCTATTGCTTGTTGAAGGTGGTATGGCACAGTGGTAAAGGGCACAGGCCTAGGTCTTGGGGCGTACAAATCCTATCCCTGGTTTTCTGTGCAGGTGAGGTTCTAATCAGTTCTGCCACAAACTTAGAGTGGCCTTGAGCAAGTGACATAAATGCTATAGATACATCTTCCTCATTGCAAATGACCCCATACTAACCTATTATCCACTATTTCGAACATTCTCCTGCTCCTTGCAGGAGGTTTTATTCTCAGTAAATGGCCCACAGACCATTCACAAAGTCAAGCCCAGTTCATCACTCACATCTATTTATTACCTACCAAACACATTCTAAATCCGTTTCCTTCTTTCTGTCCCCCGTTACCACTTCAGTCCTGGCCACCAAAAGTGCTCATCTGTATCAGGAACCCAGCAAAGAGCCCTGATTGTCAGTCTCAAGAATGTGGAAAAAAAAATAAAAAATAGGGGCTGAGGATTTAGCTCAGAGGCATAAGTGCCTGCCTTGCAAGTAGGCAGTCGTGAGTTCGATCCCTGGTACCGATTAAAAAAAAAAACGAAAAAGAAAAATAAAAAATAGAGACAAGGATAATATTCCACCAATGGCTGGGAAGTCAATGTCTCTCAATCTGACGACCCCCGCCCATCCCAAAGCAGCCACTCTTTATTCCGTGTATAGTGAGTAGGTGGGGCTAGTAAAGATCACAATTCACCAAAGACTCACACTCAAGAGGGTGTAGATAATCTTATGCTTAGAAGTATCTAGACCTTGAGTACAATCTTGAGATGACTCAGGAAGGTGTAGATGGACATATTTGTTTGCATCCTTTGTTTCTGTTTGTCTCCTACTCGGGTGCCTAAAACACAGCCAGCATCTATACTTGCTTGGCAATGATAGACCTAGGCTGGCCTAAAACATTGATGGTGAACATTTTAAGAGATGAGGGCCCCAAAGTACAACCCAAAGCCCACTTATTACAAGTGTCAACACTCAATTAAACCTGAATAGTGAGGTTTTAGTTTACAAAAATAACTCAAACGTTAACATCCTTTATCTTAAGAGAAAAAACATGTATGCTATAGGCTCACCATCACTGGCCTAGAAAAAAATTTTTTTACACTGATCATTTTGATTGAGACAGGGTCTTGTTATGTACTTCAGGCTGGTCTCAGACTCAGCAATCTTCCTGCCTCACTCTCTTGAATGCTTGGATTACAGGTGTGCACCACCATAGCCAGGTTTACATCAATCATTTTAGCAAGAAATAATCTCAGGAGTGAAAAGGGCTAGAAAGTACAGCAGCTGAAATTTATGGTCTGGTTTATCTCTGGCCCAGAAATGACTTATATTCACATACTGGTTTAGCCCGTAGGTGGTAGATCTAGGCTTGAGCTCTCTAGGTTGTGAGGTTTTGTGCCTCTTCAAACCCTATTTTGGCTGGTCATCTCCCAGAAGTCTGAGAACAGGATGCTACCAGGTCTCAAGGTGAGTTGCCCACAGGTCTGATAAAGGCCACTGTTTTATAAGATATAAAGTTTGTATCTAGATGTCACCCAAAACTTCATATGCTTATAGGTGAAGCTTCTTGCAGGTGATTGGATTATTGGAATGTGATACCCATCAGTGGATTAGTTCACTGATGGTTTTATAGCTAAATGTGGTATTGGGAGATAAAGCCTAGCTGGACATAGGTCACTGTGTGTGTGAGCAGGGGTGTGGCCCGAAGGGTGTTATCTCCTTTCTTCCCTTGATTGCTGCTTCCCATCTTGAAGTCATGAGTTGTTTCTCCTCTACCATGTTGTGCTGCCTTGAAGCCAGCTACAGGCTAAAACCTTTACAAACTGTAACCCAAAATAAACATTTCTTTTAAGTTGTGGGTGTTGGACACTGTCCCAGCGAGACAGTAAAACAGTATTAGTACCAGAGAAACAGGGTTGATGCTACCCACCCATGTGGTTCATAGCCTTTGGAACTGACTTGTAGGAAGAATTTAGAAAGTTTTAGAGATGCTTGCCAAAGAAGCAGCCCTAAAATTCTGGAAGCTCAGCTTGATGTGAGATTCTTGTCAGAGTTCAGAAGGTCACACTGTTGATTTAAAAAGGAGATGGTTAAGACCAAGCTCAGATTTCAGTTGCAAACAAGGATTCCACTGGCAGTTGGATTCCTGTTATGCTCTGGTAGAACATATGTCTACATTTTGGTCCTGTCCTAACACTTTAAGGGAGCCTGAGATTAACAGCAGCAGACTAATGAATCTAGCTGAAGAAATCTCCAGGCAGAGAAATATTGAGGCAGTGACACATATACTGCTGGGGGCTTTTTAGCAAGCTTAGAGAAGCAAGAGCAAAGGCACAGCTTAATGATTTAAAGTTTTAAGTCAGTTTCACCAGTTTCAGAATGTAGAATAGGAGCAGATGTAATTGACAGAATCCTCATATTGATTTCTTAATCTATAGTGACAGTTATTGTGGTTGGAAAGGTCAAATGGAAGCCATTACTGTTACCTTTACCTTGGAAAATAGGAAACCAATAGTATCACATCCCTGAAGGGACTGCAGAGATTAGATCAGTGCATTAGTGGGGGGGTTCCCACCACATTCCCATTTAATTCTATTTGGCCCGTGAAGAAAAATGGGTCTTGGAGAATGACAGTGGATTGCCATAAACTCAATCAACTGGTGACTCTGATTGCAACTGCTGTTCTAGATGTTGTTTCCTTGCTTGAGCAGATAAACACATTTTCTGGGACCTGATACTCAGCTACTGATTTTTCAAATGTCTTCTCTATTTCTGTCCATAAAGCCCACCAGAAAGTATTTGCTTTCAGTTGGCAAGTCCAACAACACTCCTTCAGTGTCCTACCTCTAGGAGTTTATGATTTCAAATTCATTCCTTGTTTAAAAGTGGATTGTATGGCATTAGAATCCAAGGTGACCTTGCTTTGGCTATCCAGTGGAGATTTCCTATCCCTTTGTAGATAGGCACGTGGCCTATTACCTCCCTGGGCTCCTCTTTAGCTGAGGCTTAACTTTCACTATGGAAAGACATATGCATCAGTTTTAGAAGGATGACTGAGACCACACTCAGGTCATTTGCTATAACCAGAAATGCATGAATGAACTCTTACTTCCTCCTATTCCCTTATTCTCTACTTGATACATTGTTTGTTTTTGGAGACAAGGTCTCACTGCATACTTCAGACCAGCTTTGAACTCACTATGTAACCCAGGGCTGGCCTGCATGGTGATCCTCTTGCCTCATTCTCCCAGAGTGCTGGGATTACACATGGGCCACCACACCCTGTTACTGGCACTGCATCCCCCCTTCAATACCACTGCATCTTAAAGCATTAGCAAATTCTGCTAATTCTGTCTCTAGAATGTTACCTGAAGGGTTGGGGAGAGGATGTGACTCAATGGAAGAACACCAGCTTATCATTTGTGAGGTGCTGGGTTCAAGTCTGAGCACTGAAAAAACAAAAACAAAAAAACACCCTAAATTTCTCCCCAAACAAAAAAGCCTTTTAGAGTTGCCCATCAGATCAGACATAAAATAAAGTCCGAGCTTCCTACCACAAATGGAATCTGATCTTTCCAAACCCCAATAGTACTGCCTGACTTCTTCATCTGCTCCCACATGGTCTTTGTGTGTGTCTGTGGTTCTTGTGGCCTTGATTTATGAAGATCTTGTCTTGTATAAGTCTTGGTCTCAGGAAGTTTTCCAGCCCTGCTCTCAAAGGGGCCCCCTCCTATTATTCTCAGACCCTCTCCTTCCTTTAGGCACTAACAAAATTTAGAGCTGCTTTTTATTTATTGTTTTGAGACAGGGTCTCACTTTGTAGTTCAGGATGGCCTTGAACTATGTAACACAGGCTGGTGTCGAACTGGTGTCGATCCTCCAATCTTCCTGCCTCAGCATCCTGAGTGCGAGATTATAGACAGGCGCCATCAAGCTTGGCAGTCATTGCTTTATTTATCTGTTTGATCTACCTCTCCCCTTCTCTTTGCATACATTCAATGAAGTGACAAGTTAGGGCCTGTCCTGCTGTATCCTCAGCACCCAGAACTGCACCTGGGCACAGAGCAGAAGTTTATATAAAAATATTGTGAATAAAAAACCTCTTTGGAAAAAAAAAAAAACAAACAAACAAACAAAAAAAAAACCTCTTTGGCCAGTGTGGTGGTCTATGCCTACAATCCTCGCTACATTACTTGGAAAGTTGAGAAGGGAGATTATGAGTTTCAGGCCAGCCTGGGAAACTTAGTAACACTACCTGAAAATAAAATTTTAAAGAGTTGGGATGTGGCTCAGTGATAGGGAGCTTGCCTTCCATGCACAAGTCCCTGGGTTTAACCTCTAGTACCATCAGTTTAAAAAAAAAAGAAAAAAGACAAACTGGGCATGGTGGCACATGCCAGCACTCCAAGAGGCCAAAGCAAAGAGCATCATACGATCGAAATTTGAGCCCAGGCAATATAGTAACTTTGTGAGACCTGTCTCAAAATGAAATTAAAAAATGGCTGGGAGTGGGGTGGGGCACCAGGGATTTAGCTCAGTGGCTCAAACACTTGCCTGGTAAGCCCAAAGTCGTGAGTTTGATCTCTGGTACAAAACAAAACAAAACACCTGGGGATGCAGATCAGTACAAAAGCCCTGGGTTTAGTCTCTAGTGCTGTGGAAAACAAAAGCCTTCATGGTGGTGGTACCTCCATCAGTCAAGAACTCCTTTGCACCTGGCATTTTGATCCTCATTAATTCTTCTCTGGATCTGGGCTCAGAGTGAAACAGATCTCAGACAGCCTGGGAACACTGGCCATTGGGGAAAATGCCCATGGAACCATAGCACAATTCAACTGTGTATCAGGGACATCAAACCAGGCCTCAATCCTGCACCCAGCGCTACTGCTAGAGGTCCCAGGCTCCCCGAAGCTTCTTAGATCCCATATTCAGTAGTTCTCCTGTTGCCCAATGCTCCAAGCCCCTCTCCAGGCGCCACCAAGCCTGTGCAGGGACTCTTGGTTGCTGCCAAGCTGAAAGCATAGCAGAGGAAAGAGCTGGGGTGGAGAGGCGTGCCTCAGGGCTGACCCGAGCCAGAGGCAGGGAAGCCTGAGGAGCCCTCAAGAAGTAGCTGCAAGTGGTAGATGAGCATGGAGGCAGAAACCAGTCAAGGCGCTGGGTCCCCACCAGCACAGGAGCAGGAAGAGGGCATGGGGCACAGTTCTAAAAGCAGGATTTACTTTGGTTTTTGCTTCACCAAGGCCTTGGGAACTTTCTCAGGTTCTGGTTCTTGGGTCCTGCAGCCTCTCTCCATCATTCCTCCTTCAGCCACTGCAGCAGCTGGGGCGTATAGTAGGTGATGATGATATCAGCACCTGTGTGGGGAGAAGCAGGAAGCAGTGCACAGGATGGGCACGAGCTCTTGACTGTACCTTCTGGGAGACGGAGGCCACATGGGGAAGGAGGGCACCATGGAAAGGTGCAGCCTTTCCAGGTAGGGCTGCAGCTCCTGGATCTTGGGTATGTAATTTTCTCTTTCTAGGCCTAAGTTTGCTAATGTAGGAAATGCAGTGAGAGAAACAGGTAACGGCCAATTCCCTTTCCGTACTGGTACGGGGAAGTCAAGGCCCTGTCTTCCAATGAGACTTAATGCAGGCACTCAGCTTCCTTGATGAAGTCCATTCTCTGCCTGCCCCAGCAGCCTGGAGCATCTGGAAATGCTGGTTGAGCCTTAGGCCCCCTACTGTCTCCCCACAGCTGCCAGTGATTTGCTTCCTGTTTCTATGGGCCCTTCCAGTAGGTGGGGTGGACAGGGGTCTGCTATTAAATGCCAGATTTATTAGCCCAAGGCCTGAGTCCACCCTGCTGACCAGGATGGCGTGCTATGTAAACTAAACCTGCCTCCATTCATAGGGTGACAGCATACAAAAGTGCACACATGATTTCAATCCCCAGGACAACCACGGATCACATCTCTTTCCTACTTCACAGATGAGGACCCAAAGGTTGACAGAAGTGGGGCTGGCTTAAATTTCCACCAAAAGTAATGGTCACTGTTCCATGTTCTGTTCTTCCACATCATTTCCTCATTCTGTGTCTGTCTAGGTATAAGAGTCGGGGCTGTCTTGTGGCTGTTTCTTTATCTGGGCAAAGTGCACCTCAGTCCCCATGGCACAGGTCCCAAGCCCCACCCCTGCCTGCTCACCTGCTCTGCGGAAGGCAGTCATGGCCTCCAGTACAGCAGCCTTGAGATCAAACGCCCCGGCCTGGGCCCCGTGCCACAGCATGGCAAATTCTCCAGACACGTGGTACACAGCAAGGGGGAGCTCACGGTGCTATAGAGGGCAGCGAAGGCACAGGGTTGGAGGGAAGGTGAGTGTGTTCTGTGAGTGCGTCTTTCTCCTTGCCCAACCTGTGACTATCGTGAGTCCCTATTCTGAGTCACAGCTGCTGGTAGCCAACCCCGTTCTAGAACTGCTCACCCAGAGTTATCTGAGGCTCTTGTGAGCCCTGGCCCAGAAGGAGGTTTGGGCCAGGAGTGGAAAACTCCTGTGTGGAGGCAGACTGCTTCAAACTCTGAGGTTCTGGAGTCCTACAACCCAAGGGCTAGTGTGCTCAGATAAAGCCTCCTGGCCTCTGAGGTCCCTTGTCTCTCTCGGTGCTCACCTTGTCCTTCACCTCCCGCACGATGTCCAGGTAGGGCATTCCTGGCTTCACCATCAGCATGTCGGCTCCTTCCCGCACATCCCGATCCTAAGGGATATGTGTGAAGTGTGGGCAGCACTGGCTGGGGCAGCAGTGGGGTTGTGAGGCTCAGGCCCTGGTCACTTACCACTGCACGGAGTGCCAGGCCCCGGGCTCCAGGAGGCAGCTGGTAGCAGCGGCGGTCTCCAAAAGCTGGGCTTGACTGAGCTGCATCCCTGTGAAGCAGAGTCTCAGGGTGGGCTCCACCTTTGGGCTAACGGGCCTAGGATTTAATAGCTGACCTTTGCCCATCCCCACTTACCGGAAAGGCCCATAGAAACAGGAAGCAAATTTGGCGCTATAGCTCATCACTGATACCTATGGGGAGACAATGAGGGTCTAGGATCAGTTAGCATCTCCAGATGTCCCAGACTGATGTGGCAAGGAAGAACAGACCTTGGCTAGGAAACAGAGTGCCTTTACTCCTATGTCACTGGAGTGCTAGACCTCGACTTCCTCATCTACACATGCTGAGGCAGGTAAAGGTCTCATCTAGCACTGTCCTCAGTTCTATAGTTCTTGGCACACACAGGGACAGGGCTGGCCCAAGCTTTCTCCTCCCCACCCTTGGCCCACCCTACACTCCCCACCCGTACCCTGTTGCCAAATCCATGTGCCATCAGGGCCTCCTTGATGGCTCCCACGCGTCCATCCATCATGTCCGACGGGGCTACTACCTGACATCCTGAGGGGCAGAGGGGGGCCTTCAGAATGCAGGGACCCTCCTACCCACTCTGCCACCTCTCTGACCCAGAGATGCCCATCTATGCTGGGGACTCACTCACCAGCCTTGGCATAGGCCAGTGCCACCTCTGCCAGCCGCTGGCGGCTCTCCTCGGCCTGGAATGATCCATTCTCACCCAACAGTCCTGCAGGGCAAGATGGATGGATGTTGGGAAGCTTCTTGGGTGCTGGCTAGTGCCCACCCTGGGGAGAACTGGCAGTGGGTAAGGCTGGCAGCAGGGCTGGCAGGAGGGAGAATCTCACCACAGTGACCATGGGAGGTGTAGGGGCACAAGCAGACGTCACAGGCTACCAAAAGGCTGGGGAAAGTTTTCCTTAACACATGGATGGCCTCGATGGCTGGAGACTCCTCAGAGTCAGCTGCAGAGCCCCGCTCATCCTAGGGGAAAAGAAAGGAGGATAAAGTGGTGTGTTTGTTACACAAGCCTTGAGAAGGCATGATGGCTACCACTGCAGAGTGCAGCCCAGCCCCCTCCTTAGCTCACTGTTGTAGCCTCTGGATGAGACCTGGTTGAGACGTAAGAGGATCATCCTCATTGTACACAGGGGATTGGCTTACTCAGTCAGCATGTCCCAGTGCTATGTAGTGTCCTGATACCACATGTGCTGTCTTACAGACAAAGACTATGGCCATTCTGGCATGGCCCCAGGGCCAGCACAAGGACACGATCAGCATGGAACCTTGGCCCACCCTTGTCCATCCTCCCTCTTTAACCTTTCTAAGATTCTTCACCTTGGGAACTCTGCTGGGGACCCCAAAGACGAGGACACAACGCAGCCCATCTTCTACCAGGGGTCTCAGCATCTCTTCCAACCGGTTTACACCGTACCTGGGAGGGGACAAGAGCGGGGCTGAAGGAAGGAAGGCTCCCTGGTCTTTCCACAATGTGCTTCTGCTAATAACTAAGCTGTACATGGCCCCAGGAGGGCACAAGCCTCACAGTGTGGGGCAGGGCAGGGCAGGCACCCACCAAACAGGTGAGAAAGCAGCAGAGCTACACACTGGCGGTGACAGGCTCCTCCTACTGAATCCCAAGCTCCAGCCAAACTCCCATACGCAGTAGAGCTCTGATAATGGGCAGTCATTACTTCATGAGGCTGCCTCCTCTGCAGGGCAACAGCTTTGGCCCCCAGGACACCCTTTTCCCCACTAGCTGAAGTCTGCCTCTCCGGATCTTCCACCTCCACCTGTGGAATCTCTCTCTCCTCCATTCCCTTGCCCTCCCCTCCATACCTCCTACCTGGCTACTCCTGGCAGGCTGGCGATCGGCTGGACGTCATCAGGAACATCCCTGCAAGAGTGGGGGGCAAGTATTGGCGGCTGTGGGAAGGGCTGGTGGTAAAGGGGTGACTGGGAGGGATGGCTGGAAAGCTGGGAAGGAATATGGGAGTGGGGAAGGTAGGAGAGGATGGAATCCAGTGTCTGGCTCTGATGCTTGGCCAAGCCCAGGGCCTGCCTGAAATAGTAACAGGAACACCAAGAACAGCCACACTAAGCGCAACTGCACTAACAGAACAGTAACCACGGGAAGAAGGAAGGGTTGGGCCTTGCCTCCTACTTAAGATACCTCCTGCCTGGGTGACTCTGGCCCAGCTGGATTTTCTCTCTAAGCACCAGACCCTTCACCTGGACCTTGGGTGGGTTCACTCATTCAATAATTACTGGGCACTTAATATGTGCAGGGTTAGTACATCTCAGTACAGATGACACATTATACCTTCCTTCATGGGGCTGACATTCTAGGGGACAATAACTGCTTTTTTCTCATACAAATGCTGTCGGACTGAATGAGATAATGCCGTATAAGTGCTTAGGATACATACTCATGATCATTATTAATGAGCACCTCTTATGTTGTTATAATCACAGTGTACAATCGACAGAGTACCTTCTCTGTCTATCTATCTATTTATTTATTTGAGACAGGGTTTTGCTATACAATTCAGGCTGTCTTGGTCTCTAACTTAAGGCGATCCTCCTGCCTCAGCCTCCTGAGTCCTGAGATTTCAAGGATATGCTACTGGCTTCTGCTTGGGCTTTCTCATAAGTTCAGAATGTCAGGTGGGAGTAATTCTTTTAATTTCACAAATAGGATGACTGAGCTCTTTTCACCATTCCCAAGACTACTATCTTTAACCCAGTAGGCCACGTCTAACACTTTGAGTTTCCAGGTGACAGCCCACCCAGCTGCTTTAGGCACACACCTATCCTGCCCTGGGCAGATCACAGCCCAGGCCCATTCCTGGGGACTCACGTGACAAAGATGGGGTAGATGAGGTTGGAGGCACTGAGGGTGGTAGTGGCTGCCTGCCAGGTCCGAAGCAGAGGGTGGAAGTATCCGCTGTGCAGAACTGACTGGGGCTGCATGGTGGGGCTCAGGACAGTCTGCTGGCCGGAAGACAGGTTGCTGGGGTACCACCGTGTGCTTAGCTCTCCTGGGGTGGGGGCAGGAGGGACATGAGACATGATCCCTGTGGCCAGGAGATGGTCACATTGCAGGCCCTCTAGGTCCCCCCACCCCCATCCCTGTGGTTCACGTTGCTGGCTGTGAGCAGGTAAGAAGAGAAATGCAAGGAAACTTTTAGAAGTTTCTTTGCAATTTGAGTCTAATCATAAAACATCTTATGTATACTGTAGTTTATATCATTGCCATTTTTTGCATTTTTTAATTTTAAAGAGATTAAGACAAAAGAGGACATAACAAAGCAGATCAGATCAGAACAATGCAAGCAACACAGCATTTTACCACAAGACAACCCATAATTAACAGTAACTACCATAATATCTCTTTCTTTGAAATAGTTGAGCATAATTTCATATATGATAGTATCAAACATAATAAAATAGTATAAAACCATTCAAGAGAATGAAAGTATTACAGGGCATTCAAACCAAATAACAGAGAACAAACAATGACTACTATATTATCTCCTTTTCTATAGAAAATTTGTTTATACCATCACACATAATAAAATCCAATAAGATATAATATGATAAAACCAATGGAAACAGAACAAAAGCATAGTAGGACTTCAGAGTAAGGTGATATTAAATCAGCACTGGGTATTATAATGTCCTGTTTTCTTCAAAGTAGCTATTCATACTATCACAGATAATAAAATCAAACAAACCAGGATAAAACCATTCCAACTAATGAATGCAAACATTATAGGGCTTCAAAGCAATGTAATGGGGAATCATGATTACCATAAACTCTTATGTACCCTTAAGATTTCTTACACTAGGGAGACTATATGATATTTATACATGTGAATTTATTTTGCTTATGAGTATGGTCTTCAAGTTGTGCCCATTTATTTATAAATATCTCAATGTAATCATTCTTTATAGCTGAGTAGTACTCCATTGTACAAAAATACCACAACTTTTTATCCATTGCTCAGTTAATGGACACTTAGGTTGTTTCCAAGATCTGGCTATTACAAATTGTGCTGCTATAAACATGGGTGCATATATATTTTTGCAGTACCACGGACTGAACCCAGGATTTCATGTTAAGCTACATCTCTACCCTTTTAAATTTTTTGTCTTAAAAAAAATTTTTTTTTGTCTTGGTTGGGGATGGTGGTACATGCCTATAATCCCAGCACTTGGGAGGTTAAGGCAGGAGGACTGCCATAAATTTGAGACCAGCCTGGACTACACAGTGAGACCGTGGCTTAAAAAAACAAAATCTAGGGGGCTGGGGATTTAGCTCCGTGGCATAAGCGCCTGCCTTGCAAGGAGGCAGTCGTGAGTTCGATCCCCGGTACTGATAAAAAGGAAAAAGATTAAAAAAAAAACAAAAACAACAACAACAAAAAAAAACCCAAAATCTAAAAACAAAGAAATCCCTCAGAGACAGGGTTTCTCTAAGTTAGTTGCCCAAACTTGAACTTGTGATATTCCTGCCTCAGTCTCCCAGAGAGCTGTGATTATAGGTATGTACAACATTCAAATTTTTATGACTGCTACTTTGTTTTTAAATTTTTATTTATTATATATATATATATATATATATAGAGAGAGAGAGAGAGAGAGACAGACAGACAGACAGACAGACAGACAGACACAGGGTCTCACTATGCAGTTCAAGCTAGGCTTAAACTCACTATATAACCCAGGCTAATCTCAATCTCATGGAGATCCTCCTGTCTCAGCCTCCCAAGTGCTGGGATTACAGTCATGTGTCACCATGCCTGACTGTGACTACTGTTTTAAAACATGATGCTGGGAGCTATTTTTGATGGCACATACCTGTAATCTCACCCCTCTGGGAGGCTTAGGCAGGAACACCGCAAATTTCAAGGCCAGTCTGGAAAATTTAGTGGAACTTGTCTCAAAATAAAAAAAGAACAAAGGGGCTTGTAATGCGGTGGTAGAGAACTTCTGTCCAATCCTCAGTAATGGGGAAAGGGGGGATTTTCTAGTAATTTATTTCCATCAAATTTTAAAAAGAATCAATGGACTGGAAAGAAAAGGATGTAAACAAAAGAACTAATCCTTTCTTCCCTATACATATGTGGAGAAGTGCTGAGCTAACATTTAATTATGTTTATTCCATGAGAAAAGTCCAGATGAGCAAAAAGAAAACTCCCCAGCAATTCTCCCTCACGTGACGAACACTGCTTAACACCTTGGTGCATGGGTTTCCCGTCAGGCACTGCATACTCCATAAGGATAAAGTAGCACACGGATGCCAGTCAGAAGGACACGCATGCACCCCTCCCCCAGAGCGGCCACTTTAAAGCAAGGAGGCTACCTGCGGCTCTGCGGTGCTTCCTTGTCCTTCACCTTGCAGGCTGGGCTCTCTGCAGAGCCTCCAATTGCCAAGTCTCAGGTATCTCCTTCCCTCTCCCCCTGAGGCTTTCTTCCTGTACACACATGGCAGGTCTTACACAACAGGTCTCTGTGGACTGTCTTATCTCTCTCTTGCCAGGAGGGGAGTCTCCACAGGGCAGGGTCTAGGGTGAGTTCATCTTTGTCTCCCCATAGAGCTCTGCCCACGTGGACTCTGGCACACAGTAAATAAATATTTAATTACATGAAGTACAAGACAGCAAGACTTACGTGCCAAACAAGCAATTTTTTTTTTTAATAAGCAATGTTTTTGAGACACAGTTTTTCTGTCGTTCAGGCTGGCCTTGAATTCACTACGTGGCCCAGACTGTGATGCTGCTGAGGGTCAGGATTACACCCATGTGCCACCATGCTGGCAATAAGTGGCAATATGAAACATAAGGAAGTAGGGAATTCACATGTTTCTTGGGCGTCTCATGTGTGCCAGGCTACACTAGGCACTTTTGCAGGTGACAGTGCACCTCAGAGCAGAGCAGCTGGCCACATATGAGCGATGGTTGCAGTGTGTCTTGGGGCAGCAGAAGGAGCTTGTTGAAGACAGGCTTTGAATTTGGCCTTACAGGATACACAGGTTCAGCTTGCCAGGGCCAAAGTTAGTGTTCCCTCAGGAAGGGAAGAAAGGGGCAAAGTGGGGACTGGAGACAGCTCTGGGCTGCTCCAGTGACTACAGCAGGCAATGGAGGCACATGGATGATGGGTGGTGAGGGACAAACAGGGCCCACACGGAGGCCAGGCCAGGGAAGTTTCGGAGCAGGGAGTAGGGGAGTGGCCTGGTAGAAGTCTGGCCTTAGGAAGATAAATCTTGTGGCTGAGCAGAGCAGACCGGAAGCAGAGAACACAGAAGCTGTGTGGAGAAGGGCACGGGGGGCGGGGGGGCAGCGTGGAGAAGGAAAGGCCATCTCAAAGCAGCCAAGAGTCTCCACAGCACACATGCGGACTGGGCAGGAAGAGGGTGGCGGCAAACTGCCTTGAAGAAGCAGGAGCATCATTTCAGACACCTCCTTTGGCAGGTGCCTGGTGGCACACTCAGTAGCCAAGCAAGTAGCGGGGGAACAAAGAGTCACAGAAAGTTAAGGGCTGGCAGGCCCAAGTGTAATTGTTCCTTGCACACACATGACCTTAAGGCCCAGGGGGAGCAAAGACTTACTCAAAGTCACACAACATGTTAGAAAGTAAAACAGCAGGACTAGAACCCTAGGGGGTCCTTCAATTTGCTGGTGCTGCCTTCCCATCCCATGTCTCTGACCCCTTTAGCTTCCCTCTGATCAGCCCAGGGACCAATCTTATCCCATCTTCCTCCTTGGCGGGGTTTGGATTATCAGGGACCACACACAGACCCACCCTACCCACGCCCCTGGGTGGGCCAGGCGCATGACCCACACAGGAGCAGGTTGGGCCTCCCACAGACATCTCAACCTCCACTCATTCAGCAGGTATGAGCTCCTGTCAGCCAATTCTGTGCAACATTTTGCTTTCATATCTGCCAGGAGTTAACTCAGCTAAGAGACTTAAGAAACTAGTCCAAGACCACACACTAGTTAACGACCAAGCCAGAATTTCAATTTGTTCTAGACTGCAAATGCATACATAGTTTTACACACTATTCTCTGTATTACTGGTAAGCACCTGATTTGGTAGGTGTCTATACTCTCTGGTTTGAGTGCTGGAAAGAAGGAAGCAATAGCAAAATATATTGAGTATCAGGCACTGCAGTGCAGTAAACTGTCCTAACATGCAGTGATAAGGAAATGGAAGCTCAGAAGGTTATATGACTTCCTCAAGGTCATTTTGGAGAGTCAAGTTAAATTCTGAAGCCAAGCCCACGTGTCTCTGATTCATCTTCCTGAGGACAATCTTGTAACAGGCCCCTGGCTTCTGGAATCTTTAGCTGCATTCCACTGGCCTCAACTCCTGGTCTCCCTGAGGCAGGTGAGGAAGCAAATATTATTTTCTATCACAAGCAACCGGTAGGGTCGATTAGGATCAGGTGATCAAAGTTTTCCCCAGCAGTTTGGGAGAGGCTTGGAGGTTAAGAGTGTGTGGAGGGCTCATAAGAACAGTTCTACTTTGATATGCTTTGTTATTTTGCGGGTAAGAGAAAGCCTTAATTGCAAAAATTGAGATTTATTTCAGTGCTAGAATTAAAAAGTTGAAATCAACCATCCTATGTAATCTCTTGCATCTTAATGTGGACAGTGGGGTGCCTCAGAGCAGCCACAGGATTTAGCAACGTTATAGACATCGAGGTCCAGAGCGAGGTCCAGTGGGCTGTGACCTTTACCACAGAGTCAGAGGGGTACAAGAGGAACTCAATAAACACCTGGGCAGTAGGAAAAGGGCCAGAGTTCCATCTGTTTTGCCTGGTCAAAACCAGGCCACGGTCTTGCTTTTTAAGAACTCCCTCAATATATAGGACATTTCCATATGCTGGGAGAGCATCTCTCTCAAATTAAGGGAGCTTGTAAACTTACCTTAAATTTTATATCACAACCTTATAAGGAAAAGCCACATGAAGTCCAGCCCACATTAGTACAGGTTAGTTTTGCTGGCAAGCAGTCTGGGGTGGTGTAGAAAGCACCATGTTTCAGGGTTGGTCCTGTGTTTGGTCTATGTACTGCTCTGTAACTTTGGGCAAGGCTGGAGGCTGTTTCAGAGCCTTTACTGAATAATATATGAAATGGGCTGATGCTATCCAATTTACGCGGCTGTGGGAATGATTAGAGATAGCGATAGCGTGACTGGAGCCAAGCAGCCATACATTAAACCTGTAGCTACTTCTACGATTATTATGAGTAGGGCTGAGCTACAATGAGATCTTCAGGGATAGCACTGTGTGTCTTACACACAGCCACAACAGAAGCCATTTGTTCAAATCCTGTGGGCCACAGGTGTCTAAGATATTTGAGGCTGGAACACAGATGCCAGAGTAGAAGGGTGGCCCTCCTGCTGTGGGAGGAATCTGCGTCTCTGGAATCCCCAGCCCCAAGGATAGCCTTGGAAGGGAGGATTACTGAAGGACAGCTTTTCAGGCTGATTGTGAAGGTTTCAGGTTCTTAAAAGCCAACACCCCTAAGCTAGAAGTGACTTAACATGGGCTCTGACAGCGGCCACCAGGAGGGGTGGAGGAAGACCTGCGGGCTCAAGCATTCCAGACTGTGCTCCGCGTAGATTCCAGAGGCTGAGCTCTTGGCACAGAGGGTGGGGAGCTGGTGCCAAGTTTGGCAGGCTCTGTACTGACTAAAGAGGAGGCAGGCAGGAGGGCCAGCTAAGGTGGAACAGCCGGCTTGTGAAAACCTGAGCCCCAGGAGAGCATCAGACATCAGGCAGTGGCTCTGAAAATGGACTGACTGGCTGCCTGTTCAATTAAACTGTATTTCCCGAATATTTATTTTGTACCCCTGCCTCCTCCCAGCAGCAGTGCTACATTCAGGATTAAGGAGAAGAAAGAAGTTGTGGTGGTGCATGCCTGTAATCCCGGCACTCTGGGAGACTGAGACAGGAAGATCACAAATTTAAGCCCAGCCTGGGCAATTCAGTGACTTAGATGATCTCAAGATAAAAAATATAAAAAGGTTTGAAGATGTAATTCAGTACATAAGGCTCTGGGCTCATGTGCCAATACTGCAAAAGTAAATAAAAAAAATTTAAAAAAAAAATGAGACCCCAGCCTGGTCCTAGGGTTTTGAAGACCCACTCTCTTCTAACTTAGCCATTTGGAGCTGGAAGAACAGGCTGCCTTTTCTATAGATTCCTAGGACATATTGGCTAAGAGGCATCTTAAAGTTTGCTGATTGTATCAACAAAACCATGAAAGCAGGCATTGTTGCAAACCTGAGAATGAATTCAGGTCTTCAGCAGTTCAGTCTTCAAAGATCACCATGATCCTAGTACTGTAAGGTCATTTCAAAATTTCTTTCCAGCAGATTTGGGCTTAACACCTCCAAATGAAGGAGTGGGAGGAGGGAAGAGATACACTTGTGACTAAACCTGGCTGTCCCTTAATCACCTAGCAGGGTGATTAAGTGTGTGGGACCTGGAGTCTTACAGATGTGGGCACAAATCCTGGTTCCGTCACTTTCCAGCTATGTGACCTCAGTTTCCTCATCTGGTAAACGGAGACTTGAACAGACCTCAATGGGCTGTTGTAAGGACTGAAAGGCCGAGGCACGCAGCGACGAGCACCAGCGGCTCTATTGTTCCCCCTCCCTCTTGGAGTTCGCGAGGCACCTCTCGCTCCGTACTCCTGCTGCTGCCTCGGCAGTCTTGAAAGGTGGGGTGGGCCCCAAGGTGGAGACGCTGGGCCCGGCAACGCCAGCTGTTGCAGGATCATCAAGTCCAAACAGGCGACCACGGGGACCCCGTGCCCCGCAGCAACACCAGCGCTCCAGGCGCACAACACAATCTGGGGACTCGGGGTGCAACAGCCCCGCCTCGCCCTGGAGCCGTCCTCCAAACCCGCCACCTCCGAGTCCAGTCCCGCTCACCTGCTTCTCTAACCGCTCCGTGCCGCTTCTCTAGCCGTCTCTACTCCAGTTTTGTCACCCGCCCGCTCGGGTCTGTCTCCCCGGCCCACGTGGGGGCGGGGCGGCTCACCCGGAAGCAGCTCCCCCTACCCGTGCATGCCACGCCCCCTGCTGGCATTCTTCAAGCTTGCGGTTCGGCTGCAGCCTCGGCCACTGTCCGGCGCTATCTGTCCAATTAGAGGCCTGGCCAATCAAGTGTGCGGAGGGGTCGGAGAACCCGCCTCTCCCCGGCGCGGAAAGGCCCGAGAAACCCCACGTGGGGCACAGGAACCGCGAGGGAGGGGACCTTGCGTGTGACCTGTTTCAGAGCGGGTGCAGTCTGGGGTTCGTTTCACAGCCTCCCCTGGACTGGCCGCGGGAACATTTTTTTTTTTTTCCTGATGAAAGAACAATTAGATGTCACCGTTAGAACAACACGATCATGCTTCACACGAGAGCTAAGCCCATTTTGGCGGACAAACGTGTTAAAGTTGTTGAGTTCAGCACCACACTGCTTTCCATGTTTTCAGAGAAGATTGATCTCAGCTGATTAACTACTCAGGGTCTACTGTGTACCCTGGAAGATGTGATATAATAGTTGTGGGCGTTCAAAAAAAAATCTCTGCAAGTTCGACAGGGATTGGTATAGTGAGAGACCTGACGAAAGGCCTGAGGGGGCCTGGGGCAGTTAAGCGTAAGAGAGGGGTCTGGTGGGGTGGGGTTAAGGGGGCCAGAAATGACAGAAAGCAAGATTGGTGGTTGCAAAAGCCCAGGTGGCCAAGGCAAGGGTAGTAACTGCTTAGTGGGTTAACTATACCGATCTTTTAAAATGGTTCATTTATGTTCTGTGAATTTCATCTCAATTTGCTAGAGGCCAGGCCAGTTACATAATTCAAGGCTAGGCTGGACCACAATAGCAAAGCCCTAAGAAAAACAAAAACACAAAAGCAAAAAACAGACAGAAACGAGCAAGACCAAATGCTATTGGTATACAGTCTCAGGTCTCTTTTAAGTTTAGATCCTTACAAAGCACTTCTCTCTAAAGTGCCTTAGTTTCCCATTGGTAAATATAGGGACTAGACGTCAGAAGTAGTTTTGAATTGGTTATGCCAGAATCCTTCTAACTCCTGAGATCCACATTACAATATCTGGGCATACAGGGGCATGCTTCAGAAAATATGAAAAGAATAAGCCTGGCTGGCAAAAACTCATGGATGATCTCAAATTGCTAAAATTCTGTACTTTTGAACAAGGAATAGTGGCACACGCCTATAGAGAGGTCACACTGACTCCATTTTGTTCTGGACAGCATCTGTTTGACAATGTGTAGGGAAAAACTGCAGGCCTTGAAACATTCCCCCCACCCCAAGGTAAAAACAGGCAAACAAGTTATATAATCTAAGCATGAACAATTTGAGTTTCTTTGTTCTTTATCTCTTTTTTTGTCTTGAGACGGGGTCTCACTAATGCAGTTCAGGCTGGCCTTGAGCTCACTTTGTAGCCCATGCTGGTCTCGAACTCGCAATGATCCTCCCACCTCAGCTGTTCTTTTATCTCAATAAAAGCTGCTTGCTTATACTGGCTGGGTGGCAGCCATTTTCTGACCCTTAGAGTGTGCGACCCTTTATTTTCCCTTTCCCTTCCCTATACTTATAACACCAACACTGAGATAGGAGGGAGGACCACTACAGTTTTGAGACTGGGCTGGGGTACATATAATGAGTTCAAGACCAGTCTGGTCTACTTAACAAGACCCTGTCTCTTACAACAACAAAAATAGTACTTAGTTACCTCCCTTAGGAAACTTTTTTTTTGTTTTGTTTTTATTTTACAGTATTGGGGATTGGACCCAGGGCCTTTGCACTAACCTATGAGGTACAATCCCTGTGTGAAAGTATTACAGCAAAAGACACATTGCCATTAATTCCCCTAGCTTCCAACATACTTATACCATCATTCTTGCCACTTTAGGAAGTTCTTTTGTTGACTGTCTTTTAGTTGCACTGTCAAGGTTGCCTTGATGTAGTTTACCTTTCACGGTCATTTTGACTTTGGGGAAGAACCAGAAGTCACAGCATCATATCCAGTGAACAAGAAGGGGAAGGACACTGTAATATTTTTAGAAGTTTGGTTTTCCATTGGACTCTCAAGAGCAGTGTTCACTATAGTTTTGATCACACTCACCCAAGAGGACTTGCAGAACTGCTTTAGAAAATACCAAGAACAATGGTTGTATTTCAAGCAAAGGAGATAGTGTTTTAATGGGAATTAATGGCAATGTGTCTTTTACTGTAATATTTTAAATATTCACTGTATTTCTGGTCATTCTTTGTTTATCTTCAGCCATTTTCTGTTTCTGAGATACAGTTTTTCTAAATTGCCCAGGGCTGGCTTTCATGTACAGTTCTATCCAGACCTCTGAGACAAGTGCATGCCCCTACACTCATCAAGAAACATGTTTTTCTTAAGAAGCTAAATTTTGGTGATTAATGAAGTAAGAGGGACTAAAGCAGTAATTTTTTTGTTTTGTTTTTTGAGATAGGCTTCTGCTGTGTAGTGCAGGCTGGACTTGAACTAGTGGTGATCCTCTTGCCTCAGCCTCTCAAGTGCTGGGACGGCAGGCACAGGCGTGCCCTACCACACCTGGCTGTTTTTTAAAATATTCTTGACTGGAGCATATATAGCTTTATTTTGGAAAGTTGATTAAAATGGATGATAGGGTAATCCTTCTTTTGAAGGTTTTGAATAACAAGGTTAAGTGTGAATTTGATTTCATAGGCAACCGGGAGGGACTGTAATACAGCTGTGTTCCAGGAAGATGGGCTTGGCAAGCAGAACACAGGCGTTGCTAAGGGAAGCAGAGACAGGCAGGAAACTGAGTTAAAAGGAAGCCTCAGGGGTTCAGAAGGGCGTTGAGACCTTAGCCTTGAGTGGTGCTCATGGGAATTAAGAAAAGATATTTCTGCTGTGGAGAAGGAAAAAGCCATTACATCAAGTGACCAGTGGGGTTGTATCTTTGTGAAATATTTTTTAAAAGTTTGATTTGTAAAAACTATATAGATAGAGGTAATATATAGTTCAGTTAAGTGATAGTAGAAGTAATAGCAGTACTGCTCCACAGGGTTTCCAGATTAATACTTAAAAGCATTGACAACAATACCAGACACAGGTCAGGCTCATTAAATGAAATCTAGTACTACAGTGACCAGGTTTACCAAAAACTCTTGCTGTGCTTGAATAGCAGCATCTGCTGGTCACTGGAGGTGATGCAGGATTCCATGTTTACAAAGGTCTGGCCCAGGCCACACTACAAATACTGTGCAGATCATTGGGTTTGCTCCAAACGCATACTTTATCACTATATATTTGAGTCACCACTTTAAACAAGAAATGTTCTTTATTTGTACAAAGCATTAGAATCTCAACAGTCGTCAGTTACTTATGAACAAACTTCATTTAACAAGTTAACAGTGTCAAACTATACTACCTGTCAAATCCCGAGTGCTCAGTTGAGACAAACTGGTACCTGGAACACTGAATGGAAAGAGCAAAAGACTAAGAAAAGCCAACACACTTTAGAAGCAGTTCAAGGGGATTGGGCTAGAGGGTTAGATTCCTGAACACCATCAGAGTTTCTCAATATTCAGAGAAGTTTACAAAATCTTTTTTTTGAGACAGGACCTCACTAAGTAGTTCAGGCTGGCCTTGAACTCAGATTGAACCTCCTGCCTCAGTCTGAGAGTGCTGTGATTACAGGTGTGTGCCACTAAGCCTGGCTCACAAAATCATTTTTAAGACATGGATTAGAACTAAACATTTTGAGTCATTAAGCAGGTATTCTAAATTGCTACATTTGCCAATGAGTTAGAAAGGGAAAGAAAGTGCGAATGCCAAGCAGAGAAGAGGCAGAAAAGAAACAGAAAGCAAGAAGCAAAAAGGGAAATCATTGTGCTTAAAGCCTCGAACTTGGCAGGAACTTGGGAGATGCACACAGTAAAAGTCTAAGATTTTACACCTTCAAGAGGTGACAATAAATCCTAAACTGTATAGTGGCAGGGGTGAGGTAAATCTAGGATTAAGCCATCTGTTTTGTAAAGCATTCTTACTTGTTTGACGACTTCCAATCTACACTGTTAATTTTTAAGAGGACACTGTGCCCCAGAGTACAGCTACCCCAGCAGGTCAGATGCCTACAGGCAACACAAAAGGGCCACAAGCCAAATAGTTTTAGAGAAAACAGAACTCAATGCTACTGTCAAGTGAAGAAACCATAGAACAGATTATTATTTTATTTTAAGCAGTCTGAGGGAGTGCCAAGCTATATACTCAGCCTCTTTTATCTAATTTTGGGAGGGGGAGACAGTGTCTCATTGCGTTGCCCAGGTTGGTCCCAAAACTCATGATTTTCCTGTCTCAGACTCCCAGGTAGCTGAGATTATAGGCACGTGACACTCTGCCCAGCTCATTCTGAACATTCTTACTAATTTTTAATACTGTAAACCAAATATGGCTGCCCATAATCAAAGTCCTAATTTTTCCTGAGTCTTCACTGCCTCTGTGATCTGGAGCACAGCAAGCAGCATGGAAGTTATTTTTTTGGAGAGGCAGGAAGACTGGTGATTAAAAAACTATATAACCATACACATAAGTAAACAAGTTAACAAACTGCTAATTTAATTAGCTCTTCAGAATCTCTCTTGTCAAAAAAATGTAATACCCTTCAGACAGATCAAACAGAGGATTCTGCTGCTCAGATGCTCTGAGTCGGTCAAAAGCTGGTTTTGGTGATAATTATAGTCAGTTTCTATTTTGATCTCCCCAGGCACTTGTGCCTAAGACCACTCTGCCCAGCAGGGAAAAGCATCACATAAACATACACCATGCTCCAGAGCAGTAGCTTCCACAGTGCCCAGTCTATTAGTTGTCTACTTCCTCCTCTTCATTCTGTTCTTCTTCTTCCAGCTTTTCTTCATCTTCATCATTATCCTCATCCCTGCTCCTGTCTTGCTCTTCTGAATCTGTTTTTTTGTCTTTGTCCCTCTTCTTTTGTTCTGAAGCTTCCTTCTTGCCTTTCTGCTCCCGCCTATACGCTGTAAGGAAGGAGGGGGTTAGGAGGCAGGGCTGGTGCAACAGGGCACCAGACCCCACAGCAGCTAACTCCACTGTGTAACTGGAAAAGCTGAGACACGGAAGAGATCTGATGCGATGCAAACTGAACTGGGCTGAATCACATCCAATATTGGCTTAATGGACTTAAAGCCTCAAGGCCAGATGAAGAAGTCACACGGCATGACCATCTATATGGTTTAGAAAACTGAAGGGTCTGTTACCTTCCAGAGCTTCTTTCAACGGGGTAATAAATCGCTGGAACTCCATCTCTTCCATGGCTGAGAGCACATCACTGGCATTGAGGGTCTTGCGTTTCCCTTTCATTGCGAAGTTATTGGCACTGAAAAAGTAGGAGCAAAAGCCATTGGGGCTGTTAGACACCGCTCCTCATTTGCCGTGAGGTTCTGGTGAGAAAGGATCAACTAAAGGTGGGATGGGAATGCCTACTGCAACTCAGGTGCTCGGCTTTTTGACCTTATCTGTAAAAAAAAAAAGGCCGGGCCAGAATTATTCTGTTGTTTAATCTGCCTCACTGCTTGTTAGAACTGGAAAAAGACTGTGAATGCCTCTCCACTAAGATATGAAATAATTATTGGAGTTTCTGAGTTCCAGCCAGGGGTCCCCCCGGCACCTCCCTCACTCCTCTGTCAGGCTCACCAGGATGTGGCGTACAGCACAAAAACGCTGGCTGCGCGGGAGATGGCGCTCCGGGCCTCCTTGGAGATGTTGACACCATCCGGGAGCTGCGAGGAGAACTAGGATGAGCAAAGCTGCCTCCCAGGACCCGTTTCTCTCCCGGCCCTCTTGTCCGTTCCCGGCCCCCCGCCTGCCCAAGTAGCTCACTGCTTCTTTGATGATCCTGGTGATGACGGCATTGGGCAGGTTTAGGTCCTCGGGCCTCTCCGCCATTGCCAACGCAGGGGCCCGAGGCTCCTCTGCTACGGGCCTTTTCTTCTGGCTGCTACCTTGTCCAGACTTCCCGCGTCGCTACGGTCTGACCCTCCGAGGCACCCGTCCTGCCCCACGTTGCCCACACTGTGTCCCACAGTGCTCCGCGCGTCATAGCCTCTCTCCTGTACGCCGCCCCGCCTCCTCAAATTGCCGATGCCTATGAACTTTCCACGCTGCAATGGTTTTGGCCTACCGGGTTTCCGTCCGGCTCCACTGTGTCTCGTACTTCACTTCTTGGCCACGGTTCTCTACTTTACACCACGACTACGCCTGGAGTTTTGTCACCAGGGAGGTATGACTCACTGAGGCTTCCGTCTGTTTCCCATCGTGCTCTGCGCCGCTGCTTGGTGACCGCGCAACTAGCAGCGCGGCCCGCGGGGAGGCAGAGGCGTGACTAAACTAGTAGGGTGGGGCCGCTTCGAACGACAGGTGGGGTCGGCGGCTGCAAAGGTCTGTGAGGGCCAGAATTACCCCTTAGCTCTGAGCCATAGCTGCTTTTAGTCCACGCTGGGTCTGTGGGATTGCAGCCCTGTGAGGTTGGCGTCTCCCACTTTTGTTTTCTTTTTCCTTGTCCAAAATGAAGCAAGGAAATTTTTTCTGTACTGGTGAAATCAGTGTCCATATCTGTACTACCCTAATAACCTTATAATAATAATAGTATTTAAGAATAAGTATTACCGAGTTTTTTGTTTCGTTTTCCAGTGCAAATCATTTCGCTTACAGCGCTAATGCTGGCATTATAAAGAAGTGCCTGATAAAACCTCATGGCAGGTAACTAAAGGGTGACATATTTACATTAAGAAACCCCTTTTAAAATTGTATTTATCTTTTGGTTCACTAAATCATTGTTCATTATATTTTTTCCTCTGTGGAAATCATTACAGGGGTTGTTTTGGTGACAGGGTCTCTCTGTGTATAGCTCAGACTAGCCTCGAACTAGCAGTGATCTTCATGCCTCAGCCTTCTAGCTGCAGGTTTAAATGTGAGCCACCAAGCCAGGGTTTAAATTACTTCCATATTACATATGTAGAAATTCCTATTCTGAAGGAGAACTAATGCTGCTTTTATTCCTTGAAACATGTCTCAAGACTCTTCCATTTTTCTATTGTTGATGGAAGCATGGGTATAGAGAAATATTTCTCTATAGGAAAAACAACAGAGCAGTCAGGTTTGGTGTTGGCACACCTATAATCCTACCCCTTGAGAGGTCCAGGCAAGAAAATTTAAGCGAATTTGAGGCCAGCAGGGCTACATAGTGAATTCAAGGTCAGCCTGAACTGCCCAGGGAAACCCTGTCTCAAAAAAAATAAACATTACAACCTTCTCACGTCTACCCCAACAAAGAAAATGTGATAAATGAAATTGCTTCAGTCAGAGACCGTTGCTGGGGGAACTTTGCACTTGAATAGAACAGGCCTAGTTTAAAGACCTCAGAAACTGCTCAGCTTCAGCCAATTGCTGTCTAGTTAGATCTGGACCCAGGGTTGTCAGACCCTGAGATCTGTAACAGGAGCTAGAAATTTGGAATTTTAAAATTTTGACTCAAAGTACTGGCTAAAAGTCATAGATGTAATCCTAGGCCAAAGACTTGCTATCTTTGATCTAAGTTAGGAGAACAGGGATTTTAGCTGCGTGGGTGACACAAGCCTGTAATCCCAGAACTCCTTCAGGCTGATGTAAGAAGATCAGAAGTTCAAACCCAGCCTGAACAATTTACAATTTAGCCAGACTCTGTTTCCAAACCAAACCAAACCATAACCAACAAAAAATCCAAAAAACAAAAGGTCTGGGAGCTGGGTGTGGTGGTGCTTGTCTGTAATCCCAGTGTAGAGTTGATAAACGAAAAGCTAAAGACAGCTGCAAGTCTACTGACTTGGAGTTTGAACAAACCATGCATTGTTGGTGGCTGTTTTTTATCTGCCTGCATGAGAATTATAGCATATTGAAAAAATGAAGCCTGTCTTCCAAAAGTTTGAGCCATCTAAAACACTTCTGTGACTTGGTTGGCTGTAATTTGATAAAGCTTTTCAGATATAGTGGCATTACTTCCTAATGACTAATGAATGGGAAAAAGAAAGGGTGCCAATATTTATTTTTAACTATATGCCAGGCTTTCTAATATCCATTAACTCATTTTTACCATCACTGTGAAGCAGTCTTATCCTTGTTGTACAAATGAGGACACTGAGGCTTGATTTGGTTAAACTGTAGGTCACCCAGATATTAAATGACCAAGTAGGAGACCTGAGCCCATTCTGCTTTAGACTTTCTATTTAACCTCATGGTGAGATGTTTTCATACTTGCTTAGGCAGTCAAGTTTTACTTGCTCCTTACTTGTGTCCATCTTTTACCTATATTGGTTCAATAGAAATATTTTAAGATTTGAGTCCAAATTAAGATCTGGGCTGTATGGCTAATATATAATAGTACTCCCTAATTATGTGGCTGTTGAGTCTCAGAAAGTTACAGGATTGACCTTTGTCCCAAACTATTTATAGCCATGGTCTTGCCAGATGACAGTCAGTGGGATGAAACCACCTGTGACTTGGCTGTTTGTCCACATCCACAATGCTGGGCAGCTGTCCGTCGAATTGAAAGGGGCCATCCTCGAATCCGGAGCTCACCCTGCAAAACTCCTGTGGATGCTGAAGGTGAATTCATCAGCTTTTGTTTTCTCAAGAAATACTTAAACTTTCTGTACGGTTCCCTTTCTATAGGCAACACATTACACGTTTCCTTCTATCTTTCTTAGATAAACTCCCAGGGCTCACAGTTGTAAACATCTCAGATTCCTGCTTCCAGGCCAGGAGACTTGCTCATCAGCAGTCACCAGAATTTGCCTTCACTAAAGCTCATTCTTTGTTGTCTCAAGGCTCCAAGCTTGCCTCCAAATTTCAAGGCAGGTAAATTATCATGATATCTTTTCTCTAGTAGATTGTTGTCTCAGAATTCCAAGTTATGATTTCCTTTGTGAATATGTTAGAATTCAAGAACGCTGGATTAAAAAGAAAGTACTAATTCAGTTGAAGAAGTGATGAGTAGGTGGAGGGAAACAAAGCATTCCTGTTATGTTCTAGGATTTGATAACATGGAGCAGTTTTGGTTTGCTAAGGTTGCTGAGCAAAGTATCAGAGACTGGGTAAACAATGAACTTCACTTTCCCACAATTCTGGAGGATAGAGATATGAGATCAAGGTTGTTTTGTTTTGAGGCCTCTCTCCTTGGCTTGTTGGGACCTGTTTTCTCCTTGTTTCTTCACATAGTGTTCCCTTTGTGTCTGCCTGTGTCCTTTCTCCTCATTTCATAAGCACGCCAGTTTTATTGGATTAGAGCCCACTCATATGACTTCATTTTACCTTAGTTATCATTTTAAAGTTCCTCTTTGCAAATACTGTCACATTCTTAGAAATATAAGAGATGAATGTTGGGGGAAGGAGACACAATTTAGCCCCTACTAGTAGGTATCTTATCAGCTTCTGTAGGTCATCGAAAGACACTGTCCACACATGTCATCCTTCCTATCTTTTATTTTCAGGTATGAAACTATTTGTAAGCTCTCGGAGGCAGAAACAGTGGCTTTTGTTTTTGAATTTCCTAGAAAGTCTAGGTACCTGATCTTGCTGATACATGAAACTGAGGGACAACTATCTGTGAAAAACTGAGGCTTTTAAAATTTGAAGACCTTGTTGCAGTTCAAGTTGCTAGTTGTGGTACTTCTAATAGTTTATTTTCTTCTTTTCCATGTAAGTAGTTCCTGTTGATTCATCTTAGCTAAAGACAGCATAGGGAAAGATAGGACTACTTCCAGAGTCTGTAGGACTTGAATCGTGGGAAAATAGCAGCATCTCACAGCCAGTATCTGATGTGCTCACATCCGCACACAGCACACAACACATTTGTGTCCCACCATGTCCCAGATGCACAGTATGCTGAGGGCCATCTCATCCAGTCCATGCCTTCTCCTTGAGTCTTGCTTTCTTACTTCGTGTGTGGTTTTTGCAGTGACTGCCTTCTTTTTTTTTCCTCTCCTCTCCTCTCCTCTCCTCTCCTCTTCTCTCCCTCCCCTCCCCTCCCCTCCCCTCCCCTCCCCTCCCCTCTCCTCTCCTCTCCTCTCTTCTCTTCCTCTCTGCTCCCCCACCTCCTCTCCCTTCCTCTTTTCTTTTCTTTTCACATGATTGAATCCTGGGCCTTTCACAAGCTAGGCAGGTGCTCTACCATTAGGCTATACTCCCAGCCCAGTAGTGATTCCTCTCAGCTCTGCTCTGCGTCGTCAAGTCCCTGGCATGGCCAAATGACTATATGAGATCCTGCCTTCCCAGTGGACCTCATCTTACATTTCTCTTTTCCTTGTTTAATGGATTCTAGCCATACCACTCTATGTATTCCTTGTATAGTTCCACTCCATGAACAAGGATCATGGAAATACTCTTTCCTCTGAATGGGATTTCCCCTAGATTAGAGCTTTCAACTCTGCATTGTTGACATTTTGGGTCATTCATTCTTTGTTGGGACTGTTCAGTGCAGCATTGGATGTTTCCCTGCATCGCTGGAATGCTGGCAGTATCTCACCAGCAGTTGGGACAACCCCTAAATGCCTCTAGATATTGCCAGATATCTCCTAGGGGCAAAATTAAAGTTGCTTTTACATAAAGATCTTCTGTGACCACACTGTATGAAATTTAACCTGCTTCTGTCTTAATTCTTTTCTGAAGTGTTCTTTGGTCTGCTTGCCCACCTTCATTGGAATGTCAGTTCTGAGAGCAGGAGCCGTGGTTGCTTTTGTTCACTACTCTGTCTCCTGCGGCTTCAGTAGTGTGTGGCATAAAATAGAAGCTCAATAAATATTGTTGGATGAATGTGTTCTCATCTTTGTCATTTACTGCTGGCCCTGGGCGCTCACTTTTCTAAACTACCCTGTACTCATTTTCCCTGGTAAGCTTATGGATATTTTTATGCCTGTGTCCCATTTGCTCAACTGGATTGCCTTTGAAAGCCGTTTAAAGGCAAGAGTTATGACATGACATCATTTGTTTATTTGCAATGTGGGACTTAGAACCTGTTTCAAAAAAAAAAGAAGAAGAAGAAGATAAGGGGCTGGGGATTTAGCTCAGCAGCATAAGTGCCTGCTTTGCAAGCAGGCAGTCGTGAGTTCGATTCCTGGTACCAATAAAAAGAAAAAAGAAAGAAAAAAAAAAGAAAAGAAAAAGCACTAGATAAAGATGTAGATCATTGTGAAGGTCCTGGGTTCAATGCCTGGTACCATAAACAAACAATACTCCCACCCCAAAACTCAAAAAATGAAAAGTAAAAACAAAGCTGAGCCTCATACCCCAAATTCACAAACCTATTTTAGTGAGGGTCATCATGCTGGACGGTGGGGATACAACAGTGTCCTTTGAGGGGCTTTTAGCCTAGTTGGGGAGGTAAGGACATTTGGTGTAATGAGTGTCATAAGTGGACTGGTGCCTGGGTGTGTGTAACACCAGAAAAGGTTCCTAATCAGGATGCTGTACACACTAGTGGCCCAGCCCAGAAGTTGAGCAGTCTAGTAAAGTGAGAATTGCAGGTGGGAAGGGGGCTAGAAGATGGCTCTAAATTATAGGGGTAGTATGTTCAAAGCCCTGGAGGGAAGAGGCAATTCTGTAGGTACAGACAGTGTCAGGAAAACAGTTCATTGTGTTTGGAACATAGACCAGGACTGCAAGAGTGATCAGAGGCTAAAGAGTAGAAAATACAGACACTTTTTATTTGGTAGAGATTGATGTCTACCTCACACAGAGCTTCATAAATCAGGCTCAGAGTTCGGTCTTTATCTTATACCTCATGGCATTATTCGGTCACACTTTTGCTTCTTTTTTGTTTTTTGAAACAAGGTCTCACGATGTAGTCCAGGGCATCCTTGAACTTGCCATTATAACCAGGCTGGTGTTGAACCTGGCAATCCTCCTACCTTGGTCTAGAATTACAGGCATGCACCATCACACTGAGTTTTTAAAAATTATAAATATATATAATAAAAGCTGACCATTTTAACTTTTTAAGTGTAGAATTCACAATGTTGTATACCTCCCTATTTCCAGAACTTTTTATTTGTCTCAAACAGAACTGAATTCATTAAATAATAGCTCTACATTACCTTTTTTCATCTGGTAATCTCTGTTTTCTATCTCTGAATTTGCCTATTGTAGGTATCTCTTATAGTAGAATCATACAAAATCTGTCCTTTTCTCTCTGGTTTGTTTCACTTGATAGAATGTTTTCAAGTTTCATCTAAATTGTAGCATGTATCAGAATTTCATTACTTTTTAAAGCTGAGTGATTTCTACTGTATGTATGTGGCACATTCTTTTTCTTTAGCATGTCTGAACATTTCCATCAACATCGATTGAATGATTGTATGAAGGATTGAACCCAGGACCTTCCATTGAGCTCTATTTTGTTCCTTATTTTAAATTTCTGATTTCGAGACAGGGTCTTGTTAAGTTGCTGAATTATCTGGGGTTGGGCTTAAACCTGTGATCTTCCTGCTTCACCCTTCCAGAGTGGGTGGTCACCATGCACCTGGCTGCATCAGCTTTTGTTGATGATGCATTTGAGACAGAGGCATAGGCTGTAGTGCAGTTTGATGTAATAGCTGTAAGATGCTTGCAGCATGTAATGTGTATTTAAGAGTCCCTACATTCATTTAGCTAGTTAAGCACAGGTTTTCCTGTGGATAGGTAAAAGTTTTTTTCCTTGTAGCATTTATTCTCTCATCTTAGTGTCTTTTGTGTCTGTTTAGTGTTTGCAATTCTTGTTTGTTTTTAGGACTCAGAAAGGTTTACCTGAGAAAAATTTGATCAACTATCCTAAGAGATTTCCCAAAGAAAGTCACAAAAAGGTACTCTATCAACATTTTCTCTTTACTAATGGAAACAAAATATTTTATCTTTGATGTTATTCTTCAGGATCACTAAAATCAGAATCAGATCTCTATATTCATTACAGTGATGACAAACCAGATGTAGTGTTGCACACCTATAATTCCAGCACTTGGGAGCTTGAATCAGAAGGATCACAAATTTGAGCCCAGCCTGTGCAGTTTAGCAATTTAGTGAGACCTTATCTGAAAACAAAAAATAAAAATGACTGAAGATGTAGCTCAGTTCAGAAGCCCTGGGTTCAATCTCCAATATAGAAAAAAAAAAAAAGAAAATTGCTAATAATTGTTGTACTGATTATTTTTCCCTTGTTGCTGAGACAAAATACCGACACCCAAAGTTAAGGAAGTAAAAGTTTATTTAATAACTCACCAGTTTGTGGAGGTTTCAGTCTATAATCAGTTGGCTACAAGGCAGAGTGCCACATGGCAGAGGGCAATGGAAAACAGCAAAATCAACAACAGCAAAAAGGGAGAAGCAAGGAGAGAAAATTTTTTCTGACCCTTATGTTTTATGTAGGCCACACCCACTTGGGTGTAGCACTCACACCCATAGTCCAGCATTGGACCATGAGTCATTTACAAACTCTAGAAGTGTATCTCCATGACAGCATGAAGCTTTGAGGGAGGCCATCCAGAATCAAACCATAACAACTCTTCAGTATTGGCTCTTTACTATATGCTAACCTTTACTATTTACTAATGGCTTCCATGCAATATTGTTTTCAGAAGTCCCAGACTTAAGTAAGATTGCATGTGGAAATTTGGTATAGGTGAGAATTTTCTATATACTGAATAAAGCATGTTCAGCTTCAAAGTAAACAGTGTCATTAATAGAGCAGTTGGAATAGGAGAATGTCAGACAAAAATAGGCCTAAATGTCATCTAGTCTGAGGATGTTCAATCTTTTAAAAGTGTCATCTGTGGAAATAAATACATAAATTAATATCATGGAATAATCCTTACTCTAACCATGAGGAAGTACTCTGGTCTTTTTTGTCTTATTCTGTTTTGTTCTGTCTCTCTCTCTCTCTTTTTTTGGTTCAAGGGATCAAACTCACGACTGCACGCTTGCAAGGCAGGTTTTTATGCCACTGAGCTAAATCCCCAGCCTGTTCTGTCTCATTTTTATTTTTTACTGTTTTGGTACAAGAGATTGAACTCACACACTTGCCAGGCAGATACTTATGCCACTGAGCTAAAACCCCGGTCCTTTGTCTCATTTTTAAACAATATGAGCTTGATTCACAAAATTTAATTTTTATGACCTATGCATAATCACAGTGTCAGTTTGAAGAACATTATTGTGGTCTGTTTCGTGCATCTTGCAATTAAGGAAACAGAATCTCAGATGGAAAGCTTCTATTGTGATTTACCTGTGTGTGTGTTCTGTTGTAGTGGTTTACCTGGCTAGTTAGAGGTAAATCAGTGCTAAATTTGAACTTTAGGAAGAAACGCTTTGCTATTTACCTATAATAAAGAGGGATTTACTGTTCCTTGAAGTCCAATGGAATGCCTTTTTTTTTTTTAATCCTTAATTGCTCTGTATCATGTGGTGGAGAAAGCAAGGAACTAAGAGATAGCAGATGGATTTAAATGGATGAATGAATAAAGTAGTTTACCTCCTTGACCTCTTTTGAACAAGAAGGTTAGGTTAAATTATTAATTTTAATTTTGATTTTTATGGGTACTGGGAATTGAACCCTGAGATGCTCTATCACTGAGATATATCTCCAACTCTTTGAAAATATTGTTTGAGACAAAGTCTCAGAGCAGGCTGGCCTTGAACTTGCTTATATAGCCTAGGTTGGCCTCATATTGACAGTGATCCTCCTGCCTCAGTTTCCTGAGATCTGGGATTACAGGCATGTACCACCATGCCCAGCCTTAAAAAATATATATATATTTTTTTTGGTAAAAAAGATTTTGAGACACAGGCTTGCTAAGTTGCCTAGATTCTCCTGCATCAGCCTTCCCCAGTGCTGGGATTTCAGGCATGTGCCACTGTGCCTTGCTTAAATTATTTTTAAATTAATGATTTTAATAGATATATGTCAACATGATTCTAAATTCAAAAGATATTAAGCATTTACAATGAAGAGTCTCCTTTCTTCTCCCTAGTCCTTTTCACAGTGGCAACGTTATTTTTAATAGTTTTTTTCTTTTTTATATCTTACTTGGAATATAGGCCACATGAAGGATCCCTTAAACCCTGCTCTTGTAGGATCCTTAAGAGTTAAATGTGAGAAGAATCAGCACCTTAACTTTTACATAGATGCCTATAATTATAGACAGACTGTAAATAAAAGTGGGAAACTTAATTTTGTATCCTCCAATTCTCTCCTTATTGATTCCCCAAATCCTGACTGCATTCTCTGTATAGGGGATCTAAGACTTTGAAGTAGAGCCAGAACAATGGTCATGTTCCCCTAGGAAAGTCTCAAGTCACCATTTTATGGGATGGGGCTGGGGGTTGATAAATTTTACTCTCAGGTCATAGGGAACCAGGGAACACTATTTACAGACACTCACTCTTGCAGAGCACCTACCAATACTTGATGAAATAGTTTGTTTTGTTGAGAAATATTATGAGGCTGAATTTGGGGATGGGAAAAGTCATCTTATTATCTGAGCCACCAGTCTTTTTGGCTAGGCTGATAACTGAGCCCTTAGCCTGTTGCTGGTACTGGTACTGGTACTGGTAGAAATCTGGCACCTAAACCACATGTGGGTTTTATATTTTTTTTTTTTAGCTTTCAGTGTTGAATTTGAATGAGACACAGCTTCCTTGCTCTGAAGATGTTAGAAATATGGTTGTCATCTGGATCCCTGAAGAACTAGGAAAGAATGTGTAGTAAGTGTCATATCTAGAACTTGGGGAGTCTTTATCCTTATATTCTGTAAATTCTCACAGGCCTTTTTTTGTGATCTCCTTTTTAGCTACCTCACTGCAAATAACAGAAGGACAAGCAAAGATAGTGGTCCTGGTCACTTGTTTCTCCCTTTTATGACACTGGAATTCTTTATATTTATTTATTTTTTTGTCTTTGTTTTTTTGAGGCAGGGTCTCACTGTGTGACCCTGACTCGCCTTGAATTCAAGCCTCCTGAGTGCTGAGATTACAGGAATGTGTAATCATGCTTTCTTTTTGGTTTTAGGTCTTGTTATGTAGTCTAGGCTGGCCCTAAACTCTCCCTATACCATAGCCCAGCTTCAAACTTAGAGTCCTTTTGCCTCAGCTTCTTGAGTGCTGAGTCTACACGCATGTACTATGATGCCGTTTGGAATTCTATTTTAATACACTTTAATACACTTAATGCTATGGGACTTATTTATATCAAATTTCACATGGCAGTAAATAGCATGTAAGATAGGGCCCAAATTATTTGTGAAGTTTGATTAAGAATTATACTTCCTTAGGGGCTGGGGATTTAGCTCATCGGCATAAGCGCCTGCCTTGCAAGCAGGCAGTCGTGAGTTCGATCCCTGGTACCAATAAAAAGGAAAAAGACAAGAAAAAAAAAAAAAAGAATTACACTTCCTTTATTAGTTTTACTTAGTCCTCAGAAGTGACAGAGCTTCCAGTAAAGCATATGAACCTCTGATCACTACAGCCTGTGACAGTGGCATACAGTAAATAGCATACAGCACTTGTGTACCAAGTGAGGCATGATAGAGATCAAACGCTTGCTAGTGTCGAAAAGCATAGGAGAAGGAGTTTGGTTTCTCTTTTTGTGATCACTGAGCCTTTCAGATTCTTGTTAAGTGATTGAATTTCTTTATAGTTGGCCATCTTGTTGATGTAACCTAATGAATTTCTTTTTCATTTTCTTTCTGTTTTTCAACAAATAATCCTCCAAAATGCATTTTTATGTGCTTACCTATGATTTCAACAACATCAACAGATGACTTTATTTTCTTTCATGTAAAAGAAGCCCCAGATTGGGTGGGCTGGGACTAGTATGTCAGCTCCGTGAGATAATCAGAAATCAGAGCTGCTCCAGCTTTTTGAGCCATGCTCCTTAGCCCAAGGTTTCCATCTTCTAAGGTACTTCATTGATACTTTTAAGGTCTAGGTTGGCTGCCAGAGCTCCAACTTTCATATCCACTCCCCAAGTGAGGAAAAAGTAATTCTTGAGTACCTCCTCTGTGCTAAGTAGTGAGGATCCAGTGGAGAACCAAGTAGATTTGGTCCGTCTTCCAAGGGTTATATGAGAGAGTCAGACATGACAGACATAACCACACTTAAGTATATAATTACTAGTTTATATTCACATTGTGAAAGTAAATTACAAATCTGTCCCAGAGAATTCTGGGAACCAATTTTAGATGGGAAGATGAGGGATCTTTTAATGGCAGGTACTGAGGTGGCGCATACTGCTGGGCTCCCAACCAGCCATTTTTGAATACCAATTAGATAGACAGGAGTCTTAAGACTCATTATTCACAAATATCCTTGGTGTTCTTAAGATGTCTGAGAATAAGTTATGGTTATTCTTATTTCAAGCTTACCTGAGAAGACATCTCCTCTCCCCAGCCAAAATGGGAAACAGAAAAGAAAGGAATCCGCAAGGGTAAGTTCAGTGTTTTGCCCAGACCTTTATTATTACTCTATAGGGTATGTTTTTGTTTTCCTTTTAGGTCTTTCCCACTCTCAACCCCTTACTTTCTCTAAATGAAAGCCCTTCCTTAGGGATATTAAGCCTCTTCTGACTCCCTTTTCCTGTCTGTGCCATGTCGGGGGAGCAGAACGCTGTGAAGACATGACAGGACAAACTGCTGGGTATTTAGGGGGACTTTTTTTTTTTGATACCAGGGATCGAATCAACACCGCATGGTTGCCAGGCAGGCACTTTCACCACTGAGCTAAATCCCTGACCCTCAGAGGGACTTCTTGATTAGTTAAAAATTAGTCCCCTGGCAGGCATCCTGGTGTGTGCTTATAATCCCAGCAATTCAGGAAGCTAAGGAAGGAAGCTTGCAAGTTCAAGACCAGCCTGGGAAGCTTGGTCAGACCCTGCCTCAAAATAAAATAGAATGGATTGAGATGTGGCTCAGCAGTGATGTGTGTGCCTAGCGTGTACACACATACACACATACAAAGAAGAGGAGGAGGAAGGAAGGAAGAGGCAGGAGGAGGAAGAGGAAGAGAAGAAGAAAGAGGAGAAGGAGGTAGAAAAGAAAAAAGAAGAAGAGGAGGAGGAGGAGGACGACGACAGTGACAACAGCAGCGGCAGCAGCAGCAATGAAAACTGCAGCAAACCTGAGCTTCCAGTTTTCATTCAACCGTTTATGGGTAAATGTGATTTGGGTAAATCTCAGAGCTGTCAGAGTACTATATGCATGAGAGTAGTGTCTTGATCCATGTCAGTCATTGTGAAACTCCTGTGCCTGCTATGTTCTGGGCATACAGATAGGTTGAGTGCATAATGAATGACCGCTCTGGGAAAACAATACCAACACAACTACAGTTAATCCTTGTGTGGTCTAAATGCAGTAGGGCTGGGACCTTGTGAGTAGCCCATATGTGGAGGAAAGGTGGGAATGGTGGAGTGGCTCTGGGTTGTGTTGGAGGGCTGGAATGTTAAAGGGAAGACATGGCTCCAAGGAAGTATTTGGGAAAGTGTTGCATTTTTTTCTCTTTCAGAAAACTGAGTCATCAAAAACCCCAGGGAAGGCTGTGCCACCCCCCTCCCCGGTGCGCGCATCTGAGGATTTAAGTTCAGAAATGCCTATCTGGGCCCACAACAGCACACTACCTCAGAATCTGCTGAAGGAGTGAGTATCATGGATGCCCAGGGGAGAGCCAGGGCCCCTGCTTTTTCCTGAAGCTGAGAAGGGGCCAGACAATGTGCTTGTTCTGAGTAGGGCAGGTCAAACTGTCACCCTGCTTGTTTACTGCGTTCTTAGGCTCACCAGCTGGCAGTGATGTTGGTGATTACCACAGCCATTTACCCAGTCCTTAATATCCGGCAGGCCCTCAGCCAAGCACATTGTATATGTACTCTATTTTAGATTCCTGCTGGTGGGTGGGTGCTATTCCTTTTATAGATAAACTATGGATAAGTGGAAGGCAGAAAGGTATGTTGATTTGAGGTATGACAGTCTTTGAATTTTGTATTGAAACAACTGGCTTTGTGAATTTTGGTAATTATTTAGCCTCTTTCACTTTCATGTTCCTCATTTGGAAAGTGAGGATAATATTGCTTGTCCTCAGAGTGTTAGAGGATTCAGTGATATAAAACCTAACAGAATAAACACTTGATAAGTACAGTGATGGTTATCATAACTACATCTGAAAAGTGTCCCCTTTCAGATGAGCACCTTTTGGAAGAGGCTATTCCAGACCCAAAGCAGAAATGTCTTCAGCCCTTCTCATCTCTCTGTCCTCTCAGGAACAGCTGCTACTGACTGGCTGTCTCTGTCCCCTTCAGGCTTTTGCCACATGGAGAGAATAACATGCCTTGTCCAGAGATGAAAATACAATTAGACAGGATGAAAAAGAGTCTTCCCCTGGAAAAGAACCGACCCGACAGTGCCATTTCTTCTAAGATGTTTCTAACTATACACCGCCTCACCCTGCAAGTAAGAGCCAGGGTACTTTGGAGGAAGGGCCCTACATGAAAATCCCACCCCTTCTTTCTTGAGGCTGGAAGAATTGGCTTTCTCTTCTGTCCTGTCATTTTGGCCCCAACCCCACAGGAGCTTGGGCTGTGTGTCGGTGAAGGGCAGTGTGAGGGAAGGGTGTGAGCAGAGCGGTGACTGCGTTTCTCCTGTGCTTTGCTTCCACGCCTTTCCCTTCCTGCACAGTGCTGCAAACTCTGCCTTCCCAGTGTGCTTGCTGACTAGCTGAATAAATGCATCTGGGGAAAGGAAAGATCTACAGAAGAGCTTCTCTTCTCCTTCTCCTTCTCTTTCTCCTTGTTCTCTTCCTCCTTTTTCCTCCTCCCTTTCCTTCTCCTCTTCCTTTTCTTCTTCCCCTTCCTCCTTCTCCTCTTTTTCTTCCCCTCCTCTCCACCTTTCCTCCCACCCTCCCCTACCTTTTTTTAATCTCCAGAGACCAACGTTGCAATATCCTGAACATCGGAAGAAATTACATTCTACCCTGAAGAGAGAAGGTAGCTTTGCTGCTTCTGCTGGGTTTCCTGGCACCATATTTCTCTTACTTTATCTTAGTCCTGATTCTGTTGTTTGTGGTCATAGTCATATAGGGTCACATGTGGAATGTAGGAAACTCTAGCATGGTCCTGACCCTAAAGGGAGAATCACTGGTGGTGGGGCAGGTCTCAGCAGGCAGCCCAGCAGGAGGCAGGGGACTGTCAGTGGGAAGAAGATTAACCTGGCCTTATGGTCACCAGATTATAGGAAGCAGCAGCAGTGGCAGCAGCTGCAGGAGAAGAAGGAGAAAAACCCTCCTAAGGAACAGGTAGAGTTTTGCGAGGGAGCCCTGGACTCACCAGGTGGGAGAAGTGGGTGCAGCCTGGGTGGGAAGGTTCTTTTTGATCTCTCTCTGGCTGTAGATGTTCCTTTTCTACTCCTTTTTGAAAAATGTTCTTCACTTCCAAAAGTCCCAACTCAGTTCCTCCTCTTTTGGATTTCAGAAAGCTAAAAAGAAAGCCAAGAGTGAACAGGGGATCCAGAACACTTCACAAAAACATTCAGCTGCTGTTGCTTGTAACCCTCTCTGTGGTAAGGGCAGTACTGTACGTGCTTGGTTGAGTAATAAAATCCCAGAACATAGATGGCAGCAGGAAAAGCGAAATGTGCTTTTTCCATTTTGAGACTTGTCTTTGTCAGGCATTCGAATTAATTAATTTTTTTATTACATTGAACCAAGGGCTTTTGCACTGAGCCGCATCCCCAGGGGTTCTGACTTTCACATGACAGGCAGAAGAATCAGGGTAGAGACTTGGGAAAGAAGGTGACTTATGTTAGGTTAGCACTCCATCCAGGGCGATCACTACCATTTTCCTGACCTCCATTCTGGTGTTTTTCCCAGTGCCTCCAGCAGGAGCTGTTTTACACGTATCACTGGGGTCACCTTGGATTCATGTCCTTAGAGCAGTAACTTGTCCTCACTGAGTGAGATAGCCTTTATAGAAAAGGTGATTTTTAAAATTGGATCTTATATGTGGGTTTTTTTATGGCATGGAGTAGAATTCCCAGAGGTGGCAAATTCCTCCATAGATGCATCTTGGAGGAGCATGGTTGAGCTTTTCAGTATGGCTATCAGGATTTATTTTTTTTTTTTTAATTTTTTTTGTCTTTCATTTTTATCGGTACCGGGGATCGAACTCACGACCGCCTGCTTGCAAGGCAGACACTTATGCCGCTGAGCTAAATCCCCAGCCCCCTGGCTATCAGGATTTAAAGGAAAGTGGTAGATCAGGCCAAAGAGGTGGATAGGGGAGGCTGTGAAGGCCATTAGGCTTGAGTCTCTAGGTCAGTGGTACTCCATCTTGGCTGCACATGGACAGAAAGTGAAAAGTTTTTAAAATTCCTAACAACCTGCTTGTACCCTAGACCTATTAGGTCAGAATTCTGGTGTTTGGAACCAGGTCATACTGTCTTTTTTTTTTTTTTTTTTTTTTGTCTTTTTCTTTTTTTATCGGTACCAGGGATCAAACTGAAGACCACACACTTGCAAGGCAGGTGCTTATGCCGCTGAGCTAAATCCCTAGTCCCCCCCGCCCTTTTTTTGTCTTTTAAGTCAGCATCTTGCTGTGCTCTGACTATGGCCTCTATTAGCCCAGGCTGGCCTCGTGCTCATGGGGATCCTCCTGAGTGTTGGGATAACAGGAGTTTGCCAGCATGCCTAGTCTCGTGCTGTGTTTTATTTTATTTTTAACTAATTAATTAATTACTTTATTGGTAACAGGAATTGAACTTACAACCTCATGCTTGCCAGGTAGGCACTGTGTTGCTGAACAAATCCCTGCCCTCATGCTGTGTTTTATGCTTCCCAATGCTTGTAAAATGCGGCTGAGGTAAGAACCTTAGCGGGTAGGCAGCCAAGAGTGTTGTTGTCTTTTAGTATAATGTGTCTGGTGGCAACTTGCAAGATGTTTATTTAGAGAAAAGATTCCAAAAGGAAAGGGCAAACACATAGGGAGTTGTTGGAGAAACAGCTGATGCAAAAGAAGCAGAAAATTAGAATTATTTTATTTTCATATTTTTAGACCAATGTGGATATGCTAGGAATGGTACAAGAAGCTGAGTCACATTCTGGTACTAATATTCATAAACTAAATGGTAGAATTGTAGTTTCTTTTACTGTTACTACATACAGTTATGTTTTATGTGGAGGAATCCTGGATCTTATAATACACACTTTATTTTTATATCTAATTTTGTGCTGTATGTAGTTACAGACCTAGGTGAACAGAATCACAAATAGAACTCAGAAGGCCTTACAAAATATACATATGTATTGGAATATTACATAGTGCTTCATAAATAGGTACACTTATTATGTGTCAGTTAAGAAAATAAAGAACCACTACCACTGAGATATAAAGTGCCAATAAGAAGAGGATTGATTTCCCTTTGTGGTCACTAGGTCAGGAAAGTGACATGAAGCAGCAACAGCAGCAGATGAAGACTGAAGGAGCCACCTTGGAACCAGTGAGTGGCAGGGCCTCTCCCAACATCTGGTTCCAATGTCTCTTACTGTGAAACAAACCACCCCAAAACTAAGCCAGATGCATTATTTCTAAAGAATCTATGTATTGGTGGGACGATCATTGGTCTTTCTTAGGTCACTCTGCATCTGAGTAGGGCTGTTGGCCACATTGCCTGGGTAGTCTTCTATAAGACCTCTTCATGGGGCTTTTGACAGGGTAGTAATCACTCAAGTGACTACGCTGTGACCTTTTATTGGTCTGTATAGATGAACCTAGAACTCATTTCACCCCACTCTCAGCAGTCAACCAGGAGGAGAAGTCGTTGTTGGCAGACATCGCTAGAGGTAGTCTTCCCTTGGTTGACTGCTGAGAGTGGGGTGAAATGAGTTCTAGGTTCATCTATACAGTCTGGAGAGCAGAAAATATGTGATAAAAGCTTTGCTGAAGTCCCAGAAGGTACATCTTTGTAATGTCTTAGATGTTAATTTCTCTAATTTTAGAAAAAAAATGCTTTCAATTTTCTAAGGCCTTGATTTATTTTTTCTTATATGTACCCCAATAAATTTTAGGTTTCCATAGAGAGTTCAAGAAATGATCACTCTGACAAGTTTCTGGGTATCTTCCCTGACAGAAGAGGTAAGTTGCTAGAGTGGAGGACCCTTAGTACTGAGCCTGTGTTAACCAGCGTGGCTTCCTTGCGGTGGGCACAGTCCTCATCCTTTAGAGGGGTCCTAAAGATAGCCCAGATTTTCTTTTTCTGTACTCCACATGTCACCATTAGTTGGGAGAAGCCTACAGGGGAAATTAATGACTGGGTTTTCTCATAGGTTCAAAAATGTCTATGATGGAACTCCCTTGCAAGGATGTTAATGCTTCAGTGGAGATGGTCCTGGAAGCCCCAGCTGCCAATCAAGAGAAGATCCCTGAAGACCTCACAGAAAATGTGGCTGAAATAAGCTGGAAGCCTGAGCTCCAACTGCTGAGGATTCTTCAGGATACTGATGTTGAGGAGGAGGTGAACCAACCCAGTGTGGCAGAGAGTGAAGATTCTTGGGACACATAGACTGAAGGTGCCACCCAGGGCACTCTTCACCAGAGCAGGATGCTTGGCATCCCAGAGACAGTGACCTTTGACATAAGGCTGAAAAGAGAGGGTGATTGTGCTCCCCCCAACTCTCTTAAGACCTCAACTTAGAGATTTTGCTTTTTATTCACTTTTTACCAGCTTGTAAAATAAGTGAGGGAAAAAAGTTCCAAACTTTCTCAGTTTAAGTGACTTCTCTGCCATAGGGTCAGAATAATTTTAATGATTAAACACAACCAAGTCTCAAACAAAAGATACTCTGTGTTTTTTGGAGGAGGGTAGAGAGCTGTTTCTTAGTATGTGTTTTTAGGGTCCTTTTTATCTGTTCTGTGAAGCTCTGAAAGGTTTTCAATTGTAGGAAGCTAAATTTGGCCTATGGCAACCTCCATGGCATTTCTGGATTTCCTTGTTGCTTCCTTTCTTTAGGAGGTGGAGTCCACATCATTACTAAATAATATTCACTGTGTATGGTATTGGACTCATTGACCTGGGAGAGCTTAAGGCTCTAGTTTTTAAGGAATTGAGTTTGCTGGGAAGTTTCATTGATGCTAATAAAGACTCAGAATTTGAGAGTCTCAAGAGCCCTCTGATTTGGTTTTTGGAAGACTTTATTCTTTTCATGTTTTATTCTTTTTTTTTTTTTAATTTTTTTTTTTTGGTCTTTTTCATTTTTATCGGTACCAGGGATCGAACTCACGACTGCCTGCTTGCAAGGCAGGCGCTTATGCCGCTGAGCTAAACCCCCAGGCCCTCATGTTTTATTCTTAAAAAGCTTTTAAGACAGCTGAGGTGGTGTATGCCTATAATCTCAGCACTCTCAGAGGTTGAAACAGGAGGGTCCTAAGTTTGATTCCAGCCTGGACAACTTAATGATTTAGTGAGACTCTGTTTCAAAATAGAAAAATAAAAAAGAGATGGGATGTAGCTCAGTGTGAAAGGCCCTGAGGTTAATTCCTAACACTAAAGAGAAAAAGCACTTTAAAAAAATTTTATGGAATAAAAGTAAAACAAAATTTCATAACAAAATAATAAGAGAAGGAAAAGCTACTTTTAATACAGTAAAATTGCAAAGTTGCATAATTGTAGAGACTAACGTAATGAAACTGATGTCCATAGGATGTGATAAAAGCAAGGCCATGGCTTCAACCATACTTTAAAAAGCCCTGCACTGGCCCTGCAATGGAGCATGCTGTTGCTTATCACACTGCAGGGCCCAGGGCACATGTCTCCTTCTCCTGCACTGCATCTCCTCTTCTGGATTTTGTACCTGGTAGCTCTGATCTGGAAGTTTACTGCTTCCATGGCCTGTGTAGGACTCTTTCCTGGTTTCACCCTCCCAAGAATGCATTGCTCTATCAGCGTTTGAAGGGTCTGTGCTATTTAGGGAATGATGAGTCTAGATCTGGGCATGGGGACTGAAGTGTCTGCATGTGTGATCTTTCCTGGGTTCTAGGGATGAGAAGAAAAGGGTGGTTCTTATGCTAGATGTCAGCTGTGGGTCCTTAAGGAGTCTGCAAATTCTGAATGAACCTGGTCTTCTTGAAGGTATATGGGTCAAGGAACAAGGACTGAAAATGCTTTCTTTAACAATTATGTTAGCTTGATTTATAGTTTTAAAATGTTCTGACATCGGTAGTAGACCTGGTTTTGACTCTTATCCTGGATCCTGCGGAAGTTAGGGTGGGCCGTACACACCCAATGACAGGGAGAAATTTTAAAGAAGGAGAATTTAACCCTATTCATGGAAAATCATTAATTTGTACTTCCTTTTAGGTGAGGACCAGACTCCAAGAGAGAATGTGTCTTGACAGTCATCATCTTGAAAAGTGGTAGAGCCAGGTTGCGATCTGGGTCTTCTAGCTTTAGGTCAGAGCTCTTTTCATCTCCACTCTGCTTCTCTGACTCATCCTCCAGAGCTGTGTTGGGTTATTCATCATCATATTAAATTAGAGACTGACTTCCTTTCCTGGTATGCTATCTGTAATTGATGAGTTGGGTTCGAGGGATGCAGGGATTTTTTTGAGATAGTCTTCTCACTGTATAGTTTAGGTTGGCCTTGAACTCATCTGTAGCCTAGACTGACTTTGACTTCACACTGATCCTCCTGCCTCAGCTTCCTATGTGCTGGGATTATAGTAATGTGCACCATGCCCACCAGTAGCTCTTTTTTACCTAAGGAAAGTTGGAAACATGTAAAAGCAGATGAAGTCCTGTCTAACCATTATCTAACATTTATCAATTATAATCTATCTTTTTTTTCTAAACTTGCTTATTCTAAGTATTTTAGTGGATTTCTTAGATTTTTTTGATATGTCATCTGCAAATAGAGATCTTTTTATTTCTTCCTTCCTAGGTGCTTTTAATTTTTTTTCTAACTGCTAGACCTTCTAGCACAATGTTGACTAGAAGAGTAGCGGTAAACATTCTTGTCATTTAAAAATTTTTTTCTACAGTTACTATAACAGTTTATACTCCCCCCAGTAATGAAGAATGGTTCCTTTTTTCCCTGCAGTTTTTTCACCTCTCTAGCATTTGTTGTTGTTTGATTTTCCTTTTCTATTTGAAGACACAATCCTGCTATATAGTTCCGCCTGGCTTTGAACCTACTATGTAGCCTAAATTGGTCTTGAACTCACAGAAATCCTCCTATATCAGCCTCCTGAGTGTTGGGATTACAGGTATGCGCCACCATACCTGGTCTGATTTTAAAAATAGCCATTCTTCTAGAGTGAGATGGAATCTAAGTGTTGTTTTAACCCTATTGTGCCACATTGTAATTTTTTTTGCATTTTTGCCTGGAATTCATATATATTTCCTAGAAAAATTAAAGGAATGAGAATTTGAAAAAAAATGTATTATGTTTCCTTGTTATGAATGTTCCAAAAAGGGAACACCAGGCATTGAGTTAATTTGCATTTCTTTAATGACCAGCAATGTGGAACATTTTTCATATTTTTTTGGCATTTATACTTCTTTATCTGAGCAGCGTCTATTCTTCTCAGATGCCCATTTTTTTGATTAAATCTAAGTTTGGGGAGGTCCATTTGTGTGTGTGTGCGTATGTTTGATACCAGGTGCTTATGCCTCCGAGCTAAATCCCCGGGACCATTTTTTTTTCATTCTTACTATATTCTAGACATTAACCCTTTGTCTGGAGACTCGCTTGCAAAATTTTTTCCTATTCTGTGGGTTGTCTCTTCACTGTGTTTCCTTTGCTGCTCAGAAGCTTTTAACTTGATGTGATCCCATTTGTTGATTTTTGGTATTATTTCTTATGTAACCAGGGCTCTGTTCAGAAAATCTTTGCCTATGTCTGTGTCTTCAAGAATTTTATCTGTTTTTGTCTTCCAGCAGATTGTTTCTGTTCTATTATTTAGACCTTTGATCTATTTTAATTTTAGTTTAGTGCATGGTGGGAGTTAAGGGTGTAGTTTCAACCCTTATCATGTGGGTAGCCACTTTTCCCAGAGCCTTTTGATATAAGGCTCCTTTTCCTCTTTGTCAAAAATAAGGTAGCTGAGTGGCCTGAAGTTGTTTCATTATGTTCCATAAGTCTATTTTTATTTTTTTTTAAATACCATGCTGGGTTTTTTTTTTTTAATCACTGCAGCTTTGTCGTTTAGTTTGAAGTCCAGGATCGTGGTGCTCTTGCTTTGCCCTTGTTGCCCAGAATTGCTTTTGCTATTCTAGGTCTCTTCTGGTTCCATATGAATTTAAGGATTATTTTCTCTAGTTCTGAAAGCTCTTTCTTTTTTTTTTTGAAAGCTCTTTCTTTTTTTTCAGTATATTTTTTTAGGTCCTCTTTGATCTACTTTTCCAAGTTTCTAAAGTCTTCATTGTAGAGATCTTTCACTTCCTTGGTTGGGTTAATTGCTGAGTATTTCATTTTTCTTGATGCTATTGTAAAAGGTATTATTTCTCTAGTTTTTCTTTTGGTGAGTTTATTATTGGCGTACAGCAATGCTATTGACTTTTGAGTGTTGGCTTTGTATCCTGTTATACTACTGAATTTGGTTATTAATTCTAGGAGCACTTTAGTGAGTTTTTAGGGTCTTCTATGTAGAGGACCATGTCGTCTACAAAAAATAATAATTTAACTTCTTCCCATCCATATTCCTTTTATTTCTTTCTCTTTCCTAATTGCTCTAACTAATGTTTTGAGACTATTTGAATGAGTGGTGATAGCAGACATCCTCATCTTGTTCCCAATTTTAGAGGGAAAGATTTTAGCTTCTTTCCATTTAATAGGATGTGTGCTTTCTCATAGATGGCTTTTATCAGTTTGAGATACATGCCTTCTTTAGCTGTTTTCTTCATGCTTTTTATTATGAATGGATGTTGGATTTTGTTGAAGGTTTTTTCTGCATCTGTTGAGATGATCATGTGATTTTTGTTCCTGCTGCTGGTTGTATGGAGCATTACACTACTGATTTGTATATATTGAACCATTCTGGCACCCCTGGAATAAAATCTACTGGGTCATGATGACTTGCTATAAAATCTACTGGGTCTTTTTAATGACTTGCTATGTTCTGTTGGCCAATATAGTATTGAGGATTTTTGCTTCTATTTTCATTGAAGAATTGGACTGTAGATTTCCTTTTTGGTTGGGTCCTTTTCTGGTTTTGGAATCAGGGTAATGCTTGCTTCTGTGAATGACTGCTTCCCTTTGATTTCATTAAAGCGTTTGAAGGTCTTCTATATAGAGGCACTAGATCTCCTTTAAAGTTTTTTTTTTAAACTAATAAAATATATCTTTGTTTACTTTTTTGAGTTGGGGGTCATAAATTATTGCTAAAGTAGATAATCAAGCAAACGGAAGGGTGCTTTAGAAATTTAATTTGAGTTTATTTAAACTAAGAAGAAAATTCCATAATGTTTTCATGCAATACATACTTGGTTCTTTAGTAATTGTGACAAACAACAGAAAGAATTAAGGCTCATTGCACTTGTGATCTACATAAAGCACTAACATATTGAGTTATACATAATTAAAGAAGTACCTCACTTTGGAAATACTGTGATAGCCAATACAGAGGCACGCCTTAGGTGGGCATAGAGATGCAGTTTAGAAAAGAAAACAAAAGTACAACTGAACTACAAAATTCCTTTAAAATCACCGAGCAACCTGCTGAATAAGCAGCCGAGTGCTCGGGCCTCCCGCAGCTGCACAGCCACACGAGGTCTGCCCCGGAAGCCCATGCCTCCCGAACCTACAGCAGCATCCTGAGACATACGAGGCAAACACTCAGCAGACATTTCTGTGTTCTCCGTGAAATGCATCTTGTCTTTTTTATTCCTAGTGTTTAAGTCATTTTTTAAAAACTTGAATCAGATGGTGTCCTTTAGTAAGGATTTTATCAGTTCTCAGTTTCTAAAAATCCAGACTTTTTTTCTACATGTGAGATCGTTTTCATTTTACCTGGCCTGTCGTTTGCCCACAAAAAAAGAATTAAGCAAATAGTGCAATGCAGGAAGAAACAAAAGAAAGGCACTAAGACCAGTAAACTCCTCCTCTCCTAGAACAGTGGTCTGTTCTACAGGAAATGAAACTCTTGCCTTGAAATTCTCACAGTGAG